CAGAGGCGACCAAAAAGCCGAGGTTGCGGAGGCTTGAATAAAATGCCTGTGCTTTGGTACGCAAGGGTGGAGGGGCTGCATTTCCCGTAGCGCCGGAGCTGTCCACAAAAACAAATATTATTTAGATTGGTTAGGTTAGAGTTAGTATATGAATATTTGGTCGCCGAAGGCGACCAGGACGCCGAGAAGCCGAGGCTTGAATAAACAATTACTATTTAGATCGGAGCTGTCCACAAAAACAAATATTATTTAGATTGGTTAGGTTAGAGTTAGTATATGAATATTTGGTCGCCGAAGGCGACCAGGACGCCGAGAAGCCGAGGCTTGAATAAACAATTACTATTTAGATCGGAGCTGTCCACAAAAACAAATATTATTTAGATTGGTTAGGTTAGAGTTAGTATATGAATATTTGGTCGCCGAAGGCGACCAGGACGCCGAAAAGCCGAGGCTTGAATAAACAATTACTATTTAGATCGGAGCTGTCCACAAAAACAAATATTATTTAGATTGGTTAGGTTAGAGTTAGTATATGAATATTTGGTCGCCGAAGGCGACCAGGACGCCGAGAAGCCGAGGCTTGAATAAACAATTACTATTTAGATCGGAGCTGTCCACAAAAACAAATATTATTTAGATTGGTTAGGTTAGAGTTAGTATATGAATATTTGGTCGCCGAAGGCGACCAGGACGCCGAGAAGCCGAGGCTTGAATAAACAATTACTATTTAGATCGGAGCTGTCCACAAAAAAAATATTATTTAGATTGGTTAGGTTAGAGTTAGTATATGAATATTTGGTCGCCGAAGGCGACCAGGACGCCGAGAAGCCGAGGCTTGAATAAACAATTACTATTTAGATCGGAGCTGTCCACAAAAATAAATATTATTTAGATTGGTTAGGTTATATAAATATTAATATACTAACCGTATATTAATATTTTTTTTAAATAACTGTTCAACTGAAACTCAAAATCGAAAACAAAATCGGATTTAAAATCGGATTAAAATCGAATACTAAAATAATCGATTTTTTCACTTTCACAGAATAGATTATTTTTCACATCTCTATTCTCTACTATTCATTGTTTAAAGTATAAACGCAATCGGCCATTTCGAATTTGGATTTTGCCAGAACAGTGTGTGTTCACAGTGATCAAGTGCAAATTATAAGTTAAAAAGCCGTTACTTTTTAGGTTTTTTATTTTTGCGTGAATGTGCGTTATTTTATTAGCATTTTTTTAAAACTTGGCTTTATATACTGTCTGTAATATATGTCTAGTACAGACACTGATTTCTTGCGATCATTTTCAAATTTCGTGTGCGAATGGCGTCTAAAAATAGTGGACATCTTAGGTTAGTATATTAATATTTTTTTAAAATAACCTGTGTTACTTTTTACGTGAATGTGCGTTATTTTATTATAATTTTTTAAAACTTGGCTTTACATATATACTAGACACTGATTTCTTGCGATCATTTTCAGATTAAGTACTGTAAAAAAAAAAAAATTTTTTTTTTTTTTTGGTTTCCTAAGCCCAAAATTTGTGGGGGGTGATTACTACCCCCCTCCCACCCCCTCCCCCTCCCCCCGCACCCCAAATTTAGGGTCTTCTCTCTCACATCTTTACCATTATTTATATTATATGAATTAGTTGACGTATAAATTGAGTTTGTACAATTTGAAGGAATTATTTTTTATTATAGTTACTTATGATTTTAGAGTAATAAGTTGATTTGTAATATCTTTTGCAAAGGGTTTTATATCAGTAATTCACTTCGTTATAGGTATTTATTTTTAATAAACAAATTTGTGAACAATACTTACCCCATACCATTATTTTATAAGTTAAACAATTTGTAAATATATTTATAAAACCGAAATTTTGTAAACACCAAAATATTGAAAGCTCCTATCAAAATTTGAAAGAAACGTTTAAAAATAATAAGTGTCAACTGTCATAGCACCAGAGAACTTTCCGTTTAAAATATATCAAAAGAATAGTTTTATATAAAATAAATATATATATTAAGACATAATAGCTTATTGTGATTGATGAATTATTTAAAATAATTTTATATTTTATTTATTTTCATAGAAACATCTGTCGAAGTAAGTTTGATAGTTAAATTTCTAAACGTACTCAGAAACCACAAACAAAATTATCGTTCTTTCATTCGGTCTTGCGATGCTAATACGTTTCAGCTTATAGGCGGTCATGGTACGAAAAAATGCTATTGACTTTAGGTACCTAAACTCCGCTGCATCTCAACTGGATTGTTTTAAGAAAGTTCATGGTAGGCCCCCAGACCATTTTATTGTCAACACTGACTTAGCGCACTCTGCTGATGCATTTGAAAACTAATTCACGTTCCAATTAAGCTTCAGCATTATGCGGCATTGTGCGGCACTGAGTCGAAAAATGCTATGTAATTGGGAAACGCGCATTAGTTTTTTATAGTATACAACATCTATGTTACTATCATTCTATTTATAGCGTACTCTATGGTAACTAACAAGTATATAATCTGTGTGAGTAAAAAGAAAATTAGAAAAGTAATCTGTGTGCGATTGCAGCGTGTGTGTTGTAATTTGTATAGTTAATAGAATAGTTTCTTGATTCTTCATAATTCATTTTTTGCCATTGGGCATTGGCTTAGCAGTGTTTGGACTGTCGGATTTTCTGTGATTTCTTTGAATCCTATTTCCCTCGAAATTTTTATCAAATTAGTCGTTATATTATATACGTATAATTACTCATTACAACAATATTTCGTCGACTTGTATCTTCAAATGTCTGTATTCAACACAGTTGTGGAGTGGAAACCTTTAGTATATGACAATTTGTTACTTTAGTCCTTTTACCGCCATCAAATAGTCTATTATTCATAGTGAAAGTATATTTGTATTTTTTGGAATGTCAATAGTTGTGTGTATAGAATCACATCCCATATGAGAGTGGCCTTGTTGGGAGTAGTTAAAGTTTGTTCAGCATAGAGTAGGAATACAGCTTGTTGATTTTGTCCCCCAAATGTATCAAAAGATGGATGGTGTTTCTTAGACATCAGGATGTAGCTATTTAAGAAAATAGAACACAGGCATTTTCTATATTTCTATTCCCTGTGCTTGACCTTGTTCAACATAATTTGTAAGATTGTAGACTTACATTTTCCTTGAGTAATAAAATAGAGACTCACTTGAATTAGGTACCTGAGGCACACTCTGAAGATCAAAGGAACACATAGTAAATAAAGGTTCATTTGCCTATTACTTCACTTTTGTTGCCTTGCTGTTTTCTGATGAGGTGTATAGTATATCCTGACTCCAAGTTCTTTTCTTCATTATCAGAGGCTTGTTCTGTTCATATGGCGCATAAGTTATATATTATGTATATTTTTGCATAATGTTTGATGGTAAGATTATTTAGTAAGTGGTTCTGATTGTTATTTTCTATTCAATGAAGCAGTTTCTCTATGAACTGTAATTTTTTTTTTTGAAGATTTGAAGACGCACATAGTGAGATTCTATAACTATTAAAGTTTTCTATGTGCGCTTTACTAACACAATGTCAACCTCACTTGTTTTGTTGCCAGGCTATTTTTTTCATGTTTCCCATCACCTGAGAAGCACCCAACAGAGCCCATATTTTTATCGACTGAGTTTATCAGTCCTTGTAAGAGGTTCCATTCATTGCGATTGAACAATGGTCCAATGATTCCAATTTGGTAGTTGTACTTGGCGGAAATTTAACTTTTGCTTTTTCCTTCAACAAGTTGCCGCTAATAGACACTTTTTGTCCTCTACACTGTCTTAGCCAAATGACCAGGCTTTCTTCCAGATGAGGATATTCACCTTTAGTAATTCTTTTTTGTACTCCAGCAGTTTGAGCAGCATTAATTTACTGCTTGTGCTTTATTATGGTTGAGATTTAAATTCTTTTGCAACATCACTTTTCTTCTCACCTACTTCTACTTTTTCGATTAACTTCATTTCAGCAATTGTCAAACATTTATACTTTCTAGAGTTAAGAACTAAAAAAAACATTTAATCTGTATACCAACGAAAGAGTAACAGTAACTGAATGATAACTAAACAAGCCAATTCGTGAGAAGTCAAACTAATAAAAAAATTACTTGTCGCAAAATGTACTTACAATCTTTCCGCCTCTTTCTCTCTGAAACTTTAAATAGGGAAGATTACTGTCAAACTTCATATTAAATCATAAAACTTTGCGATTTTTTACGTTTTATTATTAAATGGGTTGGTGTGTGGCTTTTGGATGTGAAGAAATAGGTAATAATAGGTCCCATAAATTCCCTTCGAATCCCACCCTAAGAATTTTGGTAATTTAATAGACACAAGTGTTTTTTAATTCCAATTCTCCATGTGTGCTATTTACAAATAATAAAGGCACAGTCAATTCAATTTTAAAATTATTCCTACAAGCATAAAGACACTTCACCTCAACTATGGTTTCATATCCGATCTGGTGATGCTCCCAAAAATAGGTAATCTTCAGTTATGAATAACCCACAGTCGTTAACTTCTATTCCACCATAGTGATCCATATAAGCTTTAATAGCAACTGGCTCATTAATTATGCCATGGTTCGTTGGCCGGGATTATAAGGACATGGGTAGTAGCAATTGCTCTGCAAATGATTTTTACCTTCTAGCAGAAAGATGGCATATGGTATGGAAATTACTGGCCGTAATGCGGTTTTTCCTTATTTCAAGCCACCATTTATTATTTCTCTGTCCTCTCGTCATTTCTTCTATTTGCAAAATCTTTTCTTTTGCTTGAGTGGCATGATGCTTGTTGTCGCAGAAATTTATACATTTCTTACTTTTGCATTGTATGCCTCCTCAGAAATGTTCTCCATATTGTAGGGGTGAAATATAATATTAGATAGCCTTTTTTTGACCTCTCAGCTTTAAGTGGAGAGGCAGTAAATGTCTTTTTTGGTACATTAAATGTTTGCAACCTTTGTACAAATAATATTTAAGGGAACAAACTTTCTCTGTACATTTGTTCGATAGCGAACATCACTTCTGCCACATTTTTGCAGTGAGCTTCCATTCCACTGCTTACAACACATTGAGCATTCTTGTATGTCTGCCATTTATATTTATTTTCAAATTAATTTCGTACTGAATTTTCTTCATTGAGGTCTTGCATATAATTTTCACTTAAGTAAATGTGAATCCCACAGTGAATGCTCTTAGCACAAGAAGGTTCTAAGAGTGTAGTTATATAAATACAATACTATACAGGATGGTCCAACTACCTAGTGACGTCAATGAATTTTTTTTAGATTCCTCATACAATGCGCGCAGCCTAAGATGAGACCTGTCAGATGCTAGTAGAGAGGATTTCGCGCATGTACAGTCGCGTTCAAAATAGTTAAATAAAACAATTAGTTCGGATTAATAAAATATTTTATTGCATATCGAAATCGCTATCGCTGTCTTCATAGTTTATAAAACGTACACCGCTTATGTACTCGTCGGTGCGATGGCAACCACTATCACGAGCTGTCCCACTTGTGCTTGGCTGTGGTGCGACTATTTCATCTTCGTCGGAGCTATTTTCACTATTCTCCGTGTCACTGTCACTATCATCAGAAGAAGCGCCAACTGCTATTATTATTTCCTGATCTGTTAAATCGTCAATAATGTGGTCATTTTCAATGTATTCATTTTCTATTTTTTTCGTTTTTTCACATAAAGCTTTCCATTCATTTGGACCCATTTGGTCTACCTTCTCCTTCACCAACTCCATAACTCTTGTAATGTTCCACTTCACGTTCTTACTACTGACATGACCTTTTATTGCTGCCCATGCCATTTCGATAGGGTTTAAACGGGATGATATGGGGGCAATCTAAGAACGCGGTGGTTATGTTCTTGCAGTATTTTGTCGATGCTGTAGATTTTGTGGCTCTCTTTGTGTTTTTTTATTATGTCGTAAAGCTCTGACTTCAACATGTCGGAAGTAAACGCGATACCTTTTTCTGCAAGCCAAGATTGCATCTCGGCTTTTTTCGTATTCGAAGTTGGCGCATTCTCATCCTCCTTGTTATGGTAGGACGCATTATCAACTACCACGACGGCATTTGGTGGGAGATTTGGAATCAATTGTGTCTCAAGCCATTTTTTATAATTAATGAAATTCATGTCGTCGTGGTAGTCCCCTGATTTTGTTCCTGATTTGAACATTAATAAGGCATTTGGAACAAAACCATCTTCAGAACCTGCGTGCACGATGACAACCCGCTGACCTTTGGAAATTGGTTTTTTTAGTCCTTCCGATGACAGATCAGACCAACCTTTTGATGTTGTGTGCGTAGAATGCACATATGACTCGTCTGTGTATATTATAGGGCAGCCTTCTTGACGGTATTTTCCGAGTTCCTTTATATATTTAATTCTTTTGAGGCGTATATCGGTCTTTTCAATAAGAATTTTTCTATTATTTTCGGTCTTCCTCCACCGAAACCCAAGATCTTTTATAATTTTGCGCAAACTGGTTGCGGATCCCTGATATCCGATGTCATCACGCAATTTATTTTTTATCTTTTTAATTGTAGGGAGTTCTTTATTTGTTACATGAAAATTGTGAATACAGCGTTTGATCACCCCTTTATCAAAATCATCCATGCCGGTTACGGGGTTTGATCTCGGACGTTTTTTTCCCGGAGTACGAAACACGGACAGCAATCTGGAGCTATTTGCTTCCTTCACAATTCTCTTCACCGTGATAAGTGATGTCTGAGTGGCAGCAGCGGTACGTTTTTGTACCGCTTTCAAATTGCCGACGCCTTCCTCCGCTTCTTTCGCCATAAACTTGTAAACGTCATACACCATCTTCCTACTTTGTCTTTTTAAAGTTTTGCCTCGCGGCATAGTCAACAAAAACGACAACAAAATAAGAAAACAAATAACTGTAACAAATAATACAATAACGAATAACTATAACAAAAAAAAAAAGAAACAAAGGAAAACAACTATCAACTTTTGCACTGATCAGTACTTCGGACCACAGCGGCGTGAGAGCAAGGTGCGGGGAGCGTCACACGACTGATACGCATGCGCGGCGGCCGTACCTCGCCCCGCACGCTCTCGTCTCACCGCGCAACGGTCCCGTCCATCCCCGCTTGCCTCGCTTACCGCCAAAATGGTCTGAGAACTATCTATTGCACAGGTCTAACCACGTGATCCGTCAAGTCTCATCTTTGGCTGCGCCTATTGTACCCCATGTACTCGTATGTTCCGCGATTTTTTGTAGTTTTCGAGTTATAATTCTTTTTGTGTTTTTTGAATGTTTTCTGCCAGCGAGGTTTCAAAAATTCATATATTTTTTTGTTATAGGTAGGGTCATTTCGCCTGTTTGCGTCCACTTAGTGCAATTGGCAAGTTTGAAGGAAAAAATAAAAATGTCCCAGCACTTCTATAAAAAAAAATTATGTAATGTGTTCATTATATAGTCTATTTTAAGCTGAACTTTCAGTTTTGTTCGAAACATCTTGTGATTTTTTTTGGAGGTGTTATTTTTATAATAATGTAAAGAGAGATTGAATTTGATTAATTTATTTATGGAATAATTATAGATATTTAAAAATCATTATATTAACATTCATAAATCACTATAAAGAAAAAAAAACATTTATTCTTCTAAACATTCATAGCACTTAAAATTCAAATTCAACAATAATCTGTTCTGTTAATTATACCCTAAAATCTGACGATGAATCTGGCTGAAGATCAGCATTGATTAATAATAAGTTTTTGGCAATATAAAACAATACAATCATTTGGTCTAATCCTACTACTAAAAGAAATGTTAAATCTTAATAATCATGAAACAAGGTATGATTATAAAAGCCCTAGAATTTTCATTAATGACACAATTCACATTCAAAAGACTTATCTTTGGCCTCTAAATAGCTTAATCCTACAAATCGCGTGCATTTCAGATGATACCATCTAATACACTTGTCACAGCCAATGTTTTTCTCGTCGTCGTCTTCTACATCTGAAATTAGTACATCATCACATTCATGACATTTCACTCTTTCCACAATGTTGGGATGTTTTAATGCATCATTTAGAGCTAGTTCAGACATGGCGGAATCCGTGCGGATGCAAATCGCGCGGTTCTAAACGCAAGTGTTCAGACAGACGCGGATGTAAATGCGGAGTGCCGTAATCCGCATAGAGTGACAGCGTTCTAGTCCAATCATGGAAGTCGAAGAAGCAATATGTGTGTACTTGTTGCTCCGTAAAAAAGAAAGAAAGAAGAAACGGCAGTATTGGGTGCATCCAATATTACGTGATCGGCTCACCCATGGTCAGTTTCTGACTTTATATCCAAAATTAAGAAGTTTTGAACCAAAATTCTTTAATTATTTGAGAATGTCGATAAATTCATTTGATGAATTATTAGAAATGATCAGTGAACAAATTGCATCTAATGATACCCATATGAGGTCAAGCGTGGCCCCAGAAGAAAAACTCGTGATTACATTAAGGTAAGATATTTATTTTATACATCAGAATATATGTTTTGTACTATAGAAGACTGTGAGTCGTCAGTGCTATTGCATGATAAAGGCGATGGAGACTCTCCTGGTACGATTGTAGAATATCCTGTAAAATATCCTTGTGGGTTTGAATATTGTTGGTTTTGCCAAAATACTTCATTAGGCGTGTTCTGCTGGCTCGTGATATGAATAGGCGCTGGTAATTTCTGCCCTTTCTGTATTACCTGGAGTAATTCAATTTTAGTAGCCAAACGCTTATTTTCTGGAACTTTTTTTAACTCTTTATACAATGACATACAAAAAAGCTTATCATCATCATCTTGCTTTGACATACTTTCTTGTAATTGTCTCTGTATTTTATCCCTTGATTCAATGCTATTTTCTAATATGTCAGCCAATCGCTCTTCTGAAGTAATTTTAGTCTTCTTCCTTTTATTGGGTACTGGTTGTATTTCACGTGCATTAACAAAATTATCTTGGTTTTGGTCAATGTTTTGAATTCCTTCATTTTTGGCTTCATGTATGTTTGATGTCGTTTCTTTGTTTTCTACTGTCTTCTGAAGAAAAGAAAGCCGGTCAAAATACATGTATTTTGAACCTTTACATGCACCAGAACCAGAAGGAATTGATTTGCCTTTCTTGAATTCCTTATTATAAGCATCCCGTATATTCTTCCACTTTTTTTGTAAAGTTACACCTGGAACAGAAATCAGTATTTTTAACAAAATTGTAGACTTATAAATACAGGAGCGGTCAAATAATTGAAGACACTCAAAAATTTGAAAAATTTAAAATAAAATAATTGACACTCATTATTTTAAACTAGCTGGTGCCCGCGACTTATAATTAATAAATGAAAAGTTTGCAACTTTGTTAACAAAACGATACAGATCAAGATTATATTGTTTCAGATATCTGGGTACTGGTTGTTCCTTTGGAGAACTGCATTACAACTTTCGTCTTGGCAAATCTACAATTACAGGAATTGTCCGTGAAGTATGTGAAGCTCTGTGGGAAAAAGTCGCAAAAAATGTCATGCCTGAACCCAGCGAAGATATATGGAAGAAAATAGCTACAGATTTTGAAAAATATGCAAATTTCCCCAATTGCATTGGCGCCATAGATGGCAAGCATATAAGGATTACAAAACCCAATGATTCTGGATCTTTGTATTATAATTACAAAACTTTTTTTCCATAGTGCTGTTGGCACTTTGTGATAGTAACTATTGTTTTTCTTTCATAGATATTGGATCATATGGAAAAAGTAGTGATTCTGCAATTTTTAAAAATTCGGTATTTTATAAAAGATTAATAGAAAAGTCATTACACATACCAAAACCTAAACCAATATCTAACACAGATCCTACGCCATTGCCATACGTCATAGTTGGCGATGAAGCGTTTGGTTTATCCGAAACTGTAATGCGACCCTATGCAGGTAGAGGGCTATCATACGAAAAAAATATATTTAATTACAGGTTATCAAGAGCTCGACGTTATATTGAATGCACTTTTGGAATTCTGGCAAACAAGTGGCGCATTTTTCATAGGCCTATAAACGTTAATATAGACTTTGCCGAAGACATAATAAAGGCCTGTTGTGTGCTACACAATTTTGTTAGAACTAGAGATGGTATACAGTTTGAAGATACTTTATATACTGGGCCAATGAGTAATCTTAATACATTACATGCAGGAAGGGGTACACCGTCATCATTAAATATTAGAGACAAATATGCTAATTACTTTGTAAATGAGGGTCGTGTAGAATGGCAAGACACAAAAATATAAAAACTTGAGAGGTGTCAAGGGACACCCGGATAGAACGAAGTTGACCTCACTGGAGGCGAGTACTAGAGGCGAGTAGCGAGGCGTGGTGTTTGCGTGCGTGAGAATCGTGAGATTTTTTTCCGTCTAGCCCCCTTTCACAACGCGCGATAAGGAACTTCGTTCCAAAATTAAAATTTGTTACAGTTCGCGCCAAATAACTAAACTCAAGATGGCGTCGCGTCGGTTGCACATAGTCACTAGCTACTCCGTTACTATGCTAACGTGATATTTTTCCCGCGCCCGATACTTACCTCCAATCACAATAACAACATTTTTATATAGTTTAGTTATTTGGGGTGGACTGTCAATTACAAAATATGTAAACTACCCTGATAAATGTAAAATTAAATACATACTGACCAAAAAGAACCTTTTTTCCAAAGAATCCTCATTTTCTCCAAAAATATCCACCAGCTCCTGCCAAGCTCCGTTTCTAATAATTTTATTGGAATATTCTGCACATTGGATGTCCCACAAAGCAGGTCTCTTTTCCACCTCATCGATGAATAGCTCGGTGTCGAAGCGATCCATTGTCACCGTCCGATACGCGCGGCTTCCGCAGAGCAACTGAACGCGCTCTAGGTACGTCAAGTAAATAGATCCGAGCGGCAACCGCGCGAATTCATTTTCTAGCGGTTGAGTGGCGGTAGCCGCGCGGTTTGTCAATCCGCGCGGACAGGTATGAACGAATTTATAGGCGCTAATGTAAATAAGATCCGCGCGGTCTAACCGCGCGATTTGCATCCGCACGGATTCCGCCATGTCTGAACTAGCTCTTAATAATGTGCAAAAGTTAGTTTTCGTTACAGCAGAATGAAAATTTTCTGGCTTTGACAGAAATGCGCGGACTGTAGATTGCCAATATGTTTTAACAGGTGCAAATACGCTTACGTCTGCTGGTTGTAAAATATGGGTGGTGTTGGGCGGCAGGGGATACAAAATAATTTGCAGTTGTTCACATGCTGTACTTAGCATTAAGGACATATGCGATTTATGCCCATCTACCAGCAGAAGCACGGGTTTTTTAATATTATTTTCAAGTATCCAGTTGTTAAACTCGTTGGTGATGTATTCAAAGAATACTTCTCTCATCCAACCTGTCTCCGATCTGCCTAAGCACCAATTTTGGGGCATACTGTTTACTACAGCTTTCGGTGGTCTAATGTATGGAAACACAATACACGGTGGACACATATCTCCATTCGCATTAAATGTTAATAAAACCGTTAAGTTTTCTTTTTCATTACTTTGCTCAATTTGAGCGTATGATGAAAATACCTGATAAATTCGTTTTATTTAATCGATCATAGACGGCTGATGCTATTTGATTAGCTGTTTTACCATATTCGTTTTCTGTCCAGGTGTATGCATAGGTCGTGTTCTTATTAAGCTGTCTTTAGAGGTTCCTTGCACAATAGTGAAATTATGTAAATAGAATTGTCGGCTGTAGTAAGCACTTTGGTCTGGAATTCGAGGTAGTGGACTGTTTTTTTGGCAGTCAAAGGAAAATGTTATCATATAGTTTTTTTGATCCTGTAGCATTTTGAAGAACGCTTTTGCTCGTAATTTATTTACTCTACTTGTAATTATTAACTCATTTTTCTTGACTTCATCGTTTTCGTTTTTGATTCTCTCATTTAACTCTATACAAGTTGAACAGACGTCAGTTTTGGGGGTACCAAAACCTAAATTAAATTCTCTGTTAAAAATATGGCGAAAGTATGATTGTTTTACAAGGGATTGAGGATTTTCGTTTTTAAACATTTTACTTTCACTAGATAGGTATTTGCGTTCTTGAGTGGATGATTGACAATAATGCGATTCGATACATTTTAGTTTCATAATATACTTTCGAATGGACTCCTTCTGACCTTGAAATTTATTTATTTTTCGATTACCCCCTCGTCGTTCCGTGGCAATCTGCCCTGTATAAAATAAATGTTTCAAGGCATACTTTACACGATATTTTGTTATGCCAAGTATATTTAGGAACGCTCTTTGGCAAATAGAAACACAATCATTGCGAGCTCTGAAAACGCTATACTTTATATTAAAATCTCTACCTAATCTGATGTTTTTGGTAGGTCGCCTTCTTTTTACCTTCTGCGTTTTACAGCACTTCAGTATCAAAGCATCTTGGTCACTCCGTTTATTTGAGGAATAAAACGAACTGTGAAAATTCATAATATCAGTCATTGTCAAACTCGAACATTTTAGATGTTTATTTTTATGTGAACATATTATTCGTTCAGGTGCTTTCTTTGGCATATACCTGTAAAATAGAAAAAAATGCTGTGTTATAAGAGAGCATCATGTCTTTGCAAGGTTTCAATTTTCCGTTGGCCAAACTTGGCGACGAGGACAGTGATTTCAAATGTTGGGCATACGTCACCAAGGACAATAATATTTATTGTAAACTAAAGGAGTTTGCATTGCTCCTGGGCTATGAGAATGTTAAAAAAGCTTATAGAATTGTTCCAGATGAATGGAAATGTTCATGGAACAAGTTGGGCCCGATCACGGCCCATCTTGAAACGCCACCAAACTGCGCCCAGAGACGCTTTTTGTATCAGAACCCGGTATCTACGCTCTACTAGCGCGCTCAAACTAATCGCAAGCAAAAAAGTTTATGCGCTTCGTTTACGAAGAAGTGCTGCCCACTATCAGAAAAACGGGCGCGTATGTTTCTTTGCAAATCGGCCAAAACCAAATTTCCGAGTTGCTTTCTCTGATAATAGATAAAGACAAACAAATGGCTAAATTAATTGAAAAAATCATCGACGCCAACTTAGCCCGGACCTAAGTTGGCGGTGATGACTGAACGCGACGAAACTAAGCACCATCTCCACGTATACAAGAGGGACGACTGCTATAAGTTCGTCCGCGCGCAAAAGAGAAATCTGTCGCAAGCTCTCAAGCGGATACCCCCCGGCTACGAGCTGGTCCTCCAACGGACAAATATTCCAAATGGAGTCAATGTTCTTAATCGCACCAAGGAATTGCTCCTCCGTAACTCGTACAAATCTCGTTATAGATGTGCCTAGTCTTGCGAAAGACCTGTTATCGACTAACTATCTCTAGTGAATAACGCTCTCCGCGCCGTGGCTATTTATCAGACTTATTTAATAATTACAGGGGAAGTCCCCACGGATAAAAAAACCCTACTGGAATCAGTCGCGCAATATTGTTGGCATAATAGATTATTAAAATTTTTTATTGCAGTTTTATCATAATAATATAATTGGTATTTGGAACTAAAAACATGTAGGTACATCACTAACCTTTGTTTCTTAGCGATATTAGCTTTCCAGTTCTCGGGGTTTCTTGTTCTTTTACGAGCCTTGTTCGCAGTTGCTTTTGTTACAAGGACCTCCATAGTTATCCAAATTCGAAGATTAGAAAACGAATTGACACTTAATTCAATAAAAATACAAGAATAATGCTAAAAACTGGACGACACATTCACATGAATTGTATGGCAACGGCCATGTTAGTTTTCAGAAATACTGTCCTCTAATTGGTTGGCGTACCTCGTAAGCTATATTTGATTCTTACTGGTTGGCATGTAGCTGTCTTTGACATAGACTTAGTATATACTGGCGTATAGACAAACTGGCAGCTCGATAAAGCGTGACCAATTTTGATTTGTCAGTGTGTGCATTAGCTAGTGATGTACCTTTTACTTTGGAGGACTATCGATAACTTATTGAAGTTAGATGTTCGACCCTTGGAGAAAGTTGTTCCATAGACTGTTTTTGTCCAGATTATAATTATGACATTATGTAAAAAAAAATGCATTAATAAAAAAAACAACTTTTTTCATTGCTTCTTAATTTATTGACCTTTAAACAGAACAATCTTATTAAACTGGTTAATTACAGTTTCCTTTCCTAAATTATTAAGTTTACATTCATACTTAAGTCGAATGTCAAAGTAAATTTCTATAACGTATTTCATTATTAAATACCTATGACCACTTAAAATATCTTGGTCCAAATTGTGGTTTTCCAAACTCGAAAATAAGCCGGAATTATCTTCTAATATAAGAAGTACCGCTTTGCAAATTGTAGATTTCCCAATAGCTTGAGTGATTTTTTTATTTTCACGAATAAATTTTTCTATTTTTAGACAAAGTTGTATCACATCTTTTGAAGGGTATGTTAAAAAGCCTTGATCAGCCTTAGATGAAAAGTCTCTTTTGTTTATGAAGGATTCTTGGCTACTACATTGACGGGAGGACTGTAACGCATTGCAGCACTCTTCGCAAGAAATTTTTATTTTAATTTTTTTTACGACAAACCCTGCTATATACTCTACGACATTTTTTATAGTTTTTGATAGTGTGTCTTCATTGTGAGGTATATATAAGTCATCAAAATCATTTTATTTTTCGGTTTCTTGAGATAATGAAAACTCCTTTGTTATTTTATTATATGTCAAAGATGTATTAATTTGCTGGTCAGTAGTCAATTTTGAGTTCGATAGAATCGTTATATCTTCTAAAGCCAGGCAGTTGCCACTTTCGGAAGTTTTTATTTCAGTGTGACAAAGCAAACGCTTGTATGCAGACATAAAACTTCTAAGGGTCGGGTTATTATTAAATCCACCACGAGATCTAACAGCACTGAAAAAAACTTCGAGGTGGTCCTGAGATAATTTATAAAAAGGGATAAATTTCAATGCACCTTTTTCAATAAAATCAACATAAAGACACTTTAAAGATCTTATGTTTATCAAGAAACCAAGTATTCCTAATTTTCTTAGTAATAATATATTCATTACCGGAGAACCATTTTCAAATTTTAGGTTGCGAAAATAATAGTAAATTTGATCTAGTTTATTAAAAATTTTGTCTTTATTTTGCTTGCAAAGTGGTTTTTTAAATCCAAAGTTCAAAATGTTTCTTGAATTAAATATGTCAAATATGTCATTAACGTGGGTGATAAACGTGACAGTTGTTTTTGAATTTTGAAACTGTGGTAATTTTAAATTTTGTTCACAATACTCTATTGCTGTAGCTACTGAACGTGATAGTAACTGTGACGCCAGTTTTACTTTCATTTTCTGTTTGACGTAATTAATATGGCGAAACGTTAATTTGTTAGCAAAGTGAAGACCTATTTCTTTCTGTAATTGGTGAAGAGCTTCTATGTAACCAAAATCTATTTTGTTAAACACTCCATCGAAGAGGACTCTCTTTTCGCCGAAAAAGTTGCGGATCAATTTTAATAAATGACAAGCATCTAAAAATAATAAATATTTTCGACCTTTATAAACAAAATGTGATTTTAAATTAGGTCCGAAAGAAAAATCTGCACCTAATACCTGGGCCATGTTCAGATTTGATGCAATGCCATCAAATGTAATGGAAATTACCTCACATCCCGTAAGATGTAATAAATCCAGACATATTTTTAAAAGATTTGCTTTTTGGGATGCCGTGAATCCTCTGCCCGGAAAGTAGCCTACTGGAATTTTCCAAAACGAATTCAGTGCCACAACCATAAAAACTAAAACCTGGTTCGCAATTGCAGCACCATCCATAGCTAAGTCATTACCTAAATTGACGAATCCATAATGTCTCTGGCCTACCCATTCTGTGTGTTCACGAATACTCATTTCATCGAAAGTAAGACATAATTTTAGATCAGGCTTCCTTTCTTTCATGTTTTTAATAGTGTTTAGAGATTCTTGAGTAAATCCAGGTTCACAGTCCAATCTGGCGTACCAGGTACGCAATAGCGGCCTTCACACGTGCAGTTCGGAATGGCATTTCTGGAACTGCGCACCAATCTGCAGATAAATCTGTGCAGACTAGACCGCGCGCTGATCTGTGCTTCTACTTTACGCTTCAATTGTAATAACAGTTTGAACTGCGGTTCAAACTGTCTATTTCGCTTTCCTGCAGATAAAACTGTACGTATAAATGCTTTTCGAGAGTTTAGATCGCAGTATGGAATGGCGCGTGGAATGTCGACCAATTTTAAAAGTTTTCTTTCAGTTTTAACCGGTACAGTAGAAATGGATACACGTCTAGTGATCGCGTTAGCTGGTTTTGTGGTTGGTTTTAATAATCTAAAAAGGAGACGTGTATGGGTTAAGAAATATAGACGAAAATTTGGACATTTACCCATGTTAAAAAAAATACGAGAAAACTATCCAGAAGATTTTAAAAATTACCTACGGATGGACGGCGATAATTTTGATTACTTATTGGAACTTATCCGTCGCAGAATTACTAAGCAAGATACAGTTATGAGAAAATGCATAACACCAGAAGAACGTCTTTCCGCAACATTAAGATATCTGGCAACTGGACGTTCATTTGAAGATTTAAAATTTTCTTCTGGCATTTCTACATCAGCTCTAAGCAAGATAATACCGGAAACGTGTAAAGCGATTTACGAAACGTTGAGGAAAGATTACATGAGGGTAAGTATTAAAACACTATTTTAATTTATTTACCTTTTTAATTACGAATACGAGACAAAATTAACTTAATCATTTTTGATCAAATTTAAATTAATCATTTTTAATCAAATTTAAATGAATTCAAAAGTTAGCGTCATCATAGTTAGGCAGTTGTCCCACCAACGACGAGAAAACGACTAACTATCGGCTATTTTCTCGCTCAAGAAACGTACAATAGATATTCTTTTCGTGTGAACAAAAGAGATGCATATACAAACAGTTGATCGCTGACTGTTCACACTGCCGGCGAGCACTCGCTTCACTAGTTTGTCGCTGAGCGACAAGAGCTATGAAAGATAACACTCGCTCGGCGATACTCGCCAAGCGATTAGAACTCATGCCGAGAGAGCAACCAGTGATTATTTCTTGCTAAACTTGACTGCTGCGACCGAGTGATGCGAGTAATCGCCCATCTCACTCGCACACTCGCTTATAGCCGAGCTACACAAATTTTGGAACTACGCACTCGCTCCCCGCGTCTCGCTAACTCGTTTCTGGTTCTAGCTCTACTCGTTACTCGTTAATCGTTGCCGGTGAGACAAGTGCCTTATGGTAGTATTCTTTGAGAATAGATTCTGTATTTTCTGTGTTATGAGTATGTTGAGGTTCAGATAAAATTATATCAGAGTTTTCTTGAAGTGGTGTAGACGATGACGATGGCCCAGAAATGTTAGTATGAAATACAACTTTATTGCATTGTTTATCACATATATCTGACGTTTCTGTTAGTTGTTTTAAAATGCCTTTGCGCATAACTGTATGTATAATTGATTCTGCATATAGAGCTTGGACTTTGTCCATTTTTTCAATTTTTTTTGAAATTGTCACTCCTAGAGCTTCATATTCTGTCATCTGTCTGCTCTTTTTTTGAAGTGCTTCTGTGCATACATTAATGAACTTAATTTGAGTGTCAATTATATTTGACTTCCTCTTCGTTCCCCGTGGAGTAGGGGTTGATTCCTAAAAAAAATGTAATAAAAATGAATATTTTTACAGTTTCCTAATAAAAACGAATGAGTTGCAGGTTGAGAACAAAGAGACTTAATTAGTTATACAATGTACAGACTACATACTAGCACAGACTACAAGTAGCACAGACTGATATCAAGTAGACTATTTTGATACAAGTAAACATATCTTAACAGCACCACTTATCAAAATAATCAAATACTAAGCAGTAATAAAACAACTTTGACAATTTTAAACATTTTGAATTCCTAATAATTTTATAAGATAGTTATGTTTGGCAGCACTCAAACTTTTCGTTAATATATCAGCAGGCATCTCAGATGTTGAAAGATATTCAATTTTAATAAGGCTATTAGAGACTGCTTCACGTATGAAGTGGTAGCGAACATCTATATGTTTAGTTCGTTTGTGAAACAAAGGATTCTCTGTCAACTTTTTGGCTCCCTGGTTATCATTGTAAATTACTACAGTATAGTTACAACCAATAATATCTGATATAAGACTTTTTAAATATATTGCCTCTTTACATGCTTCAGCAATGGCCATGTATTCGGCCTCGGTACTTGACAAAGCTACCGTTTGTTGCTTCCTACATTCATAGGATATCACACAGCCTGACAATTTAAAACAAAATCCTGTGTAGGATTTCCTATCTACAGTATTCGACGCCCAATCAGCATCTACAAAACCTTCTAAATTACAGGTATCTTTAGTAAACTTCAAACCATAAGATTTAGTTTTTTGCAAATATTTTAAAATTCTTTTCACATGATGCCAATGAACTGAACTAAAACAATTATTAAACTGGCTAAGGTAGCTCACACTATATGATATATCTGGACGTGTTAATACTGACAAATACATAAGATTTCCTATAAGCTGTGGATAGGGAAACTGTTTGTCAACACATTCTGCCTTTTCTAATTTCAAATTACATTCCATAGGAGTATCTTTAGTATTACAATCAGTCATATAAAACTTTTTAAGAATTTGTTTTACAAATTGTTCCTGATCAATAGATATACAGTTATTTTCACATTTCACTCTCATGCCTAAACACCTTTTAATTTGACCTAAGTCTTTAATTTTAAATTTAGACATAAGTTTTTTCTTAAGATCATTAGTCATAGTTTTACAATTAGAAAAAATAAAGAAATCATCAACAAATATTGCAATGATAATCTGCTCATTCTTACATTTTTTACTGTATAAACATGGTTCTGATACTGACTTTTTATAATCTAAATCTATCAAAAAATCGTTTATTCTAGCATTCCATGCCCTAGCAGACTGCTTCAAACCATAAACTGCCTTTTTAAGTTTAAGAACACAATTACTCGGACAATTTAAATTAGCAGGTGCTTGCATGTATACATTTTCTGTTAAAAAACCATTTAAAAATGCTGTAACTACATCAAGATGAGTGATTTCAAAATTATATTTTACACTTATTGCAAACAATAATCTAAGTGTAGAGTACCTGAGAACAGGTGAGTAGGTCTCATTAAAATCTACTCCGTGCTGTTGAGTGTAACCTTTCGCCACAAGTCTTGCTCTATACCTGACACTGTTATTGTTTTCTGGCTTTTTCTTGAACACCCATTTGCATTGTACTACTCTATCTGCCTCATCTTGACTGACAATCTCCCAGGCTTGGTTATCCTCAAATGCTTGAAGTTCATCAGACATAGCCTGCTGCCACTTGTCTTTCTCTGGACCGTTGGTAGCTTCATTATAACTTATGTCTTCAGCCCAAGATTCTGATTCATCTGAAACACAAAGATTAGTAAAACCATATCTTTCAGGAGGTTTCCTGATACGCTTTCCCACCAATGGAGGCTCTTCATTTTCAGATAGATCTTCTTTTCATTTAATGTATGATAAAGTTCTCCTTCAGTTGAAGTTGTGCTTTTTTCTGAATCATATACATAGGTAGGATCATCCTGATTTGTTAATGTATTGTCACTTTCTATCATAGAACTTTCCTCTTCTACTGATTGCTGTTCTTTTATCTGTCCTTCGTTTATTTCTATCTCAGTAGTATCTTGCTCCATTATAATGACATCTCTACTGGTACATATCTTTCTAGTTTCTGGGTTGTATAATCGGTAACCTTTCACATTTTCCGAGTATCCCACTAATATGTATTTAACTGCTTTCTTGTCCCACTTAAATCTTTTATTTTTAGGAACATGCATCATTACAGGGCTCCCAAATATTCTGACATGACTGAGGTCAGGTTTATGTCCTGTCCATACTTCAATCGGTGTCTTTTGGTCCAAACCTGAAGCTGGCGATCTATTTTTCAAGTATACTGCCGTGTTAACTGCTTCTGCCCAATAACTTTTATCCAGTTTGGCCTCGAACAATAAACATCTTGAACGTTCAACAATTGTCCTGTTGAATCTCTCGCTGACACCATTCTGCTCCGGAGTATATGGGTTTGTCTTCTGATGGATGATTCCACTATCTTTCAGATAATTTTCCATCATATCTGAGCAAAACTCCCTCCATTGTCAGTTCTCAATGTTTTTATTCCTGTTCCTTTTTGCTTCTCAACCATTCTTTGAAATTCCTTGAAATACTGTAGAGTCTGATTCTTCTCCTTTAGAAAATATACAAATGCCATCTTGCTAGCATCATCAACAAACAATAGAAAATATCTTGCCTGTCCAATCGATCGAACCTCCATAGGCCCACACAGATCTGAGTGAACTAAATCTAGCAATTCTGTACTTCTATGGTTTCTTAATTGGAATGGTAAACGACTCTGTTTCCCTTCACAACATACCTGGCAGTTTATTTTCTGAATATCAGCCTTCATATCAAATGATATGCCATCTACAGCACCATTTTTCATCTTCTGCAAATCATTACTGTTAATATGACCTAATCTCCTATGCCACTGTTTTGCATCTGTAATTTGAACTGCTGCGGCCAACACTTTCTCTGACTTAACTGTATTCAACTTATACACACCATTCTTTAAATTTGCTATTCCAATAAGCTCATTCCGTTGATTATGTATATAACACACATCACTTTTGAAAATAACTTTGTTTCCTTTTGCTATTAGCTGGCTTACTGATAATAGGTTTGTGGTCAGGTTAGGTATGTACAAAATGTTGTTCACTTTAATGTCAAACTGAGAATTATTCACAAGCGTAGTTATCTGTGTATTCCCGGCACACACAACTGGCACAGTCATATTATTTGCAACAATAATTTCCTTCATATCGTGTACTTTTCTCACTTCCAATAAATTTTCTCTGCATGATGTCATATGAGTACTAGCCCCTGAGTCAATATACCAATCATCCTTATTAAATTCACTATTAAAAAATGCAGCACTAAATGCGTTTACTTGCTTTTCTTTAACTTCAGGACATTGGTTTTTGAAGTGGCCAATTTTCTTGCACTTATAGCATTTTATAACCTTGATAGGTTGCGTCATATCTGATTGTCTATTAATATGGCCGCTTTTAGTATTGCCACTTTTCAATCTATGTCTTCCTTTCGCAATAAATGCACTTTCCGAACCGGATGTAGTACCAACATAATCATCAGCACACATGTCTATCAATTTTGTTTTTACAATATCTGCACTAACCTCTATTCCAGAATGCTCAATGGCCATTATCATAGGCGCATATTTTTCTGTCAATCCCGCTAACATTAATGCTCCAATCCACTCATCAGTTATACTGAATCCTGTTCCTCGAAGTCGCTGGCCCGTTTCTACAATTTGAGTAACATACTGTGCCATTGACTCACAGTTTTCTAACCGAATGTTAATGAGATTTCTCAGTAGACTAATCTTCCTCATGTAGCCGGAATCATCATACATATGTTTAAGCGTAGACCATAAATCATATGCCGTAGCTGCCTGCTTGATATGAACATATAAAGATGTATCGATTGTTAATATCAATTTTGCCTTGGCCTTAGCATCACTTTCAATATCACTCGCAGACGCCGATGCTGATAGCTGTGTCTTGATTTTATCCGCCATGTTTTCTAGCACCAAAACATTTTGCACCGCAAAACACCAGTCGTCATAGTTTTCACGACCCTTCAACTTTGGGACGTTGGCTATATAATTCACCGACATTATTATAGCAGTATGGATAAAGATAATACTTTAAACTTCCATAATACACTTAAAAAACGGGTCTGGGCCCATAACCTAATAAAAACGAATGAGTTGCAGGTTGAGAACAAAGAGACTTAATTAGTTATACAATGTACAGACTACATACTAGCACAGACTACAAGTAGCACAGACTGATATCAAGTAGACTATTTTGATACAAGTAAACATATCTTAACATTTCCTACACGCAAAGAAGAATGGCTGGAAATTGCTAAAGGTTTCCATGATCATTGGAATTTTGTTAACTGTGGAGGCGCACTGGACGGAAAACATATAAGAATTATTCCTCCTGCCAATTCTGGAGCAAAATATTACAATTATAAGAACTTTTATAGTATGGTTTTAATGGCTCTGGTAGACTCAAACTATGAGTTTATTTTTGTTGACGTTGGTAAAAATGGCAGGATGTCCGATGGGGGTGTTATTGAATACACAACCTTTTACAACAAATTATTAAGAGGACAATTAAATTTACCCGAGAGAAGCGAGAATGTTCATTATTTAAATTACGTTTTCATTGGTGATGAAGGTTTTGCTTTGAATGAAAACTTTTTGACCCCCTACCCGCAAAGAGAACTTGATCATGAAAAACGAATCTTCAATTACAGACTCTCACGTGCTCGTAATGTTGTTGAAAATACTTTTGGCATAATTGCCTCTAGATTTCAGATACTACGTACACCTATTAACATGAAACCAGAAAATATATGTTACATAGTACTAGCAATATGTAGTATTCATATTTTTTTAAGAAAGAGAAGTAATTTTTATATGTCAGCATCAACCGTGGACAAAGAAAATATTGAATCGAGTACTGTTTTAGACGGAGATTGGCGCCAAAACAGCTCTGAACTAACTCCATTGGACAGATATTCGGCCAGAAATGTGCCTTCCTTAGCTAAACAGAGTAGAGATGAATACAAAACATATTTCAATACAATAGGTAAGGTTTCTTGGCAAGAAACTATGATAAACGCTGGTAGATCATAGCTGTTGATATGGACAAACTGTTAATTTTTATGTAATAATTATTTAATTTAATTTTAAAATGAAAATAATCACTTACTTATACGTAATTAAAAGGATTTCTGTGAAAAACGTGTATTTATTATCTTACCTTAGTATTTGTATTTTCGGCATTAATTGGTAGCGATGCTATATTAGTAGTATCCTGTAGTGGTGATGGTGAGACATCTCGTGGCGGTGATACTGAGTTAGTTCGAGAAAATAACAGTGAAGCAACGTTTGTATATTGGAAATTTTCATTTTCTATGTCTATATTGGAAATACTTGGAGTCGGCAATTCTTGGTCTTTGGTAAACAACATTTGATCATAATACCAAAGACTTGGTTTATATATATCATCCTGTGCACTTCCGCTTTTATTTCTGGTTTCAGACACTTTTTTTAACTCCTTGCGGAATGCTCCCTTAGATTTTGTATTTTTTTCGTGACAAAATCCCGGTTCGCCGTTGTAAAACCAACATTTTTGCAATATTCGATGAGTTCGTCGTAAGCTTTTTGTTTTAAATTACGGTTTGTATAAGCCGACTTATTTTTAACTTGCCATAAACATGGATGTTCCCGATATATCCTTATAAAACCTGTCACTGCTTCCACGCTCCAAACTGCCATTTTGAAATAATTGTCATCCATACGAGGCATCCGCATAAAACTGTACAAACGTTCGCACACACCAATGCGCCGCATCGAAATGTCAAACCACCACGCGCTTGTCACGTCTACACGGACGGATTGGACGACAGATCGGAATGGGCGGGCTGTTTCATACGGTTCGAACTGTACGTGTGAAGGCCGATATTGTGTTAACATGTGGAAGACACAAATCAAATTTTTTCAGTCAGCTTTTTTGTTCTTGGTGTGAGCTGAACACTTTTTTCTGGAGCTTGTGATATCGAAGGTAGAGCTATGTCCCGATTGATATACGATGACGGGATTCTCTCTTTTATATGTCCCTGAAAATGTGAAGAAAAAAATACATCATTATTTAATAAAAAAATAAACTTCATAAAATTAGAATAAAAAGGTATTGGATGAAAATCTGGTATTTTTTACAATTATTTTAAAATGAACCAGGCGATCAACGCCAACAAACCGGCAACGCGTTTGGCGCAATAGGCCCTAAAATTTCACCAATTCTAGCGTATATCAATGTTTTTATAGGTGTTATTGATATTCGTAAAATAGCAATATGCTTACTGGTACAAATAAAGTTGGAATGGCTCCTTTAACTAAAACTGTATTTATTCGTCTTTTTCTTTTATATTCGTCCGGGAAATGTTTGCTGCAAATGGTAGAGTTCTTCTTTGGATTCCAACCAACACGCCCAATTAATCTCAACCATTTTCCTCTTAGTATAGTATCTAGAGGGAATCTGTTGGACAAATAATACAAAATTGGGCAAAATGGTTCAGATACGAGACGGTAAACGTAAGCAAGCATTTATTTTCATAAGTAACATTCAAGATAAAATATCGATAATTCTATCGATTAATTTGAGTCAATCCCTAGCGTACATGTAAAATTAATTGATGAAATATTTATTCACTAAAATCATGTAAATTATCAACAAATGGACTTCCACATATACAAAATATGAAAGTAAACAAAAGCATTGGCATTATTTTATATTTTATATAGGATAAAAGACAAATTTTAACCAAAAATAAACGCGTCATGCCAGTGATGACGATTTGGGTATTTACCTGTGAAATGTGCAATTTTCAGGATTATTTCTATTATTAACACCACAATCACTCACATAACATGTAACCATTGTTGAATACAATTAGATTTACTGAAAATAAACCACGATGTATGCAAAAAATCCAAAATACTAAGGGGTTGTTTCTCCGCGTGCCGACTTGTGATGACCTGTCATTCAAAACCAGTCACAGTTTCATTGGATTCGCTATCCTTTTCTATCTTGCCAAATTTCCGTAAGGGATTTTCTTCTCCCTCGCTCGCTTTGTTGGTCTATACGCCAGTATATACTTAGTCTATGGTCTTTGATGCCAGTATCGATTTTTGACCCGAATTTTATAGTAATTTAGCTGCATTTGTTAGTAAAATCAATATGCTAAAGTATGAACAACTGACCAAACTAGATGGCTCCATAGTTAACTCATTTTACGATATTATGGCGTTTAGCTGCCTTTGATTTTATAGGCCTCAATTGGTCTTTTTTGTTGTATTCTAAAAATCATTGAAGCATTAAAGAAATACTACTTTTAATATTCTTATCGACGGTTAAGGTCCAATAGTATTTATCTCAATAAAGTGAACTTTTCAGGAGATAAAAAAACATTTCTCGACTTTGAATAGAAAGATACTTGAAATGTGAAAAAATATGCTGAAATACGATAGATATCCTAGCATTAGCTTAAGATTGGCCTATTTAGAATTAACGTGAGATAGGTGGTATTGGTTTTATTAGTGTAAATATTTTTGAAATAAGTAGTAGTTAGCCGTTTTTGAAATAAAACAACACAATGAAAAATCACATTTTTTAATAATGTTCACAATGAAAGATGAAATGATTGTGTTCTAAATAAGTAAAAAGACTTTAAAATAACTGAAAAAGACTTCTTAATAACTAATTATATACTTTAATAACTAAAAAAATCTTCTCATTTCATCGAAAGTAAGACATAATTTTAGATCAGGCTTCCTTTCTTTCATGTTTTTAATAGTGTTTAGAGATTCTTGAGTAAATCCAGGTTCACAGTCCAATCTGGCGTACCAGGTACGCAATAGCGGCCTTCACACGTGCAGTTCGGAATGGCATTTCTGGAACTGCGCACCAATCTGCAGATAAATCTGTGCAGACTAGACCGCGCGCTGATCTGTGCTTCTACTTTACGCTTCAATTGTAATAACAGTTTGAACTGCGGTTCAAACTGTCTATTTCGCTTTCCTGCAGATAAAACTGTACGTATAAATGCTTTTCGAGAGTTTAGATCGCAGTATGGAATGGCGCGTGGAATGTCGACCAATTTTAAAAGTTTTCTTTCAGTTTTAACCGGTACAGTAGAAATGGATACACGTCTAGTGATCGCGTTAGCTGGTTTTGTGGTTGGTTTTAATAATCTAAAAAGGAGACGTGTATGGGTTAAGAAATATAGACGAAAATTTGGACATTTACCCATGTTAAAAAAAATACGAGAAAACTATCCAGAAGATTTTAAAAATTACCTACGGATGGACCGCGATAATTTTGATTACTTATTGGAACTTATCCGTCGCAGAATTACTAAGCAAGATACAGTTATGAGAAAATGCATAACACCAGAAGAACGTCTTTCCGCAACATTAAGATATCTGGCAACTGGACGTTCATTTGAAGATTTAAAATTTTCTTCTGGCATTTCTACATCAGCTCTAAGCAAGATAATACCGGAAACGTGTAAAGCGATTTACGAAACGTTGAGGAAAGATTACATGAGGGTAAGTATTAAAACACTATTTTAATTTATTTACCTTTTTAATTACGAATACGAGACAAAATTAACTTAATCATTTTTGATCAAATTTAAATTAATCATTTTTAATCAAATTTAAATGAATTCAAAAGTTAGCGTCATCATAGTTAGGCAGTTGTCCCACCAACGACGAGAAAACGACTAACTATCGGCTATTTTCTCGCTCAAGAAACGTACAATAGATATTCTTTTCGTGTGAACAAAAGAGATGCATATACAAACAGTTGATCGCTGACTGTTCACACTGCCGGCGAGCACTCGCTTCACTAGTTTGTCGCTGAGCGACAAGAGCTATGAAAGATAACACTCGCTCGGCGATACTCGCCAAGCGATTAGAACTCATGCCGAGAGAGCAACCAGTGATTATTTCTTGCTAAACTTGACTGCTGCGACCGAGTGATGCGAGTAATCGCCCATCTCACTCGCACACTCGCTTATAGCCGAGCTACACAAATTTTGGAACTACGCACTCGCTCCCCGCGTCTCGCTAACTCGTTTCTGGTTCTAGCTCTACTCGTTACTCGTTAATCGTTGCCGGTGAGACAAGTGCCTTATGGTAGTATTCTTTGAGAATAGATTCTGTATTTTCTGTGTTATGAGTATGTTGAGGTTCAGATAAAATTATATCAGAGTTTTCTTGAAGTGGTGTAGACGATGACGATGGCCCAGAAATGTTAGTATGAAATACAACTTTATTGCATTGTTTATCACATATATCTGACGTTTCTGTTAGTTGTTTTAAAATGCCTTTGCGCATAATTGCGTATGTATAATTGATTCTGCATATAGAGCTTGGACTTTGACCATTTTTTCATTTTTTTTTGAAATTGTCACCCCTAAAGCTTCATATTCTGTCATCTGTCTGCTCTTTTTTTGAAGAGCTTCTGTGCATACATTAATGAACTTAATTTGAGTGTCAATTATATTTGACTTCCTCTTCGTTCCCCGTGGAGTAGGGGTTGATTCCTAAAAAAAAATGTAATAAAAATGAATATTTTTTACAGTTTCCTACACGCAAAGAAGAATGGCTGGAAATTGCTAAAGGTTTCCATGATCATTGGAATTTTGTTAACTGTGGAGGCGCACTGGACGGAAAACATATAAGAATTATTCCTCCTGCCAATTCTGGAGCAAAATATTACAATTATAAGAACTTTTATAGTATGGTTTTAATGGCTCTGGTAGACTCAAACTATGTGTTTATTTTTGTTGACGTTGGTAAAAATGGCAGGATGTCCGATGGGGGTGTTATTGAATACACAACCTTTTACAACAAATTATTAAGAGGACAATTAAATTTACCCGAGAGAAGCGAGAATGTTCATTATTTAAATTACGTTTTCATTGGTGATGAAGGTTTTGCTTTGAATGAAAACCTTTTGACCCCCTACCCGCAAAGAGAACTTGATCATGAAAAACGAATCTTCAATTACAGACTCTCACGTGCTCTTAATGTTGTTGAAAATACTTTTGGCATAATTGCCTCTAGATTTCAGATACTACGTACACCTATTAACATGAAACCAGAAAATATATGTTACATAGTACTAGCAATATGTAGTATTCATAATTTTTTAAGAAAGAGAAGTAATTTTTATATGTCAGCATCAACCGTGGACAGAGAAAATATTGAATCGAGTACTGTTTTAGACGGAGATTGGCGCCAAAACAGCTCTGAACTAACTCCATTGGACAGATATTCGGCCAGAAATGTGCCTTCCTTAGCTAAACAGAGTAGAGATGAATACAAAACATATTTCAATACAATAGGTAAGGTTTCTTGGCAAGAAACTATGATAAACGCTGGTAGATCATAGCTGTTAATATGGACAAACCTTTAATTTTTATGTAATAATCATTTAACTTAATTTTAAAATGATAATAATCACTTACTTATACGTAATAAAAAGGTTTTCTGTGAAAAACGTGTATTTATTATCTTACCTTAGTATTTGTATTTTCGGCATTAATTGGTAGCGATGCTATATTAGTAGTATCCTGTAGTGGTGATGGTGAGACATCTCGTGGCGGTGATACTGAGTTAGTTCGAGAAAATAACAGTGAAGCAACGTTTGTATATTGGAAATTTTCATTTTCTATGTCTATATTGGAAATACTTGGAGTCGGCAATTCTTGGTCTTTGGTAAACAACATTTGATCATAATACCAAAGACTTGGTTTATATATATCATCCTGTGCACTTCCGCTTTTATTTCTGGTTTCAGACACTTTTTTTAACTCCTTGCGGAATGCTCCCCTTAGATTTTGTATTTTTTTCGTGACAAAATCCCGGTTCGCCGTTGTAAAACCAACATTTTTGCAATATTCGATGAGTTCGTCGTAAGCTTTTTGTTTTAAATTACGGTTTGTATAAGCCGACTTATTTTTAACTTGCCATAAACATGGATGTTCCCGATATATCCTTATAAAACCTGTCACTGCTTCCACGCTCCAAACTGCCATTTTGAAATAATTGTCATCCATACGAGGCATCCGCATAAAACTGTACAAACGTTCGCACACACCAATGCGCCGCATCGAAATGTCAAACCACCACGCGCTTGTCACGTCTACACGGACGGATTGGACGACAGATCGGAATGGGCGGGCTGTTTCATACGGTTCGAACTGTACGTGTGAAGGCCGATATTGTGTTAACATGTGGAAGACACAAATCAAATTTTTTCAGTCAGCTTTTTTGTTCTTGGTGTGAGCTGAACACTTTTTTCTGGAGCTTGTGATATCGAAGGTAGAGCTATGTCCCGATTGATATACGATGACGGGATTCTCTCTTTTATATGTCCCTGAAAATGTGAAGAAAAAAATACATCATTATTTAATAAAAAAATAAACTTCATAAAATTAGAATAAAAAGGTATTGGATGAAAATCTGGTATTTTTTACAATTATTTTAAAATGAACCAGGCGATCAACGCCAACAAACCGGCAACGCGTTTGGCGCAATAGGCCCTAAAATTTCACCAATTCTAGCGTATATCAATGTTTTTATAGGTGTTATTGATATTCGTAAAATAGCAATATGCTTACTGGTACAAATAAAGTTGGAATGGCTCCTTTAACTAAAACTGTATTTATTCGTCTTTTTCTTTTATATTCGTCCGGGAAATGTTTGCTGCAAATGGTAGAGTTCTTCTTTGGATTCCAACCAACACGCCCAATTAATCTCAACCATTTTCCTCTTAGTATAGTATCTAGAGGGAATCTGTTGGACAAATAATACAAAATTGGGCAAAATGGTTCAGATACGAGACGGTAAACGTAAGCAAGCATTTATTTTCATAAGTAACATTCAAGATAAAATATCGATAATTCTATCGATTAATTTGAGTCAATCCCTAGCGTACATGTAAAATTAATTGATGAAATATTTATTCACTAAAATCATGTAAATTATCAACAAATGGACTTCCACATATACAAAATATGAAAGTAAACAAAAGCATTGGCATTATTTTATATTTTATATAGGATAAAAGACAAATTTTAACCAAAAATAAACGCGTCATGCCAGTGATGACGATTTGGGTATTTACCTGTGAAATGTGCAATTTTCAGGATTATTTCTATTATTAACACCACAATCACTCACATAACATGTAACCATTGTTGAATACAATTAGATTTACTGAAAATAAACCACGATGTACGCAAAAAATCCAAAATACTAAGGGGTTGTTTCTCCGCGTGCCGACTTGTGATGACCTGTCATTCAAAACCAGTCACAGTTTCATTGGATTCGCTATCCTTTTCTATCTTGCCAAATTTCCGTAAGGGATTTTCTTCTCCCTCGCTCGCTTTGTTGGTCTATACGCCAGTATATACTTAGTCTATGGTCTTTGATGCCAGTATCGATTTTTGACCCGAATTTTATAGTAATTTAGCTGCATTTGTTAGTAAAATCAATATGCTAAAGTATGAACAACTGACCAAACTAGATGGCTCCATAGTTAACTCATTTTACGATATTATGGCGTTTAGCTGCCTTTGATTTTATAGGCCTCAATTGGTCTTTTTTGTTGTATTCTAAAAATCATTGAAGCATTAAAGAAATACTACTTTTAATATTCTTATCGACGGTTAAGGTCCAATAGTATTTATCTCAATAAAGTGAACTTTTCAGGAGATAAAAAAACATTTCTCGACTTTGAATAGAAAGATACTTGAAATGTGAAAAAATATGCTGAAATACGATAGATATCCTAGCATTAGCTTAAGATTGGCCTATTTAGAATTAACGTGAGATAGGTGGTATTGGTTTTATTAGTGTAAATATTTTTGAAATAAGTAGTAGTTAGCCGTTTTTGAAATAAAACAACACAATGAAAAATCACATTTTTTAATAATGTTCACAATGAAAGATGAAATGATTGTGTTCTAAATAAGTAAAAAGACTTTAAAATAACTGAAAAAGACTTCTTAATAACTAATTATATACTTTAATAACTAAAAAAATCTTCAAAGTAACTGAAACGAATCTTCAAATTTAGTAGAAACAGATACAAACAACAAAAACAACTGACATACACACTCACACTACAAATGGGGCAGTGTATCATAAAAATTATGACATTCGTTTGGTAGAATTTGTTTGAGCTCTTGGAGGTGCTGGTACTTCGAGGCAGTTATAGGAATCATATTTTCATGTAAGGTCAAACAAGACACGTAGGGGTTATATCTTTTTGGTCTTTGTGGCAAGGCAAACCAATCCTGGTCGAAATTTAGTTTTACTTTAATTGTGTCTTCTTGGTTGTAAAGAATAGCTCTAAAGTCTGTTACAGTAGGGACCAGCTTTGCGTCCTGGCCTTATAGTTATGTAAAGCCAAGTAGATGTATCGGCATAATTTTTCACAAAACTATGGTCAATCTGAATTACTTCATAGGGATTTGATGCCCTTGTTTCTTTAGTTACCGAAACATAATCACATGGCAAATGAATTACACGATTTGAGAGCTTCCGTTCAATCGCACTATGAACCGAATCACACTTCATTTGAGTGTGACCACGTTCGAGGAACTTTTGGGTGACGGTGATTTTGTGCTTTATACTTAGTACTTAAGTTTAAAAGCGGATTTGCCATTATAACGTTCCGATTTTGGTACGTGCGTCGTGCAACCATCGGAATAAATAATTATGGGCATTTTCTTCGGCAAGCAATGGCAGTCTAAGTAGTCTATCACAAATGACACGAAAGTACTCGCAGTAAGGTCTGCTGCCGTTTCTGTGACCCAGTTACATGTGCAATGGCGTGAAGTCAAATCGAAGAGTGTAAAATTATGACATGTTAATTTCGTTTTAAAGTATAAAGCGATAGCAGTGGAGTAAGGGCAAACTTTAACCGACTCTAAGTTCATCGTTAATAAAATGCAATGTCCCTTAGCTGCATCCTCTTTATCCTTTGCCTTCTCTTCCCTGGCTCTATTTTTTTTAATAAGATGTACATTTGACAAGTAATGGTTAAATTATGTTCAACTTTAAAATTAACAAATGAGGAAATAATCGATTCGATTAATTTACCGAGACTGTCAAATCTCTTATCACCCTTTATATAATAGAAAAGTAGAAAATGGCGGATTGTTTACAAATTTCATTTCCGGCAGCAAAAATCACTTGGAGGTGTTCCAATGAAGGTCAAATCGGGACTCGTCGGTCCATAGTATTTTATTAAAAAAGTCAGGATCTTCATCAGATCGTTGGATCATTATTACACAAAAAGCCACTCTTCTTGCGTATTTGGATTCCTGGAGCTGCTGAACGCGTTGGATCCCATCTAAGCGCAGTTCACAATGCCATCTTCTTTTAAAACTGCAAGCTGCTTACGAATGCTTGGGATAACTAATATTACTTAAAATGAACTTATATAATACTTACCATGATTATTATATTTGTCTCGTTCAAATTTTTAAAATCATAATTTATATTATAGTTAAAATACCGCAGATTTATTCCCATGCTTTGAGCGTCAAGTTCTTGTACTTATACTCTTCTAAGCTCTTATCCTGTATAACTGGCCATTCTTGAAATTAAAGTACTTAGTAGATCGTCTTCAATATCAATATCCATTATGGCCGCCATAGACGTTCAAGTAATTTAATCAAACTGGCTGGATCAAACCGTTTTATCAAATTCTCATAATCTGCAAAGCGACCACACACCTTCACGCAGGCTTGAAGCAGCGTCAGTTCAGTATCGAACCGGACGAAGAATTGTTGTGTGTATGTGGCCGTAAAAATGTCATGTACAGACGACGCTATAGCAATAGTAGGTTAGTGTTTGCTTTGAAGGCCAAAAAAAGGACAAAAAAACGTACTGTATGGTGTAAAAAGTGGCTCATGAAAAGAGACAAATATTCGCATATAAACTTGTTAAATGAATTGAAATTTGCTCCTAAAGATTGGCATAATTATTTGCGAATGAATGAAGAAACATATTTTGTTCGTTCGTAGGACCTCCGCTATTACAGCCGGATAAGCACTTTAGACTAAATATTTTTAACAAAAACTATTTATTTAGTATTTTTTTGTGAGGACACAATGTGCACGCCGTGACTACCCGCAGTTTTTTAGATAGATGATGAATCAACACTTTTTTTGTCTAACGTTCGTTAGCGCCATATTTGAAGGTTACGTGTCCGTCAAAATTTGTTGATGCAACCCATGCTAAGTTAACATCAATGTTAATGATCTACTAGTATAAATTTATTCATACCTCTTTTTGGTCAATAACAGGTTTTTCACTAGCTAAAAATAAAAATAGAAAGTTAAAAAAATACTTTTGTAAAACCTACACTATATAATAATATATTTCACATAAAAATAATTTCTGTAAGTATTCACCAGTCTTATTTAATATTGGTAAAACTTCAGGGATATCTTCAGTTTCTTGGACACTAATCTATAAAAATAAAAACAGATAACAAATAATAATCAATCCAGCAGTTGAGCTGTGAAATGATATCAAATAAACACACTTCCAACATCAGGCATTTTATTCATATTATAAGTAGAATTATAGGTTTTTATAAAAGAGCAGTGTAATAAAATATTCTTATCAATTTAGAATCAACATCAAACTGTACTAGCCAGTCCATCCATTGAAACTGGCATCACAGTCCTCAACCAGTCAGTGTCTGCATCAGTAGGAGGTGGAGGTAGACCACCCCCGTTTTAAAACGCTCTTGCCTTTGTTTGCTTGCATCATTAAAATCAATAGGTACTTCATAGTAAAAACTTATCCATTATGTATGCTATAAAATATCTGTTATGGAAAATTGTAAGAACAAACTTTACGAGCATTTTGTTTCATGTTGTCAAATTTGGCTTGCAACTGTTTAATGGTTCGAGGGTTATCTGAAAGGGCATTAATTGCACTTGAAATTTCTTTATTTCAATATTCGGAGTCATAACATTAGTAACATTATTATTATTTTGGTAAATAGCTACCCCACCTTTTGGAACAGTATCTCGTTTGAATTTAACAATACAATTGAAATTAGGTATTTCAATCGGATTATCAGGCGTCATGCAAGTTTCGGTAAGAAGAACATTTGTTTGCCTCGTAACTGAATCTTGTAAATCTTATTTGAGACTATTTAGACTTTGGCAGTTGAAAGTAATTATTGAAATGCCATTTCTATTACTAATGAAATCTAATACACTGAGCTATCGTCTGAACACTATTTAAAGACAGTCTTTTGAATTCTTGCAACAAAGATGCAGTCGATGCAGCTTGCTTTCGATTATGATAAAACTTGAATGTAGAATTATCGTTTTTTGTCGTGATATACAATTTTTAAATATTTGTCACCCGAGAGAGCGCAACATAAACGAGTTCCTGAGAATGTGCTTTACGATACTCATTTAAATGGCACTACAATAAAAGCAGCTCTAGCAGCTTGTCCAGCCTGATTGCCTGACGGCGTCTGGGTTGGCCTTGGTTCTTCTGGAGCATTCTCAGTGTCATCATACGTAACATCCAGGTGATATTTAATATCAATAGCAATATTGTGTAGGATTGTAGTGCTACTACATATAATTTGGCATTTTCTAATGACACTGAGAAGCCATGAAGAAGACACCTAAATAGTTGCTTCCAAACACCAAAACACAGTTCTATTTTATTCCTTGTCATATGGGAATTATTGTATACCTCCTCTTGTGGTAAACTCGGATTTAAAATTGGTCTGAATAAATATGGAGTCAATGCCTTACTCGCCAAGAAGCCGTCCTTGGATCTCTCCACTCTCCATTCTTTGTCTGAGTTGACTTTCTCTAAAGATACGGCTGTCGTGAGTACTGCCTCTCTACCGTGCCACGACTTCCACAATTCGCAGTGTTGCATCACACACACACTACGTATATACTTTCCGGGACACACATCCTTTCCTGTTTATGTAGAATTGCACACTTTCACCACCAATTATGTGCTATAATTCTAACATGTCTGCAGTCGATAAATCACGCCTCTAAATCCACTAATGGATCTGAATCCTGCAGATACTTCTTCCTGTTCACGGATTGTTGCAGGTATTTTTATAAATTGATGATTTCTCGTAGCGATGATTTCTCCTAAATTAAATTTTCAACTATTTAATTTATTCTGGCCAAATTAATAAGAAGATATAACACACACAAACTTCGGGTCAAATATCCCCTCACTTTTGTGTCTTGTCGTTAAGAAACGCACAAAGAGCACACACATACCAAAAGAATCTGCACCAAAAAATCAGAGAATCTTTTGTTAACCATCACAAGACACTTAAAAAACCCACCATGGAATTTTTCAAACGCGGAGCGAAAAAAAGCACACAAAAGTTGTGTGTTACACCACCTACAACTATTTCACTTAAGTATTGCTCTTTGTTCTTGAGCACTGCACAATTCCTACACTTTAGGATATTCTTGTTAATGAAATTTAGCTCGAATCGTCACTGGGTGATAGTGCTGTGATTTTAAGAATTACTAATTGTTTTACAATATTTCTGCGCGGAATAACATTAACACTATTTTATCTCATGAAGTTACACTACTTTTTGTACTTCAGAAGAAGTCCTCTCAAAGCAACGAAGATGCCTGAATAGTGCTACGCGTTACTTTTTCAGTGTTCTCGCGACGGTAAAGCAACCAGGCATTATTTACGCAGACGTCCAGGATCTGTGAAAACAGTGGTAGATACCAACGACGGCCTTTCAGTCCGTGCGGTATAAGGCAACTAACATGTCGGCCAAATCGACGCCACCCATGTTTACATTGTAATGTATTGTCTTTTCTTCTTTCTTGTATCTCTCATTATGTTCTGTACTGGGTGTGCGCCAATGTAAGAACTTGCAGCCAAGACAAATTTATTGTCAAACCACTTCACAACAGCGATATTGTGGTCCTTTGACACAACTTGTGCATAAGCTTTTCTTCCTCTTTTCTTCAATTTTTTGTCAGATGGTAATTTCTTTTCTGCCCCTCGAAGTCGATTTGGCCTGACGGTTCCTAGAGAGAGTATACCATATTCATTCCGTAGATGATGAAACAATTCAATCGATGTGGAAGAAATTTCGAAATATAGCACGTAGATATTACGCCTCCAGAAAATAGTGGATCATATTATTTTAATTACAAAGGAAAACATAGCATGGTTCTTATGGCAATAGTGGATGCGAATTATCAATTCTTGCTGTGCGATTTTGGTACCAATGGCAGGGTTTCGGATGGAGGTGTTCTTCAAAATACAGAATTTTATGAAAAATTACAAAATAATAATTTAAAAATTCCCCTCGCGGAAAGCGTGGAACACAGTTCCAAAGACTCCCATACGTATTCGTGGCTGATGATGCATTTCCTTTAAGATGCGACATGATGAAACCATTCCGACAAATTGACTTATATTCACATAAAAGAAAGATTTACAATTCAGAATGATTTTGTGTCATAAACAAAAAATAAGTTAATTAAATAAATATGATCGACTTGTTATTATGATGAAACTTAATAAAATATGAACATGAAAATAAAATTTGTTTTATTTAGGTATTTACCTCATATTCAACATGATCAGACATGCTCGAACGTGAACTTCTTGAAATGCACTGATCTTTAAGAAAAGATAGCTGATCATAGTACCATAACTTTGGCTTATATATTTCATCAACGGCTGCCCCCGACTTCAAAGACTCCGCAACTTTATGTTCCTCCTTTTTGAAGGCTGTCCGAAAGCTGTTAATTTTTTTGGTCACCAACCAGGTCACGGTTTGCATTCGGTTCTATTTCTTTAAGTTTTTCTATTAGTTTACAATAAGCAGCATTCCGCTTATCTCTATTATGGTAATCTTTATTTTTGACGTTCCATAAACAGGTTTCATTTTAATATATTTGTATGAATTCTTCTAATTCATCGCGGTTCGTCATTATCCACTGCAAGCTGCAACACGTCCGCTAGGTAACACTTCAGCAGCAACAACTGAGCGCTCGCAACACACATGCTCAAATTTTTTATCAAACAGTTTGATCAAACCGACTGATCAAATAAAAAAACGAAAATTCATATTTCTTCAAACAATTTGATAACTCATTAAATTTGATCAAATTTTACCACAGACACTCATGCCAATTTGATAAAACGGTTTGATCCAGCCGTTTTGATTAAATTACTTGAACGTCTATGGCGGCCATTATGTTGACAAACGTGCAGGAACGCGTCACAACGCAACGAGTAATAACAAGTCACTGCAAAATGGCGTCAGATTTCGGTACGCAAAATCAATTACCCCCCCCTAATTCTTATTAGTATATAGTAAGAAATTAACAAATAAAATTACTAAAAAAAACAAATTAGATTACACGAAATTTACCACACAACTACTATTAATTAATAAAGAACACATAACCACAAATTTAACAACAATAACTGTAAGTGATGTCTATATTATCTAGTGCGAGCGGCGAAGAAGTGAGCACGGCCGTTTAGCCTTCTTCCGCGCAAACACCCGAGGGTGGCGCTGGGTGCCCCGTTACGCCCATGGGCTTGCGGGGGGTATCATGTTCGATGTTCGCGCCCCGCTCAACGGCGGGGCGGTCTTGATGGCGGGCCTGGAGCGGCCCTGTGCTTCGTTTGCGCTGTGGAGCGTCTTCTTTAGATGTTTGTATCGGTGGGGCTGGTGGCGCCCCCCCCCCGTGGCGACAACATATTTTTTTAATTGGTTATTTTACAATCGTTATTCAAAGCTCTTGCATAAGCATCAGCCAAAATATTTTCAGACTGACTCTGTGTCTGAGAATACAATTCGTCAGAAATTATTTGCATGGATCCCTCAGGTATATGGATCGTAGGGACAGGTGTATGGATTCTGTTGGGGGATTGATTATCTACTTCTTGTGTGTATGAGGCATTAGGGAGTTCAGTAGGTGGAAGAGGGGATGGAGTTTGCGCAGGTGGAATAGGGGATGGCCTTTGTATAGGAGAAGTAATTATATAAGAATGATTTGAAGACGTTAATGATGAGGGGCGATTGATCCAAGGTGACGACGGTGATGGACAAGAATAGCTGGTGGCTGAAGAAGACGGTGTTAGCAACATAATATAATGTCTATGATTCGATTGATACAGTTTATTTTTGTTATCTGTAATTTTTCTTCATTTACATATTTGTCTATGGTTTTAACTTCCTTCCGCTTCCATCGTGATTGTAAAGTTAAAGAAATTTTCCAGTATTAATAAAATGACTCGTGTACTTGCCTATATGCTTAGATTTTGTACAAATATTAATCCTAACAAAAACAACAAAATTAAAGGATTTTTATCAACCAAAGAGCTAAATAAAGCACTAATGTTAATTATAAATAATGAACAACACATATACTATGCGAGTGATATTACAAGTTGACAATCGAGTAGATAGCAATTTAAAACCTCTGACACCTTTCATAGATAAAGATGGCATTATAAGAGTAGGCGGACGTTTACAAAACGCATCAATCCCCTACTCTAGCCAACATCCTGCCATATTGCCAAAGGAATCAGTGATAACAGCCTTGTTAATTAAATATGAACACATTAAGCTATTACATGCCAGTCAAAAACTATTATTAAGCTCTATTAGGCAGAGATTTTGGATCATTGATGGTCTAAGAACAAAAAAAAAAATTATTCACAAATGTGTAACCAAATGTGTGCAGCTCAGCTGATGGGTTCCTTGCCTACGCAACGCGTAAACGCGTGCCGCGTCTTTAAAAAAATTGGTATTGACTTCGCTGGGCCAGTTTCGATAAAAAATAGCCGCATTCGGAAACCAACTATAGGCAAAGGTTACATTGTATTGTTTGTAAGTTTCGTCACTAAAGCTATTCATCTAGAGCTAGCCTCAGATTTGACAACCGATACTTTTCTCGCATGCTTTAAACGTTTCATTGCGAGACGAAACCTGCCCAGTGACGTCCACTGCGATAACGGCTCGACGTTCAAAGGGGCAAGGAACCAATTAGATGAACTGTATCGCTTGCACGCTTCTCGAAGTCACCAAAGCGAAGTACAATCCTTCGCGGCTGCTAGAGGAATAAATTTCCACTTTATACATAGTTACAGCCCGATATTTGGTGGACTTTGGGAAAGCGGTGTAAAAAGCGTGAAATATCACTTGAAACGTGTAGTAGGCAAGGCGTTACTCACGTATGAGCAACTCAATACTGTTCTAGTAGAAATAGAGGGCGTTCTTAATTCTAGACCGCTCACCGCAGTTACTGCCGACCCAAATGACCTCAAGTACCTCTCTCCAGGTCTTTGTACCAGCTACTGTCATCTTAACGGAATCTTTCTCTTCAAGAAGCGAATCCTTAGTCTTCTTCAAAGCAAACTGGAGGAGCATAGGATCACCCGAGAAGCTATGAGTGGCCTTTCCTGTCTGTAAATAAGATAGAAATTCCTGTGTGAGAGTCCTCTTTCTAAACCCTGAGAATGACGGTCTACTTGTGGCAACAGGATCCACATTTCCCAAACTTTTAGTGAGGAGTGATTGTGCCATCTTGGACACGTACTTAAACTTGATGGGTATCACAGTTGCAGAAGTTTTGGAAGCTCGTTGGTGGAATACTGAATTGAGATCCTTTCTTTGGTGCCACTTAGCGTGTGTGGTTATTTGTGCAAGAACAGAAAGATCTTCTAGGTAAGTCCCAAACAAAGCGTGGAACACAACCTCTGAAGTTTTGAGGGGATCCGCTCCTGTTTTGATTTGGAATTTGCAACCTTCTTGGATAATCACGTTGTAAAATTTCATCATTGCAGTCCCTGAAAAACTCCAGGAAAGTCCCTCAGGTTTTGCGGTCCACATTTTGTATGCTAATAATAGGGGAAAATAAATTTTCTGGGTGGATCTGGCAGTTGTCAATAAAAGGATGTCTCCAAGTTCCTTCAGAATGCCGGAAACCTGGCCGGGACTTCTTGCCTCCTTTAGGTTGTTTATGATTTCGGCACACATTGGCAGCATCTGAATACTGTTCAATAACGCATTGCTGAGTTTAGTGTGGTATTTATCCTCCATAACTAAAAGGATTGCTTGTGTCAAAGGTCCTAAACTTCTTATAACACCTGTTCTCCTCAATCAACAAATTTTGATTTAAAATAAGTATCTGTTACTGCTGCGATTCTGTAACCTGCCCAGCGACGTCCACTGTGATAACGGCTCGACGTTCAAAGGGGCAAGGAACCAATTAGATGAACTGTATCGCTTGCACGCTTCTCGAAGTCACCAAAGCGAAGTACAATCCTTCGCGGCTGCTAGAGGAATCAATTTCCACTTTATACCTAGTTACAGCCCGATATTTGGTGGACGGTGGGAAAGCGGTGTAAAAAGCGTGAAACATCACTTGAAACGTGTAGCAGGCAAGGCGTTACTCACGTATGAGCAACTCAATACTGTTCTAGTAGAAATAGAGGGCGTTCTTAATTCTAGACCGCTCACCGCAGTTACTGCCGACCCAAATGACCTCAATTACCTCTCTCCAGGTCATTTTCTGACAGGAGCACCTCTTAATTCTTATCCAGAACACAATATGTCAGATTCACCTACTAACTTACTTAAATTTTGGTCTATAACCGTAAGTATGAAACAAAACTTTTGGAAATATTGGAGTAAACATTATCTGTGTCTTTTACAAAGCAGGCCCAAATGGCGTGACGTTTCTTCTAACGTAAAAATTGGTAGCTTGGTCATATTACGTAGTGATAATAGTCCTCCTTTGCATTGGCCTATGGCTCGTGTGTCCAATATCTTTCCAGGGAAAGATGGCCAAGTTAGAACTGTCGAAGTTACTCTTTCAAACGGTCATGTTCACAATAGGGCATTATCAAAAATATGTTTGCTACCTATCGATTCATAAAAGTGTTTGATTCTAAAATGTATAATTTTAGTATTTAAGTATTCCTATGTCTACACAACCTATGTTGTAAAATTTAAGGTACAGTTACACATGCTCAAAAAAAGCATGCTTATTAGCACGCTTAAAACAAGCATGCTGTTTGAACTCGACACATTTGCTTTTATTAAGCAATAAGCATGCTTATTATAGGCATGCTTTTTAATAAGCTTGCTCAAAGCAAACCATTTAACACACATGCTCGATAGCACGGTCTGGAGACCCAGTATTCGACGTTTCTCTGTATTCCATGCAAAAGTGAAAAAAATGGAAAAACAAGTGGCCCTATCAATAGAATTGAATAAAATCATTTTGTTGATTGGCATACAATGTGTACAAAAACTTTTGACAAGAAAGAAAAAGAGAAGGAACAGGACGATTTGGGTTCGTGATTGGCTAAGTAGAAGAGAAATTCTTGGAGCAAGTAATCGATTGCTAGTAGAAATGCGAGAAGAAGATCTTGATGGTTACAAAAACCATTTACGCATGTTACCGCACCAGTTTGACGAGTTACTATCTAAAATTGAAAGTGCTATAAAGAAACAAGATACACACATGCGAAATGCTATTCCACCAAAAGTGAAATTGGAAGTAACTTTGAGGTATCTAGCAACTGGAGATTCGTTATACACATTAGGAGCCCTTCACAGAGTTGCAAGATCTACTATAGCTTTATTTCTACCTGAAGTGTGTAATGCAATATACAATGCTCTGAAGGATTATATGCGGGTAAGCAAAGTAAACTAATAATCATTAGTTAAAATCAAGTATTTATTTTTGAAAATTTAGTATAACATATCTTAGTTTTAACACATTTCCCATGCTTTGGTCAACAAATCTTGTTCGTGGACGGTAGAAGCTTGTTCCGATGATGCGTCAGGAAGTGTGTAAGTGATGGTATTTGTGTTTTCAGTAGATGGTATGTAAGTCATTGATTGTGTGTTTGTCGAAGGAGGTGTGTAAGTCATTGTTTGTGTATCTGTAGTAGGAGGTGTGTAAGTCATTGTTGGTGTGTTTGTAGTAAGAGGTCTGGAAGTCTTTGTTTGTGCATTTGTTGTAGGAAGTACGTAAGTGAATTTATTTGTGTCTATAGTAGGGGGTGTGGAAATCATTGTTTGTGTATTTGTAGTAGGAGGTGTGTAAGTCATTGTTAGTTTATTTGTAGTAGGAGGTGTGTAAATCATTGTTTGTGTATTTGTAGTAGGAGGTGTGTAAGTCATTGTTGGTGTGTTTGTAGTAAGAGGTCTGGAAGTCTTTGTTTGTGCATTTGTTGTAGGAAGTACGTAAGTGAATTTATTTGTGTCTATAGTAGGGGGTGTGGAAATCATTGTTTGTGTATTTGTAGTAGGAGGTGTGTAAGTCATTGTTAGTTTATTTGTAGTAGGAGGTGTGTAAATCATTGTTTGTGTATTTGTAGTAGGAGGTGTGTAAGTCATTGTTGGTGTGTTTGTAGTAAGAGGTCTGGAAGTCTTTGTTTGTGCATTTGTTGTAGGAAGTACGTAAGTGAATTTATTTGTGTCTATAGTAGGGGGTGTGGAAATCATTGTTTGTGTATTTGTAGTAGGTGGTGTGTAAGTCATTGTTAGTTTATTTGTAGTAGGAGGTTTGTAAATCATTGTTTGTGTATTTGTAGTAGGAGGTGTGTAAGTCATTGTTGGTGTGTTTGTAGTAAGAGGTCTGGAAGTCTTTGTTTGTGCATTTGTTGTAGGAAGTACGTAAGTGAATTTATTTGTGTCTATAGTAGGGGGTGTGGAAATCATTGTTTGTGTATTTCCAGTAGGAGGTATGAACGTTATCGTTTGTGTATTTTGGTAATGGTGTCGACGTCTTGCTGCAGTCAGAATTAATTGGATCTCATTTTGTATGTCTAATGCCTCGTACAATGGTAGGGTTCGCAATTGCGCTGCAACATTTTGAGCAAAATAATGAAATTCATCATACTCATTGTTATTTGCATTAATAGCAGCACTAATATTTTCCAAACGATCGAGTGCGTAGCTTATCGGTTCTTCTTGTAATCTTCTTTTTCTGCTTCGTGTTGATGAGCTATTAGATGAACGTGATTGTGGTCTATTATCAACTTTTGCACTCGGGGAGGGTGACGACAGAGTCACCGACTGCGGCGTTGATGAGTTAGGATATGTTAATACTACAAAGATTGAATCTATACAATGCAAATACATTTGTATAATCTTCAGAAGCTCTGATAATAGTTTAAATATACTTGCAAGTTGCTTGTTACAAACAATTTTACACGTCATATAATAATAATATTTTAAAAGCTAGATTAGGCCGGCGTTTCGTACCTGATTACTCTGAGAAGAAACATCCGAAACAAACTCAGAGATCACAGTCTCTTTTAAAGTCCAGATATGATATTGGTCGAATCATACGAGATAAGATAAGAATAAATTGTAATTAAATAATTAAAACGGGTATGTATTTAAAGTTTAAACTCAAAATAAATCAAACTCAACGACACATTAATTTCCTTGAAATAAATTTAGTTTATTGTAGAGTTGCCTTTTTGAATTAGATTTTAACTCTTCTGTTGTTTATTTTGCAATATAATGTAAACGAACGTCTATAAACTTTTCTATAATAGCTTTTAAAAGACTAATTTTGTGATTGAAAAGAGCAGGTTGTAGACGGGAATGTATGTCAATACTGGAAAATATATTTAAATGGAAGATATGTTTTAAAACTTAAGAACATAAATAGGCCTTGGTAGGGTTTTTGTAACTATTTATGCGCTGTTCCCGTCTTATAATCTCCTCTGTTTTTTTACAAACAGTGTATACGTCTTCACTCGCATAGCAAAGACCACCAAAATCCTTAAGGTCTATCAATGTATGGAACCATAATTTATTACGTGCCAGTACAGAATCATTGCAGGTGTCGCATCTTTTTCAATATATGTCTAAGAACAAATCCTGCAATGTAGCCGTAACAATTTGGCAGACATATTGTGAGTTCGAATTATTTAAAGAATCTGATAGAATATCACAATTATTTTGATATGTCTCATAGCAGCTACTATCCTCACCCGGCAAATATTCATTTTCAATATCAAAACGACATCCAATACTACTATTGTTAATATTTGATACTGTTGTGCCGCAATTTAGAAAAGGCACATTTTCTAAAGGAATGGAATTGCCTGTAAACTTGGAACCGAGTTCCAGATGCATTAAAAGTTTTTTATATGCGGATTTAAATTGACGGGAATTTGGATTATTATTGAACCCTCCTTTACTCCTAATATTGCCGAAAAAGAGCTCCACGTGATCCTAGCTAAACTTATAGGCTAATATTTAATGTAAACATTTTGAATTAAACAATTCAGTTGGTTTTACATATGTGAATAGGTCTTGACATAAATTTGAGTCTTATTTAAATCTTTTCGTTAAAAAAATTAACGCATTCTTTAGTGAAATAGTCTTTGTAACAAGTCTCGAATTCTTTTTCCTTAAGTTGTTAATGACTTTTTCCTTGCTAGTTAACCTTTTGCGGCATTTGTGAAGTTCGCTTTTCATACGAACTTTTCGAGGTGTATCCAAAACTGACCCCGTGCTTAGAGAAGTGGTAGGAGATTTGAATTTCTTTTCAATTTCTAAATTAAACATTGAACTCGTAGGAAACACTTCAGTATCACCGCCATCATCCGGTATTTCAATCTGTAAGCAATATCAAAATTAATAAGTATCTATTAATATACTAAATAATATTTCAAAATATAGTGGCACTTTTTTTATGGGGTAGTAAAATCATCAAATGAGTCCTGCCGCCCTGGGCGTGGCGGGAGGAACTGTCAGACTCTTACTGACTAAATCCACCCTGCCCTGCGATTCTGTAACTCACTGTTAATCCGTGAGTCTATCACGCACTAACAGCGATCCCTTCGTCACTCACGTAATTTTTGGAATCTCATGGTATTCTGTTAAGAAATTTTACATTACGTCTTGATAAGTGGAGGGCGTTAACCTAGTGAGTTGTTGTCTATCTTATTATATATATTATTGTTAATTGTCAAATTTAAAATTCTTAATTGTCAAAGTTTAAATTTAGTAAACAAATAACGAATATTTCATATTTGATTTTTGATTTTTGTTGAAGTTAAAGATTAATTAAAGCTAAAAGGTAAAAAATAATTATGTAAGTTTTGAGAGAGAAGCAAAAATCTTGTTTCTAATTATTGTATTGATTGAAGTCTAATATAAGTTTAAGTTTTAATTTAAAAACAGAACGAATTACGTTGGCAACGACAGCTTTTTAGGAAACACTTAAGATTTATTATTGTAGAGTTTCAAAGTGTAAGGATACAGAGATCTTTAAAATATAATTGTACTTTTAATATGGAAAGAAGAGCCCATCCGTCGCAAAATCAGTTGGAAATTTTATTGAAATTTTTAGAAGATCAGCATAGTTTAGCAAAAGGATTTTCAAAAATAGCCTCAGCTCGACAGCATGCTCACGCCGAGTGGTCCAAGTTAGCTTTGAAACTAAATAGTGAAGGAAGTGGCAGTGTTAAATCTCCGAAAAGATGGATGAAGGTATGTTAAAATTCATAATTTTTTTTACCATCAATTTCCATCCATTCAACCATTGAGTTGAAATATAAGCAACTAATGCCCTTTTTTCTACTTATAGTATGGGAGTGATAAAAAGAGTGCAGTTAAAAAAAAAGCAGCCATAAGGACTGGTCAAAGACGTCAAACTGGTTGTGTTATAGCAGAGATAGTGCACTTAACTGAATGGGAAGAGCGCATTATTTCTTTAATGGGGAGTGACAGATTTTATGATGGAGATCCTTCACTTCGAGTTCATCCATTTTCAGTAAGAAAACCTACACCCAAAAATGCTTATGACTAAAATTTTTGAATGAATGTCATTAATATATATTTCTCACAGGGCCCAACCAGTAGTTCCTCAGGCAGTATTAGAATTTTTACACCACCGCATAGTATTGCACCAGTAACTTTAATTGTAAGTCAAGTAGAAAATAATAAAGTGTTTATGAAATTAATGTAATCATCTCACCTATCTTTTGAGTTTTGTGACTTATTTGTTTATTTAAAATAATAGTACCTATATCATATTTTTACTTTTAGGAACCAAGTACAATATCTAACATTAACCTAGATATTCAAGAAAACCCAACAATTGCTGAAAATATTAATGTGAGTTACTATCTATTCCTTTTAAAAATTGATTGAGTCTTTGAAATACACAAAAAAAACTTCATTTACCTCTGATGTTTTATAATTAAGAAAGAAATAGAGTTTATCACCAATATGAATGTTTAGATAATTGTAATTATATGAATAAATCTTTTTATAATAAATTTTAGGATAACACAGTACATTCATTGGTCAATTCAGTTGTTGAAACTTCTAACTTTGCAGAACAACCCCAGCTAGGTTCCCAGGGCTTAAGTAAGATGAATATAATTTTTAGTATATTGTACTTAATACTAGTCAGTATTTCTGCCCCATTACACATAATGTATAATTATGTTACAGCCCCTAGTCGGCCTCGTTGCCGCGGCAGCGAATATGGCGAGTCTCAAGTGAGAAGGCGTTTACGGTTACAACCATCACAGCCAAGTCAACGTCGTAACTATCTTAATAGCACAACTGAACAATTTTTAAGAATAGAAGAACAGCGGTTGGACCTTGACACAAAAATTCTAGATCTACTCAATAAACAATCAATAAGGGACCACCTATTAATACAAACTGTCAATAACGGCCAGTAGGCCATAATCGAAGGCCAGAATGCTATTGCTGAAGCCCAGAATGCTATTGCTGAAGCCCTTAAAAAATAAAATAAAATAAAATAAAATATGTTTATTATGGAACATAAGATACATGTATCACTTATTCCACGTCATTCAATTTGAAGGCATCCCTACTCATCGGCAAAGAAGACAGAGGGTGTAGGCCGAGAGAAAAAGCCGGCGTAAAAAACTCTCGGTACTCTTTTAAAACAGCAAATCATCAAACAACACTTATTTAAAACAAATATCGCAAATGAATTAGAAGTAGCCTGTCTAGCACTAGTCCCAGGCCCTTTTATCAGCTAGATAATCGTTGACTTTATAGTAAGCCTTTTTACACAGCTTTTCTTTAATACATTTCTTAAATTTATTGAAAGGCAGTGATAAAAGAGCCTCTGGGATTTTATTAAAGAAGACTATCCCTTTCCCCAAAAAAAGAATTACTAACTTTAGATAGTCTAGTACGGGGAAATTGCAGCCTGCGTTTGTTCCGTGTATTAACATTGTGCGTATGTTCTATTCTAGTAAACTTATCACTATTTTTGTATACATACATAATATTTTCATAAATATATTGCGAGGGAAAGGTAAGTATATTAATTTCCTTGAATTTATCTCTAAGAGATTCCCTACATTTTAAATTATAGATTGCACGAATAGCCCTCTTCTGCAGGATGAAAATAGTTTCGACATCAGCAGCATGACCCCATAATAATAAGCCATAAGTCATTAAGCTATGAAAGTAACTAAAATAAACAAGTCTAGCTGTATCGACATCAGTTAGTGAGCGAATTTTTTTAACCGCGTAGGCTGCAGAACTAAGTCTCTTCGCCAATCCGTTAATATGAGGGGACCACTGAAGTTTTGAATCCATGGTGATTCCGAGAAATACAGTTGTATCATCCAGATTCAATTCCTCACCGTTTATAATTGGTCTAGTATCCATAACCCTTGCATTTTTTGCACAAAATTTAATGCATTTTGTCTTTTTTGCATTAAGTAGAAGGTTATTCATACTAAACCAATGGACAATCGAAGACAGAGCATTGTTCACATCGTCAAAATTTGTTATTTGTCGTTTGATTTTAAAAATCAAGGACGTGTCATCAGCAAACAAAACTATCTGATGTTTTCTCTCTACCATGAAAGGTAGATCATTTATATAAACAAGAAAGAGGAAAGGGCCAAGAATTGAGCCCTGTGGTACCCCATATCTACTGCCGACCCAGAGGACCTCTTACCATTCACTTCAACCTTCTGAGTTCTTCCGTGTAAATAGGAAGTCAGAAGATTCAGTGCGGTATTCTTGATGCCATAGTGGCGGAGTTTCCCGATTAAGGTCTCGTGTTGGACACAATCAAATGCTTTGGATAAGTCGCAGAAAACACCTAAAGCGTCATGCGACTCCTCCCAAGCCTTAACTATATATCTATATAACTCAACACCGGCATCGGCTGTCGAGCGACCCTTGGTAAAACCGAACTGATTATTATGTAATAATTTGTTTACGTTAAAATGACTTACCAGTTGATTTAATATAATTTTTTCAAATATTTTACTACAAGTAGGTAGTACGGAAATTGGTCTAAAGTTACTGGGGTCGGACATACTACCTGCTTTAAATAATGGAATAACTTTACTATGTTTCATTAGATCGGGAAACTCGCCACTTTTAATACAATTGTTGAAAATTATAGCTAGATGGGGAGCAATTACATCAATTATGCTACTAATAATTTTTACAGAAATACCCCAAAGATCGGTAGTGTTCCTAATATCTATGGTTCTAAATATCCTCACTATATCGTCGGCACCAATGGGTCGGAATGTAAAACTGACCTTGCACTCGTTTACATTATCTTTGAGCAGCGATTCAGCGAGGGCGGGAGATGATTCAAGAGACTTAGTAGTCGAAATTGGAATGTCAGAAAAGTACTTATCAAAAACAATCGCTATCTCTTCGTTAGATTTGATTATAGTGTTATCGACACATAGTTCGATGTCTTGATTGCGATCCCTGACTCTTCCAGTTTCACTATCAATTATCTTCCAAGTCATTTTAGTTTTATTGGTACTATTTTTAATCTTGTTTTTGATATTTAAGGACTTGGCCGCGTAACAAACTTTCTTAAATAATTTCGAATAATTTCGAACATAAAGAATAAATTCTTCATTATGATTGTATGACTTTTCAGCGTAAAGGTCATACAACCGTTGTCTACTTTTATAAATTCCCGCTGTCGCCCAATCACTAAACGATTTACACTGCGAATGAGAGACTTTCTTTGGGGTAAAGATGGTGTTGAACTCTTTATTAATACAATCACTTAGATTGTTGTATTGTGTATCAACGGTAGTACCTACCGGTAATAAAGGTAGGTGTTTACCTATATTATGTCTAAATCTCACCATTCGCTTTTTATTTACTGGAACAAACACACTGGTCTTATTTACTTGTTTCATCACTTTACATTTTAGCGCCACTAACTGTCCACAATGATCTGAGCTAAGATCAGTTGTAATTAAGGTTTGCATTGCCTCTGCATCTGTAAATACATTATCTATACATGTAGCAGTGGAGCTTGTAATTCTAGTGGGCTCAAGAAACAAGTTAACAAGATTGTAAGATTTTAATAACAGATTGAATTTTTTACTAATGGAGGTATTTTCTAATAAATTTATATTGAAGTCACCACATACAATAATATACTTATTGTTCTTAAAACTAACTTTACACAAAATTTCCTCCAACTTTTCTTCAAAAAAATCGTAAGATGCACTTGGTGGTCTGTAAACACTTAGAATAATGCAATTCTCAATCTCTATACAGGCTACTTCCAAAGAATGTTCTACAGACAGACACACGATGTCATTACGCTCTTTATACTTTAAATTTTTATTAACAATAATCAAAGAGCCCCCATGAATCGCCGACAATCTGCAAAACGAACTTGCAACTTGGTGCTGATCAAAGTTAAAGATGATTTGGCATTCTCTAAGCCAATGTTCGGTAATGCATAGGACATCAATTTTACTTGATTTTAAAAACAACTCCAATTCTAATTCTTTGCCCAACATACCTTGCATGTTTTGATGCATCAAGTTTAAACAATTGTTGTTAGTAATATTACATGTTGAGCTGAGTTGTACTAAATTATTGCTAGAGTTTGCCTCTATTGTCACACTATCTAATTTAAATTATTAATACTTAATGAAGTGCTACTGCAAGTATCACTACATTCTTTTAAGCTAAGCTGCTCAATAGAAGCAGTTGTCTGAAAAGCTATCTGCTCAATAGAAGCAGTTGTCTGAAAAGCTAAATGTTTAGCTTTAGTTGTAAATAAAAAGTAAGATAGCATAGTAGCTATCTGTTGTAAATAATAATTAGGTAGGCGGAACCTATCCTTTGTCAATACATACTTATTTTTAAATATACAATTTATGTCCATTAAATTAGGTAGTGTACCTAAGTCACAATTTAATTGTATATTATTAGTAGTCAAAGTATTGTGCAACAGCATGTTTAACTTATATCTAATTTTATTTTCCTTTGGTGCACCTTTGATGTAAGGAAATGTATATGTCGTGGGCTTATCGTTAGATTGGCCAGATCGAGATATGCCCAGGCAGAACGTGATACTCCGGCACATCATGATCTGGCCATCCAACACAGGGCATATCGTTCAACACTTAACGTTTGGCGATTTGGCCAGAGATACTTTAGGCATATCGATTATGTAGGGTGTCCAAGGTTTTAGCAAATAAAAATAAAGTTAAGAATTAAAATGTTTATTAAAATTGAAAATAATTATTGTTATGAAGCTCTAACTTAACATTATTTTTTAAAATTCCAAATGTGGCACATAGAATCACAGTTCTTTGGAGAGAAAATAACAAAACGCCTATTTGAGGCAAATAAAATATGTATATAAACAGTAAGGTTTAATAAAATGTTAACACAGCCATCACGTAGAAAACGGCACGTACGAGCAACAGCTAGAATTAAATGAAAATGTTAAAAAATAATGAATAACATTAAAAATGAGTTATTTAAATAATAAAGTGTAACTAAATAATCAGACTCATTAATCAGTTGAAAACAAACTTATATTAATAGGAACGTCAAATAGTTTTTCAAAGAATAGTTACCTATTATTTGTTATTAAATATGACAAACATTAATAACATCGTCAAAAAATTCTAAAAATGGCACATTCAATCACAGCCCTTTGGTAATAAAATAAGATAACAAACCAAACGTTCGTAACATTTAAATACCTAAAAAATCTTTAGAAATAGGTAATACAACCCGACAACCGCCATGCAGAAAGAGAAATTAAATTAAAAAATGTTTATAAACATTAAATAGGTACCTACTTAAAAAGTGTTCCTCAATCAGACTAACAACAGACTTAATCAGTTGAAAATAAACTTTGTATTGAATATTAAAGGAAAGTCAAATATTTTTTGAGATATCTATCATTTGTTGATGCATGATATACTTTGATGACATTTTGAAGTGCAGAGAACATTATTCTTATAACATGCACACCTTTTGGTGTGACATTGATTTCTGGCAGGCCTGCAGGAGCATTTCTGGAAACCTTGACCTCCAAACATGGACTGACATGTGACTGCATGACGCAATGTTATAAATGATTCAGAAATGTCTCCATTATAATCTTTGGCTGAAATTTGTAATTCTTGTCTCGGGAACCAGTTTTTTATTGTTCCAGAAGTAGTACCAATTTTAAATACACCATTCCTAATGTCAACAATTTTACCTGCGATGTTCTTGGTATCAAGTGGTCCACGATCAAATTTTGGAAAATTTATCAAGACGCTATTACCAACTTCTAATAACGGAAGCTTTTTGACTGTTTGGTCAATCATTTTTTCTGCAGCCCGTTTGGTACCTTTAAGAGTTTGTGCTCTTTCTTTTGCAATGTCTTGTTCTCTTTTGCATATGAAACATAAAATCTGAGACCCGTAACCTTCTTCACCGTCAGTGAGACCACATATAACGTGAACTGGTTTAAAGCACGATCTACAACTATGAGCTCCAGTTGTTTCTTTGGTACAAACCAAACAAATCTGCGTATTGCAGTCGGCTTTCTTAGTCGTTAGTGACGTGTCGCTACTGGCTGAAACCCCTTGAATTGAAACGACAAAAACATCTTTGCTAGTAGAAGCTCTGTTAACAGTTTGCAAAGCTAAATCTTCTATACAGGACGTATCATTTCTGGGTGAACAATTAGTTGCTTCAAGTTTTTGTTCGGCGGTTTCAATATTTTCTATTTTCAGATCTTGATTGGCAAGCGCCGTTGCCGAATTTACACTTGTTAGGACGTTCTGTACACTTAATGCTTTAGGAACATTTATTTCGGCCGAAACCATCTCAACATCAAGCGTTAGTGCTTTACTACTTAAGCCATCAACATTTGTCCCTTCAGGCAAGATTATCTCCATCGAGGTTGTCGTAATATTCATCTTTTCAGTTTCAATAGATGAAATAACACTGTCTGCGATATTGGCAGGCGCCGGTGCCGCATTTATACATGTTGGGGCATCCTGTACACTTAATGCTTCAGAAATATTCACTTTGGCCGAAACCATCTCATCATCAAGCGTTAGTGCTTTACTACTTAAGCCATCAACATTTGTCCCTTCAGGCAAGATTATCTCCATCGAGGTTGTCGTAGTATTCTTCTTTTCAGTTTGAATAGATGAAATAACACTGTCCGGGATATTAGTACCTTTCAGTAATGTTTTGGGGTCAGAACCGAACAAGGCACGATAGGGTGATCTACCAATTATACGATGAAAAGATGAATTTTTATAATACTGTACGAAGTAGCAACCCACAGACCAATTAGCAGAATCATTATCTTTCATCCAACAACGCAACATGTTTTCTACGTCTTGGTTGCTACGTTCGACGCTTCCTTGCGTTTGAGGACGTCTAGGGCCTCCATGAACGATCTTGCATTCTGGCCACAACTGCACAAGTTCTTCAATGACATGAGCTGTAAACTCTTTCCCATTATCAGATTGTAAAATTAATGGTGCACCAAACTCCAAAAATATTTTAAATAGTTCAAACGCCACCTCCACAGCCCTCTTAGATTTCAATGGCCTCAAGTGTAGAAACTTGGTAGCATGGTCCTGATAATTCATTAACCACTTGTATTCCCCCGTCCGGAGCTGATTGTAAATCAATAAGGTCTACCTGACCTCGTGAGTTGAAATCTGGTGATATAATTGGTTTTGTCACTATACCTTTTTTTGGCATGGAACGTTTCATTTCACACACTGCACACAATTTAATGTATATTTCTATAGCTTTTTTCGGTATGTGAAATTTGTTTTTAATACTATATATCATTTTTTCTCTGCCACCATGCCCAACAGCTTTGTGAACTTCTGTTAATATATCAAAATATTCATCTACGGCGACTATGCGCACTGTAGGATCATCGGCAGTTTTTCTTTTGAAAATTAAGTAATCTTTGTCAGAAGTTTCCATGACATCATATTTTGCACTCCAATAATAGTCCGAAGAGACCCGCTGCATGGTCACCCTACTTCTTTTTATTTGTTCAATAACCTAAAAAATAAAATGGAACTTTAGCGTACAAACATTAGTTACTTAATCAATCTAAGAATTTTAATACATAATGACATGAGAGAAACGCATCACCTACACATTATTATGCAAAAATAAACACTTGTTTATCAACTAAATACTAACCTCTAAAATACGTTGAGAAGTCCATGGTTTTTTTACATTGTGCGAAGAATCTTTATGTCCCTCATAGAAATCAAGTAACTGATGGTAATATTGTTCTTTAAATGCACTTTTTGTTTCGTTTTCACTGTTCATTTTGATAATATCAACACCACATTCACTTGTTTGTAACGCCACCATCTTCCGCTCGCGTAAACAAAGCCGAGCGCGCGAAGACAGCGGAATATCGACAAATACGTTATTCTCGTCGATCTGCCCAACCTTTTACTTGGCGCATCGCGATATGCCCGGCCGAATCATGATGTGCCGGCGTTTCAAGAAGTGCCCGGGCATATCTCGATCTGGCCAATCTAACGATAAGCCCACGACATATACAATACAATATTCTCTACATTAAGTGATTTTACTTTATCAATAAATGACAACAATTCATTTTGTCCTACATTTCCCCTTCTCCCAAAAAGCAATATTAAAGTTGTGTTATTTGAGTAATTTCCACACAAGACTTTGTTGAAAATGGTTACAGGGGTGGCTCCGGGCATACAATGATTTGTTACAATTTTGCCGGAGGACTGATATAATTTAGTACCAATATTTTTCCCTATATCATCACTAAATAACAGAATTTCACTCTTATTTACACTGACTTTTTCTATGAAACTGTCACTCTGCACACTGGGCTCACATTATAACAAATGTTTGTCGTGCACACAATGAATACTTTATTAAAAATATTATTATTTAATTTAATTATAATTAACACAAGATCAATAGGCAATGCAGCACCAAAACTTAAACATTGAATGTCTAGTTTGAGCTTAACCTTGATTAGGACCACAATGTACAAAATTACGAAAAATAATTCAAGCAAGACAACCTATACACATTAGTTGTATCATTGAAATAAACAGTCCAATAAGCTGTAAAAACATGTTCATTTCTTGTAACTCTGGGATTACATAGAAATAAAAATAAAAAGAAAAATCATAAGAATAATTAAATAGAAATATATTTTGACACAAATACACAAGTATTATTAAAATCATTTTGTTTAGAATTGAATAAGGTTTGAAATTTAACTTTGTGATTACTTTCTAAGTGAATTTTACTAATAAAAAATTGTGAAACTTTTAACAAATACAAATATTGTAAACTAAAATAAAAATATAAACACAAATGAGAAATATAAGTTATTGTTTTATTCAAATCGTCAAAAAAAAAATTTGAAGAGGAGAGAGACAACTCAACTTCGACACATGGACGAATATTAGATTGGTCTTGAGTTGTGCCAGATTGTTCTTATTATTTGAGCTCTTGCAAGTCTACCCAACTCTAACTCACTACTATTACCATCTCTTAGATAATATTGTGCCTGAAGCCTGTTCTCCATTGTGTGATCTTCGGTCGATAACTCGGGAGCAACCAGCCCTGCACGATTACATATGTTGTGTAGTACACAACAGGCTATTACAATTTTCCCCACAGTAATAGGGTCATAGTGACGTACTCTATGTACTAAAAGGCACCGAAATCGTCCTTTTAATATACCAATAACTCTTTCAACACAGCAGTAGCATGTACTTTATTATAAGTTGCTTCAGGTGATCCATTTAAAACATTAGGCACTGGTACCATCATATAGGCCCGTTGACAGTGAGCACTATCGCCTGTAATAAAGAATATGAAAAAAAATTAATAGAATTAAAGCAGGTTGTTAAAATTAAATTCAAAAATAAGATTGTGTGTTAAATATAATATAATAGGTAATTTAAAATATGAGATTATGGCCAACCAAGCAAATATGCAGTTTCATTGGAATTATTCACTTCTTCCAAATGTTCTTTTATGACAGAATTATTAAAAATAAAACTGTCATGGAACGATCCACCAAGTGTTGCATCCACATGCAAAATATTTAAGTCTGCGTCTACTATCTGAAATCAAATATTTTTTTAAATTTGTTCACAAAAAAAAATTACTGGTTTTGTTTATAGCAATCACCAATTGAACATTTATCGCATGATAGCCCTTTCGGCAATAATATCTTTCCTCATCTTTTGTAGGTCTTATCATTGCAATGAAAGTCCCATCCACACATCCAATGCAACCATTAATTTTGAACTTTTGGTAAAATCTGAAAATAATCATATTAGATGACTAGCCTACAAGTGCATTTATTCATGAGATTAAAAAAGCCTATGGCTACTAAAAAAAAGCTGTTAAAAGATCTGAGTGTGTAATATAATTTAATCTTATTGAAGCTTCTATCATATAAAATATAGTTAATTCAAGGAGTGTGCAATTGACACTTGCTCATTAAGTGAAGATAACATAAGAAAATCTTTGGCCGTCATATAAATGGAGTGAGACAAGAATTGAAATCTGATCACCTACTTTTCTATTAAAAAAATATATATTCATGAAACAGACACAGAAATATGTCTGCCTGATGTCCGATTGGAGTCTTACCAGACCTTTTACTTATTATGAGCTGCATTGTGTTACTACTGATCAGAGTGAACTAAATTACTTATCAATATAAAAGGTACCTTTCTTTGAGCAATTGGCTTTCTTGAGAAGTTTGAGGGAATCTTAAATATTTTCTTACAATGTCTGGATGAGACAAAGCATCTACCACATCATGAATAGACCGAGACATTGTAGGTTGGGAGACAAAAGTAAAAATATTTGCAGAAATTATTCTTTGATATGAACCACTTGCGAGAAAGGACAGAGTACACAATATCTGAAAATCAGTGGAAATAAAAATAGTTATATATTTAATTTTCGTACTTTAAAAAGATTTACAAACCTTAGTTTTACTGTTTAAAGTTTTGGTGGTTTTTAGTTTTCCTTCTAGATCTTCGTCAACATCATCCACTAATTTTTTTGTTAGTCGGAAGAGGCGCACGTAGTCGTCTTCACGTATATTTAAAATTGTGTTCCGAACATTTGCTTCCTGCCTACGGCTTAATAAATCATCTAAATCATTTGCTTCTCTTACAAGCGTTAAAAATAAAAAGGAATGAGCCATCTCCATCACCATGAGAAAAAATATAAAATTAAGTTTATTTTGGAATTAAATGGTAAGATAATTTATTTTTGGTAAGAAAATGCTACTTTAATCACTTTATTTAATAACTTACCCTAAAATACAAACAAACTTCCTGTTTTTATATATTTTCTTAAAAAAAGAACACTCAATTGTAGCAAACTCACTGGTAAATCACAATTTCAGCGAGGGAAGAGCAACTTTTAATTTGACGTAAAGAATCTATATTTAAATGAGATGAGATGTCAAACTATGTGTACTATCAGAATACCAAATTGTAACATGACACCGAAACGAACGATTTGACAGCAAACATCCGCTGTGAGAGTGTGAGAAGTGAGTTACAGAATAGCAGGGCTGTTCCTTCGGTCGCCCTTTGCGTTCCGGGGCCGCGGTATCCTGTTAAGACAATCTCGCGACCCTGGCAGGCGTTTGGCCCTATCGGGCCCCGTCAGAATATAGTGGCACTTAGGTTCCGTGCGTTCTTTATCGTAGTTACTTACAATCTTGAGGTCCTGTGGAGTCATATCCTCTAAAAAATAAATACAATTACAAAAAAATAATGAATTTAACAAAGGTACTACGTTATTTGACATATTCATTTAGCTTGCTTACGAGTTACCTACTACTATATTAGGAACAGCCGTTTTACAAAGACGTTTTATGCCTTTTGAAGTGACATACATATCTTCCTCCAAAAAATGCTCGGAACAAACGACGCTTGAATTATTCGGCTTAAAAAAATCTTCTCGCCTTTGTTGACTGATGATTGATGTCCATTGTCCACATCGTATTGGGTCACGAGGAAAACTAAAATATAAAAATTAGAAGTTTCCATGAAGTTTATAATGTGACACTTACAAACTACAGACTACGCGACACTTCTATACTTAGCATGCCGCATGTCGCGAACTCATAAGTTTGCCCCTAAATGAATGGTTAAACATCATAATATTTACGAACATTAAAAAAAAAATTAAATTGGCTACTTCCTGACCAACACTTTATGTAGCGTAAATATATTTGTCAAAAATACACACAAAAAAGTTCAAAAGTACATTAATTTATTTATATAAAAAAAACTAAAATAAAAAAAATCGACTCTACTTATTAGAACAGGGTAATTTTTATAATGCGACTAAAATAAAAAGAAGACTGTAATACGTTGTTCTAACACTGAACAAGCAGCCATTGAAGTTGGCCGTATAGAAGTTTGTGCGTTGAATGAAGTTTTTAGAAAAAATAAATAAAAATCACACATTGCTTGTTATAATCAGTCATAAAAAAAACAAAAACTAATCAATAAAGTGTTTTACTTACCGAAAATACGATATCCCATCCTTTTTTTTAGCCTTCTTGACGTAATATTTTTATTTTTACAATTTCTTACAGAACACTTTGGCATTTTTAACAACTGCTCCCAGACCCGAGCGACGCGAGACTATTTAAAATAAGCGCACAATTTAGAATGTTGCGCTAATTTTTTAGACGTTGAGTGTGCATCTTGGGTTTTTTGTATATCAATGTCCTAGCCCATAAAACTCGACTGTCGGTATCATACGTATCGAACATTTTAATAAATCCGTTCTTTTGTTTACAAATTGGGATTGCTTGCACGTGCTTTATCACAAAGATGCCTCAATATCGATATGAATAAAACAAGTAAAAAATACAACAATCACTAGGTATGACACGTTTTAATTCTTGTAATTTTTTTTTTTAGTCTATACATTTTTTATTTTTATTTTAAATATATTTATTCACAAAAAAAGTTACACCTTAAATCAAACCATGCCCCGCAAAACTGCTTACGCAGTTTGACTGCAGGTGACTCGCCTTAAATAAACATAACTTCTAAATCACTAAATTACTAACACTGCTACTACAACTAATACTAATACACTTAATTTACTTATAGGTTACAGCATATTTAACAAATGGTTTTTTAATAAACCTCTAAATTTATCCAATGAAGTCTCACGTCTTATGTCCTCGGGTAAACTATTGAGCAAGTATGGAATCCGCTTCTTCAACGTTCTATCTCCATAATAATTTTGCACCATGGGTATTTCAAATTTACCTTTGGACATTGACCTTGTGTCAGATATATGATGCACCAAACTAGTAAAACGATCCTGCTTACCATGGTTATTTACAAGTACAAGGAATCTATGTTTCAGGCTAGCCGGTAAAATTTTACATATTTTGAATAGTTTATAATAATCTCCTTTACATTGATTCCTTGTCTTTTTATTTACTAGTAATTTTAAAAATCTTATTTGTAATGATTCTACTTTATCAATGTATGTTTTAAATGTTAACCCATAGCAGTCAAGAGCGTAACCTATTATGGAATCCACAAGTGCAAAATATAAACATTTTAGTATGGGCAATGAGACTTTAGTACGTAAATGGTAAAACTTTTCTAATAAAATTCTTAGTTTTCTACACAAAAATTCTATATGGGAATCCCAAGAAAAAGACGTATCTATTTTTACTCCTAGATAATTTACACAATTAACTTTTTCGATAGGTTTACACGTACAGTTAATTTTGTTGTTATGAAAGCAATCAAAGCCGTGCGCAAAAAGAGGAGGTGGATTATCAATAGAACTTAAATACGGGGAGTGAATAATTATCATCTTTGTTTTGTCAGCGTTTAATATGATGCCGCTATCATGTGACCATTTAACTACCGCATCCACATCCTCTTGAACCCGGCGACACATCTCCGAGAGGTCGGTACTAGCGCTGAGAGTACAAAGGTCATCAGCAAACATGTGGGCCGAGCAGTGACGTAATACTTCACAGAGGCTATTTACATACATCAGGTAGCATACTGGCCCACACCCAGAACCCTGGGGGACGCCGCAGTTTACTTGTTTCTCCTCACTGAATGCGTCGCCGACTTTCACACGGTAAGAGCGCGCCGTGAGACAGTCGCTGAACCAAGGGTTCAACGGCTGCCCCAGGCCGCACTCCTCCATTCCATTTAAGAGGGTCTCAGTATTTAAGGTATCAAAAGCCTTCTTAAAATCATAAAAAATAGCTACAATAATTTTTTTATTTTCCAAATGTGCATTAATTTCGTCTGTAAAATTTGATAATAAGGTGTTGGTGCTTTTATTTTTCTGGAAGCCATGTTGACATTCCGTTAAGATATTATTTTTTTGTAAAAAAGTTCCAGTTTGATTGACAACACATTTTTCCATAATTTTGTCAATACTTGATAGTATAGCTATTGGTCTATATTTCGAAAAAACTTTACGATCGCCTCTCTTATAGACCGGACGAACGATTGCTTCCTTTAATTTTTGTGGAAATTTGTGATATTTTACAGATAGATTTATCAGATTAGATAATACAGGGCTAATTCTTGTAAATGGGTCCAGTTTATCTGAGAAATTGGTATTCTGCTTTGGTACAACTTTGGTTTTGGCAGAGTGCTTCTTGGTTTGGGTAAAATAATACGTAGTCGTCATCATAGCTTAGTTTATATTTTATAAGCCCTTCAGGTTCATAAAGTAATGCTCTAATATCAGTAACTCCTGGGTCATTTGCTACTCTACCTGGTCGAATCGAATTATACAATGAGGGATTTTGAAAAGTCGTAGAAAAAGTCATAATTTAGAAAATATACATTGTAAGGCTGCTTAAGACGAGCTTCCTTCGATATTGACGCGTTCCTTCGAAGGCAAGTAGATGTCTCTGTGTTTAATTTGACACTCTATTGCACTGTGACAAGAATCTACCTCCATCTGGGTATGACCTTTTTCTAGAATTTTCTGTTCAATCTGGATGTTATAGTCCATTGCTAACTCCAGCAATGCATTGGATAAAACGGCATTGCGATTTTGTGCTGTGCAACCATCGGAATATAGAATTATAGGCAGCAGCTTCTTAGACAGCGTTTTTTTCAAACTGTCTATTATGCAGGAAGTATACACCGAAGCCACCAGCCCTGCCGAACACTCATCAAACCAATAACAGTGCACGTCTTTGTTTTCAAGATTGTAGATGGTGAAGTTGTGAATACATAGTTTTGTCTTATAATATATTGCACTGGCTTCAAGTTTAGAACACAGCTGTACGAATTTAAGTCACGTGTAAAGACTTGCACTTCTTTATTGGTAGCTCTTAATTTATCTTGAGTTTTTTCCTGTCTAGCTCTATCCTTCTTTAATATATGTTCACGATATTTGGCTTCGCTGATGTTGCCTACATTATAAGAACAACTCAAATCGCATTGGTCTTTCTTAGGCGAAAATAGGCTTAAATTCTTTTCATTGAATATTTGATCGAATAAGTAAAGCTGCTGTGGCAATTGATGGTCCTACGGTTCATACTGCTCTTAAAATTTATCTTTTTAAACTAAACCATTATCATCTGAAACCTACATTTATACAGATCTCTTTTTAGATGCGTCAGAGTATTGATGAAATCAGCATGATCAGTGCAAAACTGTTAGCCAAAACTGATTTGCGCTTAAAACAAATTACTGCAAATCATAGTGTTGATTTTGGCGACATTGACGTCATTTTAATTGGTGATTTACGCCAGGCGCCACCAGTAAGGGCAACATTGATATATAAACCCATTTAAACGACAATGGTTGGTCCACATTTATGGCTAAAGCCGAATTTACATTACGAAACTAGTGTTATGCATGTTGGAATGAGTTTCATGAAAATAGTTGCAGCACGTGTGAAACTACTTTAACAAAAAATAATAGTGTCGTGAAATCAACAGTATCACCAACGACATGGCTCTGTCAACATCAAAGCTTCATTTTGCGATGCAGAACGTCGTGGTACAGATGTTAATATATAAAATTCGAAAAAGGTTATCTCGAAAGAAAAGACGTTGGTGGATTCGAGGATGGGTAGGAAGAAAGCATTTGGGTGCAACGCGTTTAATTTCTGAATTAGCAGATGAAGATCCCGAGAGCTATACAAACTACTTTCGAATGAGTGAAGATTATTTTAATTGTTTATTAAGTAAAGTGTCATACAAAATATCTAAACAGGATACAACATGTCGAGAAGCACTGACAGCAAAATTGAAACTTCAAATTACTTTACGATTTCTTGCGACAGGAAATAGTTTGACTTCATTAGCATACGAATTTAGAGTGCCTTCGTGTACTATATCGCAATTTTTACCTGATGTGCTGGACGAAATTTATGAAAAATTAAAACACTACATTCAGGTAAGAAAATTAACTTTTATTTGGTGTATCTAACAATCTAGGCATTATGATAAGCATAATTAATAATTATCAAAATTTAATTCTCTATCCAAATGAGAACCTGATACGCTTGCAACAGCTTGCGAAAGTATGTCCTCATTGTATGTGTAATACTCGTCTTCTGCATCATTATTCGTAGCAGTACTAGTAGCAGGAATTGACTCTGATTCTGATGAGGATTGTGCGACTTGCTGATTCTCTGGTATAGTAATGGTAATAGTTCTGTTAGACTTCATACAATCCGACATTGATGATGATGTACCTCTTAGTGATAATGATGTCTGTTTTAATAGCTTTATACGTTGCTGTCTTATAGTAGCCAATATTACTTCTTCGGTCTCTAGGGCAGCTTCTAATGGAAGCTGCCGTAACTGCTGAGCTATAGTGCGTCCGAAAAGGTCAAATTCATCATCACCTGAGTTATTTGAAAAATGCTGCGATGAAACTTTTTCTAATGCATCAACTGCTCTAAGGAGCGGATCTTTTAATTTCCTTTTATTTCTTGAAGTTGTACGTGGTACAGTGAACTCTTCATCGTTGGATTCAGAAACTGAAGCTTCTTGAGTGTTGGGTGCGATGTTTGGTGTCTGAAACAATATATTGAACTATTAATTTTCTTTTACAGGTACCAGACAATGAAGAAAGTTGGAGAGATATAATTGATGGATTTCATGAAGAATGCAATTTTCCACTGTGTGGTGGCGCTATAGATGGCAAACACGTTCAAATACGTTGTCCCATGCACTCAGGAAGTGATTATTATAATTACAAGGGAACATTCAGTATTGTCCTCCTAGCAGTTTGTGACAGTGATTTAAAGTTTAGGTATATCAATGTGGGTCACTATGGCCGAGCTTCCGATGGAGGAATATTTGCTAGATCAAATTTTAAAAAGACCTTGGAGGAAAAGACTTTGAACTGTCCTGAAGGAATGGTTTTTTTGGGAGACCAAGCATTCCCTTTGACTGAATATCTTATGACACCATATAGTCGTCGAACAAGTTTATCAAAAAAACAAAAAATTTTCAACTACCGACTGGTAGTATGGAATGGTGTATTAGTAAATTTCGGATATTTGAAAAACCTATTTCTTTACTGCCAGAAACTGTGGACAAAATTATAAAGGCATGTTGTGTTTTGCACAATTGGTTAAAAACTACATCATTGTCCTATATTCAACCAGGATTGATTGATGAAGAAAATACAAATACAGGAGAAATAAGGATAGGTTCATGGCGAGAAATACCACAGGAAGCATTCAGGCCACTCAGCAGTTTTAGTGGAAATCATTCCAGAAATGCCCACAGAATAAGAGAACATTATAGTGACTACTTTGTTGGACAAGGGCGTCTAGAATGGCAAGAAAGAATGATTTATTAAATTTAAAAACTATAACTACCGTCAAATGCGCCAACTTTGCTTTTAATGGTAACTTTGCTCCAAGAGCAAGGTTTTTACAAATTTTGTTATTTCAAAAATATGTTAATATGATGGCAAGATTTGGTAAAAAATAGACTATATTTCAGGCAATACTGACTATTTCATTAATTGCTAAGTTCATTCAGTATCTCGTTACAACTCGTTGAAATGTACATGCATTGCAAATGTACGCCATTTGTTAGCCAATGTACCAAAAGTGCACTCAATATTACGTCGGGCTCTCGATAACCTATAGTTAAAAATCCTTTTTTCATGTGATAAACATATTCCTGCATATGGTCGCATTAAATCGCTTGTATAGCTAGTTCAAGTTCTTCAAGTTTTTCGGGTGTTCTAAGAGATCGACAGTTGATGGTTGCTATTTGAATATCATTCGTTTTCTTTTTAGTGTGAGTATTGACGTTGACGTTATTATTAACCTTTAGAGGGTCGTGGTAATTTTCCCCCACGATGACCAGTCGGCTTGGGGGAGCGTGGTGTTTTGTACTTGTGTTGTTTATGTTATAGGTATGTTGTGTTTTCCGTTTACCGATATTTAATTGTTATTGCTTATTATCTATAGAGTTGGAGGGGGAGAGAATTGCTTCTAATTCGCATTAAATCAAAAACATTTAATCTGTTGACGTTCGATGGCATGAAGGTTTGTTGTTTCCTTGGTTGGTTATTATTTTCTGGGGATGTTGATGTTTCTCTTTTCATTGCTTGTATTGCTTTTTTATCGAATTTTAAGTATGCGATTTCCTTTATTTCTCTCCTTTATAAGTTGTGGCTGCAGTATTTTCCTTTTCTCCAGCACTTCCTTAGTATAATCTTCTGAAATGTATACATCTTTCAGATTTTTCTTTATTTTCATTATTTCGTTCTTTTTCCATTCATTCAAGAAAGATACCAAGGTAAATCTTGACTTATCACCTGCTTTTCCAATGCGATATATGTTATTCACATCGTGATCTTCAATATTTATACTTAAGTCGGTTTTAAAGACTTTTTTCACTTTTTTTGTAGTAGTTCTAGGTTAGAGTTTTCGTCCTCTTTTATACCAAAAACTATTAAATTATTCTGTTTCTTAGCTCTTTTGAAGCTTTCCAACTCTTTCTCGACGTTTTCTAATTTTGTTTTTAGGATTTTATTTTCTGCTATGATAGGTTGTAATTTTTCATCCATTCTCTCCATTATTTTGTTAGTTATAGAAGTTTGTAGCTCCGTTGTTTGTTGAAAGTTGAAATTGATCATCCATTTTGTGTATGTTGTTAATTATCTGTGTATAATGGAACGTGAGGAGTATTCGTTCTTATCTTTCTTAGGTTGGTACAACTGGTAATGTCATATAACGTCTTGGCACTATTGACAGTAGTGTATTGGCAATGACACTATAGTGGGTATTATCTTTCCTAATTATTAATAATTTTATATTTCCTCTTTGCCTTCGCAATTTTTCAACTACAGTACTACCCAAGATACTGTGGTATCATTAAATTAAATGCGTATCTTTTTGTCACACAGTGTCCGGAACAATGTGTATTCAAAAGTATACACATCTTTCTACTTAGTAAACGCGCCGTGTACGCTTTAGGAACACGTTTTCTATACATTTGTTACACAACAATAAAAGCCCTGGCCTGTCGCATTTTTTAGATGTAAATGGTCTGGGGATCGGTGATTTAAAAAAACTAAAGTACTAGTGACTAAATAGTAAAAAAATAATAAACAACTGAACTTGAAACAAAAAAAAAGGGTGCGTGTACTTATGTACGCGCGTAAGAAGTTAAAGAGTAAGATCCCAGAGCGATAAGACACAACTTATTTTCTAAAGCATAGAACTTTCGGTTCTAAGTAGTCTCTCGTGTACTTTTTAATACCTGTACGCTTCTGGAGTTGGCTCGGTGACACCTGCGCAGGTACCAGGTGAGAGAGGTAACTAAAAATCAGAGTTACTCAAGTTAAATTTGAATGACTGATTTTTATATACATTTTGTAGAATATTCTGAAGTAATATCAAAAAAGTAAGACGCTTTCCATGCGCCAGAACTTTTGTCAGACGCTTTAAAGCTCTACAAAAAATAAATGAACTTAATTTATTTTTAAATGTCTGATTTTTATATATGTTATTCAAATGAATATTACAAAGTTATATTTAATCAGTAATGACCAAACATCCCCTAAACACAAAAATTACTCAACTATGAGTATGAGCGCGAGAGCACTATACATGCGTTTCAGAGCGAGTGAGACATCCATGGTAACTCGGTTCCCCTTCTTAAACTCACAATCTGTTTCAGTCTACTGTTTGTGTATGTGTAGACCACATGTTTTTGTTAGTTATATCGTGTGATTTGTAAATGATATCAAGTTATTTTCAATAGAAAATATGGAAAAAATCTCGGAAGCATCTTTAAAATGTACATTTTGTAAAAAATATCATGATAAATTAATATTATTTTCAAAAGAGACGTTTAAAAAGTGCCAAAATATTTTAAAACAAAGAACAATCCATAACCTAAAATTCAGAGTCGTAGTTTTACCGGATGATTTGTACGACAGTGGTTACCATCGTGAATGTTACAAATGTTTTACTGCTTTGCCGAAAAAATATTACTCTCCAATCTCAGAAAAACAAAAAATGATCCAAAAAAAAATTCATCGGGTATTGTTGAAAATCAATCTGTAGCGTCGACATCAAGCTCATCAAGTATTGATATCACTAATAATGATGTATGTACAGCATCTACCTCAAGTCAACTAACTGATTTTCGAGCTCCGGATTTTGCTATAGCATCAAACTTAAGTTCAGCTAGTACTGTACCTGAACCCATTGTAATACCTGAGCCAGCTGTTGAATTAGAATCAGTTGAACCGGTCCCATATAATTCTTAAGAACCTTCTGTGGCGTTTTAGTGTGTTGTTGATTCTCCTTCTAACAATGTTTCATTTGAAAGTGATTTAAGTGCTGGTGAAAATCACACATGTATATATTGTGATCAAAAGACTAAAAGACACATACTAAAAAGACTACCATTGCATGCGTCTGATAGAAATGATTTTTTAAAGAAATTGAATGAAGAAGAGGGAGACTGCGGAATTGATTGAGAAAGTTGAAGATGTTACCGATTCAATAATATATTATCACAATAAATGTCAATTGGAGTATAATTATAAAATATCATCTAAGAAAAACACAAACATAACATCCTGGCATGATCTTCGTCAACACCATCAAGCTGTTTTCATCGAAATTTGTAATTTTATACGAGAAAATATTATAAACTAGCTGTTACCCGCGACTTCGTCTGCGTAGAACTACTACTTCGTGTAAATTTGTTTGGACTGAATAGGCTCTGAAACTATAATGAAACGATTCTAATGAAGCCGGCACATTGAATTATTGAGATTAACATAGGTAGACTTTTCCTGACCCTGATCCCTGACTTAACTTAGTTTAATACGTTTTTGTATACGACATTTTTTGTTTTTCCTTCTTTGGTCAAAACATGTAGGTTTTGTGGACTCGATACTCGTGAGCACGCCACATACAGTTGCCCATGGGAGAAACAGTTTTTTTCTAAATGAACACCAGCTACTTTGAGTGTCTGTCCTTGAGCTTTGTTTATCGTCATAGCGAATGCTGCTTTCAGGGGAAATTGTACTCTTTTGAATTGGAATGGCAAATCGGTAGGGATTATTGGAATACGGGGAATTAACACTTCTTCTCCCTTTGCTGTTCCTGTCATAATTATTGCTCTCACAATATTGCGTCCCAGTTGTGTAATTTGTAGACGTGTGCCATTACACATTCTTGGTGCGTCAAGATTTCGCATCAACAGGACCGGGACACCTACTTTTAGCCTCAACTTATGGGAAGGCACCCCCGATAATTCTAAGGAGTTAAGAAATTCTACAGGGAACGATGTCACCTTCCACATCTGACATGATTTATTCGTTGATCTGCCCCACTACTTCGTTTGTCGGTGCTAAAATTGCCCTTTCGCACAGCCATTGTCTGTTCTTCATATTGGTTGCAAGATCGGGATAGACGTTGTTCTTTAAGTCATCCATGTTACAGACAACATTACAAAATTCACGATTCAATGTAATCATTCCGTCACTATTTGTTTCCATACGGTCTTCTCCGATTTTCAGAAGAGCATCCGCATATTGCACCAATTGTGTATCACTGTGCAGTTGTACTCGCATATTTGTAGTCAGACAAAAAATTTTTACATGCACCCATAATGGAGACGCTTTTAAACATGCATTTATTTCATCTGCCGGCGTGCCTCTAGTAATTACCGGCAGAGTCTGTCTAAAATCGCCAGCTAAAAGTACCACCATACCACCCATGATACTTAGGTTACTCTTAATATCTTTTATGGTCCGATCTAGTGCTTCTATCGCTCTTTTGTGGGACATGGTACATTCATCCCAAACCAACAGCTTACATTGCTGTAACATTCGTCCACGGTCACTATTTTTAGTAATGTTACAAACTGGCATTTCCTCATGAGCTAAGTTCAATGGCAGTTTAAGTACTGAATGTGCCGTTCGGCCACCATTAAGTAACGTAGCTGCTATTCCAGAAGAAGCTACAGCAACAGCAACTCCTTTATCTTTACGAATTTGGGCTAAAAGTAAATTTAAAAGAAATGTTTTACCCGTGCCTCCTGGCGCATCCAAAAAGAATAAACCACCTTCGCCACTTTCGATTTTTTGCACAACATTCTCAAAAACTAATTTTTGTTCTGGGTTTAGACGCGGAACAGACTCAGTTATTTGTTGTTGTAAAGAAGCAGCATCGTAACTCAATTCTCTTATTATATCACTGCAAACTTCCCCAGTTCTTTGCGGCCTGCTCAACCCAAAATCTGACAAATCTTTCCCAGTTATAGTTATGACTTGGTCTTCTATCTTTGTTAGGGCTTCATTAAAAATGAAATCATTGTATGTAACGTTTGGATTATGATGTTGTACTCTGTGTAAAATATCGTCGGCCATTTGAATTTTGTACCTTTCCCACAGTTGTTGAGGGTTTGAAAGCCCACATGTCGCTATTAGTATAGCAAAAAGCATTCTCACCTTGGCCGCTGATCTACATTGTGCAGCCTCTTCCAGTGTTATATTCCAATGATTGTCATCCTCCAATAATCCTCTTGCCTCACATGCCTCTCGAAATGTTGAAAATTCTTGATTGTTGTATTTTTTGAGATCATTGAAAGAGGTTGGCCCACGCACATGGTGTAGAAGCATCCTTAAACAAAAACATTCCATGTTAGTAACATGGACTGTGTAAACCCGTCCTAAGGCATCTCCAGATTTGACACCAGGCCAGTTCTGAACCGAAGTTCCTTGAATTCGGCGTTTCCAAGTTTTTCTGGTTGCGTCCCATGTGTAATATCTCGGTACCTCAGCATACATAAGAGTTCTTGCAAACTCATCTCTTATGCAAAGTTCAAAAAAAGCTGTAAGGGTGGTTTTTGGTCGAGTAGATAGTCGCTCGTGGAAATTATCTTCTGTAAAATAAACTCGTTCACCGTTCTCTAAGTGTACACTTAGATGTGTAACGGTGGGGTGCCTTTCGTGCAACGGGAACCCTAATAACCGCCACACGGCTTCGTTGCTGCTAACATAACGACCAGATTGATATGTATGTACTTCATTTACGCGATTTGCAAGCTCTGTGCTCCTAAAATTGAAAATAGCTTGGTCACTGCCTTTGTTAATATATTTGCAGATATATTTGATAGCGCGCACTGAACTGCAAGCCTCAACATTTATATGGGCGTTAAATATTTTTAATAGAATAGCGGAATAAGGGACCACCTAACTATTATCAATAGTGACGTAACTCCCATTTCGTAGTTTCACAGATGCCGTTCGACCTCCGTCTGCTGGTGCTCTTCTACGATAGAGTGGGTATCCGTTTTCACTGTGGACAGTGTCTTTGTGTAATTTGCGAGGAAATTTCTTTGTGCATTTTCCATCTTTCATGCAAGGGCACTGAGGATTTTCAGGTCCACATGGACCATGAATCATGTTTTTAACTATAATATCATGAAGTGTCTTGTCAGTGCTTGGATCGGGTATTTCTGCGCTGATAATATTATCAATTTGATCGGGTCTCAACTTGTCTTTTAACCACAATAATATGTGGACATGTGGTAGGCCACGCTTCTGCCACTCTATGGAATACATAAAGCAGATCACTTCTCCAAATATTCTGCCTTTGGAAATAACAGACATAAGTTTTTTAACTTTCAACCTAAAAACTCTTGCGACTACATCATGCCTATCAATCGCGCTTTGACCCGGCATTAATTCATTTACTATTTCCGGCCATGCTGGGTTGCAAGTAAACGTAACGAATAAGTCAGGACGACCATATGTACGTACATAAGCAAACGCATCCTGAGTATATTCGTGTAAGTACCTCGGACTATTTACAAATGAAGACGGTAAAATTATCATTCTACCAATATCATTTGGATTTAGATTAGCGTCATTCGCTACTGCGTCTTGAAGGTGGATATAATTTTCTGCTCTTAATTTAGTTTGATTTAATGTTATGTATCGTAATCGTTCACTTTCTACCTTAACGTACATATCAACATAAAACTGATTGGCCAGTTGCCTGCATCGTGATATAATATTAAAATCATTTTCTCTAATCATGATATGAAAGGCATAAAAGTCAAACTCAAACTCAAACTCAAAATATCTTTATTCAAGTAGGTAACCAAGTACACTTTTGAATCGTCAAGTTAAATTAATCGTAAATTTACATTTACTACCAGTTCGCAAGTCAAGGGCGTAGAGCGGGTAAGAAGAACTGGCAAGAAACTTTCCGCCACTCTTTTTAATCGCCAAGTATTGTCATACAAATTGTTTGAACTGGAGCAATTCAATCCCAAGGATTAGGATCATTTAAGTAGTCCTCAAATTTATAAAAAGCTTTGTTGATTAATTTTCGTTTAACGAGGGCTTTGAATTTATTTAGTGATAATTCTCTAATTTCGCTTGGGAGCTTGTTGTAAAAACGAATACAATTTCCATATAAGGAGTGGTTTATCTTTTGGAGCCTGGTTGGTCGTACACTCAAATTAGTTCTATTTCGCTTATTATACTGGTGAAAGTCACCATTTGTTTTAAAATCGTTTATATTTTTTTGGACATACAACAAGGCTTCAAGAATATATTGACCAGATAGTGTCATAATATTTAATTCCTTAAACTTATTCCGTACCGACTCCCTCGGAGAAACACAACAAATACCCCGAACAGCCCGCTTCTGCAGCACAAATATGGATTGAACCTCTGCAGCAGCACCCACAGTAAAATGCCGTACGACATAACGCTATGAAAGTAGCTATGGTACACAATTTTAGCCGTGTCCTCATCAGTAAACTGTCGGATTTTCTTTACTGCATATGCTGCAGAGCTCAGCCTATTCGAAAGAGTCTCTATGTGTGGGCCCCATTGGAGTTTACTATCTATTGTTATGCCTAGAAAAACAGTTTTGTCAACAAAGTTTAGTTCACTGTCCTTAATTTTCAGGTTACCAATATCTCGCTTTACGCTAGTAGTTGTAAATCTAATACATTTTGTTTTATTCTCATTAAGCAATAAGTTATTTACATTAAACCAGTTAACTATACGAGAGATAGAATTGTTTACATCGTCCAATAATACGTTATTCCTATTCACTTTAAATAGAAGTGAAGTGTCATCAGCAAACAATACCATCTCATGAACTTCGTTGACAAAGAATGGGAGGTCATTTATGTAAATCAGAAATAAGAAAGGCCCGAGAATCGATCCTTGGGGGACGCCCATTGATACCTGCGAACCCGGAGAGGTGACTCCATTGACATGAACTCTTTGGATCCTTCCCTTTAAATATGAATTCATCAGGCTGGAAGCTTTGCCATCAACGCCATAGTGTTGAAGCTTTCCAACGAGTATATCAGGATGAACACAGTCAAAGGCCTTTGACAGGTCACAAAAGACGCCGACTCCATCATATTATTCTTCCCAGGCGTTAAATATGTCCGAAATCAACTTCACACCGGCATCGATTGTGGAGCGACCCTTAGTGAAACCATACTGTTTATTATGTAAGAGTTAATTTTTATTAAAATGTAAAGAAAGCTGGTCTAGCATTATCTTTTCAAAAACTTTGCTCAACGCAGCGAGCACGGAAACAGGTCTGAAGTTTGACGGATCAGACTCACTACCGGCCTTGAACAACGGTGTAATCTTACTTAATTTCATTTCGTCCGGAAAGACTCCACAATCGATACATCTGTTAAAAATTATAGACAATTCAGAGCTTATTACATTAATAACGGAATTTAAAATGACTGTTGACATACCCCATATATCTTTACTTTTTTTTAAATTAATAAGCTTAAAAGTTTTAACGATATCATTACAAGTTAAATGTTTAAACTGAAATTTAATATTACATTCAGGTACACATTTTTCTAGCAATGAGATCGCAGCAGCAGGTGAAGAATCTAGGGACTTGGTCGTATTTAGTGGTACATTTGTAAAGAACTCTTCAAAAGAAGAAGCTACCTCTGGGTCAGATTTTATTAACTTCCCTTTAACTTTTAACATATAATCAGTTCGTTTGTCAGACGTTTTACCTGATTCTTCATTTATTATTTTCCAGGTAGCTTTTACTTTATCCATGCTATTTTTTATTTTTGAACTTAAATATTGAGACTTTGCAGTTTGGCAATCTTTTTTGAAATTATTTGAATACAACCTAACATATTCCCTAAATTCCACACTAGTGTTATATTGCATTTCGTCATAGATTTCATATAATTTTAACCTTTTCCTGTGTAACTCCTCATTTGCCCAGTCACAGAAACTTGTTTTCTCAGAGACCAATAAAGTCTTTTGAGTAAATACTTTCTTGAATTCATCAATAAATGATCCAAAAAAGTATTGTATAAATTATTAGGGGATGAGTTGCCACACAGAAATGGCATTCTATAGACCAATGCTTCTCTAAATCTGTCCAAACGGTCATTTGTAATAGGAGTTATCACAATTTTCTTCTTTTTACATGTTTTTTGTTTCCTTAATTGGAATTCAAACCATTGACCAGTGTGATCAGATTTAAATCTATTGAAAATACAAACATTCAAAGGGGCTATGTCACTATATATATTATCTATACAAGTTGCGGTGCTAGCTGTTATTCTTGTGGGTGAATGAAATTGATTTATTAAATTGTATGAACGAAAAAGACTAAGTATGCGTACACTTGAATTAGAATGACAAAGTAAATTGACATTAAAGTCCCCACACACAATTAGCCCTTTATTACACTTTACTAATTTACACAATATCTCCTCTAATACATTTTCAACATTATTATAGACAGCTGATGGAGGACAATATAGACATACAACAATGAATTGCTCCAGTTCCACACAGGAGATTTCAATAGTTAGTTCTACAGAGAGGCTGATAATATCCTTTCTTTCTTTGCATTTAAGTTTTTTACTTATTAGGATTAATGAGGCACCATGAATTGCATTTTCTCTGCAAAACACACTACCAACCCTGTGGTTACAAAAATTAAACAAAACTTCATATTTTTTTAACCAGTGCTCTGTTATGCACAAAAAGTCTATTTTTTGACTATTCAAGAATAGTTCAATTTCTAATTCTTTATTTTTCATCCCCTGTATATTTTGATGAACCACAATAATTTTTTGGGAATGAATTTTATCACATAATATACTTACCTTATTATTGCAAGAGTGGTGCTCTGTTGTCCTATTATCTAATTTAAATAAATATTATTTGGAATTTCTTCCAAGGTCTTATAATCTAATGCTTGCTCAATAGAAGCAAGGGGTCTAGCCAAATTCTTGGCTGTCATCTCTATAAAATATGATAGCGAAACAGCTATCTGTCTTTTTAAGAAAGCAGGTAGGTAATAATATCTACCCTTTGTAATAAAAAACTTTTTCGTATACCTATTGGTATCTATGACACAAAATTTATCATTATACATTGCCAATGTATGCAATGTTTGATTAAGAATATATCTTGTGTCATTTTCTTCCTTAGGAAAGCTTTGGCTATAGGGAAATGTAAACATAACAATCCTCTTAGAGTCTAAACAACAAAGTTTTTCATATAATACTAAAAGATCATGTTTATTTACATTTTCCCTGTTCCCTATAAAAATTATTAAATTATTACATTTATCATTGTTTTTGATTATATGATTTTTCACAATGTTTTTAAAAGTGGCATTGGGATAGCAGCTGTTTTTAAATGTTTGGCCGTCATTTAATTGTACAATAGTACCCATGTCCTTACCCATTTCATCGGAATACATTAAATTCCTTTCTTTTGCCTTAATTTTTTCCTTTAACTGAGTGTTTGTTGTGGTGTAGGTGAGGCTGTGAGTGTGTTGTGATGTCTGTGGTAATTGGAGGCTTTTATAATTGCAACCATAAGTTTTATTCTGTAATTGCTCATAACATTCTGCGGTGTAATTAGAAATTTGAAGCAGATCTTCCATTGCAGAAGAATATTTTTCTACCATACATTGTGATTCTTCAAATTTAGAAGTGAGACTGTTTGTAAGTTCTTGTAATTTTAAAATTTCTGTTTTTAAATCTAATGTGTCAGATTCATATTTTAATTTAGCATTTTCAGTTTCAATTAAATGCAAGTCAAGTTCATTTTGAAGTTGTGTGTTTTGAACTTTTAAATCCACACTGTTTACATTTCTATATTGTTTTACTAGCTTCTGTGTCTTTTTAATGTATTTATTAATTTTAATATATTTTCTTATTTTGTTTTTACCTAAACTTTTTACATTATGAGTTGGTGTAGAACCTGAATCATGAATTAATGTATTATATAAAATGTTTGTGTGTGTATCTTTTACACTTTGTGATACTGCCTCCAGGTTATTAATATATTGTTGAGCCTCCAATAGCTGTTTTTCAAGACTTCTTATGCGCAGCAAAGCAACTTCATACTCATTACCATAACTATCAAGTTTATTTAATTCCTGCTGAAGCATAACACACTGATCTTTGAGTGAATTATTTTCTTGAAATAGCAAGGACATTTCATTTTTGAGCTTCCTGTTGCCTTCCAGCACACTTAAGAGTTCTTTTTCATTTTCTTCTCTTTCACTTGTTAACTGGGTACATAAATCCCTGCAAGACTGCAATTCAGTCAGTGCTAATTTAAGTTTAGACTCTTCTTGCAAAGCCAAGCCTCTGCGAGTCATCATATTGTATAATAGGGACTGTATGCAATGAACAAGCGAAAAAGGTATGTATATATAACTGTTATGTGTGAGTGGTGGTAGTTGTACTATTTATTACCTATAAATATATAATGAAACCTAAATACACACAAAATGGGCTTATTTTGTCAAGTAAATTATGTGGTATTAATTGTCTGGGCGAATGTTTTCGTCGTCGATTTTGCTTCCACTAGTTGTCAAGCAAAATGAGACATAAACCGTGCCAATGTGTGATGGACGTAGCTCCAAAAACTGAGCAGTATTTTATGATCTTATGTAGTCAGTAAATATAACTTAAATAGAACAAAATACTCCCCAGGTCTGACGATATTTTAAACTACGTTACCGTTAAGGCGTTGAGTTGACAGCCGGTTTTAGATCCCTGTTTTGCCAAGTTCTCGCGACAAAAAACACTGTATAATCACTTTATATTATACACAAATCTTATTTTTAACTATATTACCCTAATTTAACTAAATTTAAACCCTTAAAATTATTATTTTTTAAAATTAAATGTAGAGGTTGTTTTCTTACAACCTACCACCAGAGTTGCCAGATCGGAAAAAGTCCATACATGATACCTTTTTGTTAGGCAAGGGCAGGCCAGTTACAGGATCGACTTGTGGAATTTGAAAGTGATACCCTTCTTGCCCTTTGCTAAATATTAGCGGATATTGTAACGCATCGTAAAATTTATGTGTATCCGGCACCCTAGTTAGTGTGTTATCACGGGCATGTAAAACTATATCACGGGAAGCAAACTGTTCACCACAAACCATGGCTGCGACTTCATTTATTAAAGGTGCATTATATCGTCTTTCGTGTTCCCCACTTGGTGTACGATCTGGGTGAATCACCAACTTATAATCATCTCCCGGCATTCTTTCTAAGGCTGTTGTGAAAGTGTTTATTAGGCGGTTATGTTCATGCAACATTCTCTGAATCTTTAAGACAATATCCTTTTCTACTAATTGAATGTTTTGACACCTGCGGTCAACCTCGTCGTTTTCATTTCCCATAAAATAAATCTGTAAAAATTTTGGTTGCTCATTATTTGTAGGAAGCAAAGAACCAATCCTATGATAGATTTGACCTTGGATTGTAAAAGTAGATGAAAACCCAGGCATAACCACCTCATTTTCTACACCAAATGACGTCATTTGAAAGCATGAATTATATTTCCTTATTTTGATTAAAAAACGCCGCGATTCGTTGTTATCACCTAAAAGTAAAGACTTCAATGGTTCCTCTGGTTCTCCAAGTATTGGAATTGAAACCTTGCCACCAGAACAACACATACCCGGAGTTTCTTCTTTCCACTTGAGTGCTTCACAATGTATACATTTTTTATCCATTCCACCTATGAGAAGTAATCGATGGTTATTATACTCAATCGATGGGTCATAATCAAAAGCAGCATTGTGGAATGCTCCCCATGTATACATTGTAAACGCATTTCTCCTTTCTGACTGCCGTTCAGCATTTAACACACGTCGTCTTTGGGATTCTTCTGGCATCTCTGCAGCTATCAATGATGCGTGTCGCTCAGCATCTAAAATCTGCCGGGCCTGAGTCTGTTCATAGGTTTCGGCAGCTCTTTGCGTTGCGTGTCGCTCAGCATCTATAATCTGCCGGGCCTGAGTCTGTTCATAGGTCTCGGCAGCTCTTTGCGTTGCGTGTCGCTCAGCATCTATAATCTGCCGGGCCTGAGTCTGTTCATAGGTTTCGGCAGCTCTTTGCGTTGCGTGTCGCTCAGCATCTAAAATCTGCCGGGCCTGAGTCTGTTCATAGGTCTCGGCAGCTCTTTGCGTTGCGTGTCGCTCAGCATCTAAAATCTGCCGGGCCTGAGTCTGTTCATAGGTTTCGGCAGCTCTTTGCGTTGCGTGTCGCTCAGCATCTATAATCTGCCGGGCCTGAGTCTGTTCATAGGTCTCGGCAGCTCTTTGCGTTGCGTGTCGCTCAGCATCTATAATCTGCCGGGCCTGAGTCTGTTCATAGGTTTCGGCAGCTCTTTGCGTTGCGTGTCGCTCAGCATCTAAAATCTGCCGGGCCTGAGTCTGTTCATAGGTCTCGGCAGCTCTTTGCGTTGCGTGTCGCTCAGCATCTAAAATCTGCCGGGCCTGAGTTTGTTCATAGGTCTCGGCAGCTCTTTGCGTTGCGTGTCGCTCAGCATCTATAATCTGCCGGGCCTGAGTCTGTTCATAGGTCTCGGCAGCTCTTTGCGTTGCGTGTCGCTCAGCATCTAAAATCTGCCGGGCCTGGAGTCTGTTCATAGGTCTCGGCAGCTCTTTGCGTTGCGTGTCGCTCAGCATCTATAATCTGCCGGGCCTGAGTCTGTTCATAGGTTTCGGCAGCTCTTTGCGTTGCGTGTCGCTCAGCATCTAAAATCTGCCGGGCCTGAGTTTGTTCATAGGTCTCGGCAGCTCTTTGCGTTGCGTGTCGCTCAGCATCTAAAATCTGCCGGGCCTGAGTTTGTTCATAGGTCTCGGCAGCTCTTTGCGTTGCGTGTCGCTCAGCATCTAAAATCTGCCGGGCCTGAGTTTGTTCATAGGTCTCGGCAGCTCTTTGCGTTGCGTGTCGCTCAGCATCTAAAATCTGCCGGGCCTGAGTTTGTTCATAGGTCTCGGCAGCTCTTTGCGTTGCGTGTCGCTCAGCATCTAAAATCTGCCGGGCCTGAGTTTGTTCATAGGTCTCGGCAGCTCTTTGCGTTGCGTGTCGCTCAGCATCTAAAATCTGCCGGGCCTGAGTCTGCTCCTCAGATTCTTGGGATCTAGCTACTTGCGCAGTTCGAGCTCTTTTAGAGCTACGCGCTAAATTAGATTTACGCTTGCGAGGCATATTACTTAACCAGTTACCTACCTAAAGTAATAAAAACAGGTAAGTACTTATGCAAAAAAAATTCTTTAGCTGACAAAAAAATTTAGTTAAAGGTACTGAGTACGAAACTATACTTAAGGTAGGTACTTATACACATGAAATAAAACAAAAACAAAACGAATTGCTAAACTAAAACTAAATGTTAAAAAAAATATACTATCCACATGGAATAAAAACAAAATGAATCGATAAAATTATATGCGAAACTACTGGAACTATTTTATTCACAAAACAACATTACTTACCTATTAATACTCAATAAAAACTATGCTGACCTTCTTAGGTACCGTAACTACTTACTAAATGTGAAAAAACTTAAAAAACCTGCCTACTAATCTACTACAATTTTATACCTATCCTAAAAAATGAATTAAAGTATTTATTTTACCTATTAACTATAATTCTACCTACTACTAACTTATGCTAAACTAATAATAACAACCAAAACAACTAAGTAAATAACACAAAATGCTTATCCAAGAAACCCTAAACACCAATGAAAACGTAAAGAAAGCGAATACGTTGCAGCTCAAAATTGTAGATATCGCATGCGTCCGCCAACGACGTCTGCCCTCACGTATCTGCCCGTTCGGGTAAGCATACTTTGTGATCTACACTCCTCCCACCGAGCCATCCGCGTCCCCCGCACGTCTTTGCCGCCGCGCCCGCCAGCCCCGCCACACCACACCATGCATCGTCACACTTACACATTCATAGTGTATAGGCCGATGGGCCTGATGGACATGTCAGGCAGAAAGTATTCTAAAAGCTGGCTAGGAGTATTTGAATTATGCGATACATAACTGCACCCCGCGTTTTCACCCGCATAATTCCGGGATCGGGATCGGGATAAAAAGTAAAGATGTCCTTTCCCAAGGTTCCATCTATCTCTATACCAAAATTCATCAAAATCGGTTCAGCGGTTTAGGCGTGAAAAGGTAACAGACAGACAGACAGAGTTACTTTCGCATTTATAATATTAGTAGGGATAAAGGTCGGTGTTACTTTCTTACGTATGTACATAGAAATTATATTGAGCTTTTTAAAGGATGAAGATATTCTTGATCAGTCATCTGCGGAACGCCTTGCGCACAGGACGTATCCTTGTGTACAAAAATTCGTATCGCGAAATTAAATATCTATAAGTAAATGAACTGTTATTAACCTACGATTAATTGGTATATTAAGTTAAGTGTTTTCGTATTATTCTGTCCTTAATGTAAAAGTGATTTGAATTGTGAAGTGAATTGAACTTGATTCTTAAACTTTTTTCTTTATTCTAACTTGGATATTTGGACAGCAATGTGGGGAATGCAATGAAGGCCTCTTTGATGGGGCAGTTTGCTCATCATGTAAACAGACTTTCCACTATAATTGTATAGGAATTACAGAGGGAGGCTATCGAAAACTGGGTGATAGAAAATTAAGTGTAAATCAGGTGGACAAATGAATACACCGACACTTTCTCCAATGCATGAACCATCACGTAAGTTGTTAGAAGAGATAAAAACCCTGTCATCCAGAATGACAGCCTTCGAAGAATTAGTAAGCGAGATAATGTTAGTGAGAGATGAGTTTTCTGGGCTAAAATCTTCAGTCGTAGAAGCTAGCACAATTGTAAAGGACTTTGGATTACGACTCCAAAATATAGAGGATAGGCTTTTGGATGTGGAAAAAACCAAAGAACTAATTAATAATTTACAAAGCAGAGTGGATGTCTTAGAATGTGAAAAGGATGCGGCTGAGCAATGGAATATAATGAACAACGTTGAGTTAAAGGGAGTACCACAGACGGCAAATGAAAACCTGCTTGATTTAATAATAAGCATAGGATCTAAAGTAAATTATGCTGTGACAAAACAGCAGTTAAATTTTATAGCCCGAACACCATCGAGGGATTCTAATCATCCGAAGCCGATTGTTGCGTGTATCAACAGCAGGTATGTTAAGGAGAACTTTGTGGCGGCAGTCAGATTATTTTACAGGGATAGTTCCCTTTCCGCCAACCTATTAGGACTTAAAGGCTCCGCCAAAATATTTGCAAATGATCACCTGACTTCTCGCAACAAGATTCTTTTAAATAAGACAAAGCATTTAGCCAAGGAAATGGACTGGCGGTATGTTTGGGTCAAACACTGCAAGATTCAAGTGCGAAGAGGTGACTCATCGCCGGTTCTCACAATAAAGCCAGACAAAGATCTTTTGAAAATAACGAAAGGTGGAATGTGACTTTTTTTTCGCACGGTATTTCATCCAGCTCAATTATATATATTTTCATCATTACTTTTTATTATTGATACATTGTATTTGAGAATCACTGGCTTCACAAGACCTATCTATTGTTCGCGCTGGGTCGACCTGATATCCTGCTGTACTTCAATGTTTGCAAAATTAATATCTTATAGAATACTGAGGGTACTAAATAATTTGCATCATTTTATTTGGCTATATTGTCTCACTTATTTCAATATTACATTAAGACTTTCAGTAATGTTAATCGAGTTGGTATTATATAAGATATATCAGTATTTCTGCATATACACTCGGCGTCAAAAAAATCGCACCTTTCTTAAAATTCGTGTCAAGCGATTATAACTTCTAAGATCCTTCTTGTACCCTATCAATATTAGTATCATTTAAAAGCTCAATTAATAAGCTTTCAAAAAAATAATCATTTGTTTACGGAAAATAAAAAACCACAAATCGCCAGCACTTTGATTAAAAAGTGGCGATGTACGCATTTGGAGGCTCACTAATTGTACCACGGACGCGTATAAAACGAGGGGGGGTAAAAGTCAATTATGGGTTATTCGCTATCTAGACATCACAGAAGTCACACCTGAAGAGCTTCGACAATAAAAACCCCAGTGAAAATGGATACCATGGCAGAAGAAGCAGCTCAAGTGGTGGCCCTACCTCAAACCCGACTACGGCAGGTTGAAGTTGCTCGGCAACTGAAAATCAGCCGATTTCGAGTGCAACGGGTATACCAATGGTTTCAAGAGACTGGAGGTTACATCTGGAGGACTGGAGGAGACATGGATCCGGGAGACGTCGCTGCACTACCGTCAGAGATGTTCGCTACATTGTGTCGACGTCTTTGCGGAACCGCTTCTCCAAGGCTGTGGAGCTGCAGCAGTGGCTTCGAGCTACTCGAAGGACAGCAGACAGCGTCTCCACTATCAGAAGAAGGCTGTGAGAAAAGAATTTGATGCCCCGGAGAGCTGCTACAGGCCCCCAATTGACTGCCATCCACCGGACGAACAGGAAGCGATTTTACGAAACGCACGTGCCGTGGACATTCGACCAGTGGAGGAATGTCCTGTTCTCCGACGAAACCCGAGTGTGCCTGTATACCATAGACATGGGTAAGAGAGTCTACAGGCGACCAGGGGAGCGTTTCACACCAGCCTGCACCGAGGAAACCGTCGGGTATGGAGGAGGATCCTGCATGTTCTAGGGCGGCATTTCTATCGACGGCAAAACAGACCTCGTGTGCGGCTCCAGAGCTGGAGATGGTCGCGGCCAGAGGTCTCTGACTGCCCACCGGTATATCACCGAGATTTTGGAGGAGCATGTGGTCCCATGTGCAGGTTTTGTCGGCGCCAACTTCGAGTTCATGCACGACTACGCCCGGTGCCACACAGCCTTGATTGTCAAGGACTACCTACGTCGAGTTGGCATCAAGGTTATGGACTGGCCAGCAAGAAGCCCAGACCTCAATCCTATCTAGCACCTCTGGGACGAGCTGAAACGGCGAGTTTGGGCCCGTAATCCAGCTCCTGCCACTCTCGATGAGTTTCGAGATGCCGTCATCGAGGGGTGGGACAATATTCTCCAGGAACACGTCGTGACGCTCATCAGGTCTATGACTGACCGCTTGGAAGCTGGTCGGAGGGCCAGAGGAGGCAACACTAGGTTTTAAGACTTATTTATAATTATTGTTATTGTTTATTTTTAATTTTTGTATTGTTCATTTTCTTTGTAATTTTGATCAGAATACACATTTATTCACATTTTCCCAGAATTTTCTTTTTTTATGGGGGCGGTTACCAATTTCCTACCGTTTTCAAATAAGGGATTTCATTAGCTTTCAAATGATACTAATAATGATAGGGTACAGGAAGGATCTTCGGAGTTATAATCGCTTGACACAAATTTTAGAAAAGGTGCGATTTTTTTGACGCCGAGTGTATGATACCCATCTAAATTATTTAATATTCTTGTTGAAAGTATCAAAATATAGAAATGGTACAAGTAACGCCATCTAATGACAGTTATGTCAAAATGTATTACTGTGGTCTATTGTATCTGTGATGTGTTTGAATAAATTAGTCGTTCTTTGTCACTGCAAGTGATTGCGTTTCATTTAAGGTTATGGGCCCAGCGCACCTCTATACTTTTGTTAAAAGCAGTAATTTTGTGTCGAGAAGTAAGTTTCGGACTTATTGAAGTTATAATTGTATCGATTGTGTTATCCAGTAAGTTAACTAACGAGGATGGCATCGAATTGCCTAGTCAACGTGCCCAAACTGAAAGGCAGAGAAAATTACTCAGAATGGGTTTTCGCTGCACAGAATTTTCTAGTCCTGGAGGATATGGTGCATTGCATCAGGCCAATACCTGGGAAGACGATAGAAACTGCAGAAGATGCGAAAACAAAGGCAAAGCTTATCATGACTATAGACAGCGCCTTGTACGTGCATATCAAGGAAGTCAAAACATCGTCAGAACTTTGGAACAAGCTTAAGTCATTATTTGATGATTCCGGATTTTCGCGAAGAATATCTCTTTTGCGAAACCTTATTTCAATACGGTTGGAAAACTGTGCTTACATGCAGGCGTACGTCACGCTGATCGTCGAGACAGGTCAAAAGTTGAGCGGGACAGGTTTTAAAATCAGTGACGGCTGTCTTTTACTAGCTGGATTGACGGAAAAATTCATGCCGATGATCATGGCCATTGAGCATTCAGGTATCCAAATTACAACGGACGCCATTAGAACCAAGCTGATGGATATGGAAACGGAAGTTCGGGGTTCTCAATCTAGTGAAATTGGTGGGGCATTTGCAAGTGGCGCACAGAAGTGGCAACCTAAGAAAAATAAAAATGTGTCAGCCGGTGCGCAAAGTCAAGCTAAGTCAAATGTCAGTGTCAGTGGTGGTGCCAAAAGTCATGTCAAATGTTACCAGTGTAAACAAACGGGTCACTACAAGAATCAATGCCCAAATAATGATAATTCAAGTAATTATTCGAAAGTATTGCAACGTAAACAGAGTAATGCATTCAGTGCAGTGTTTTTGAGTGGCCAATTCAACAAGTACGACTGGTACATCTGGACTCTGGCGCGAGTATGCACTTGACGGCCAATGAAAAGTGGATAAAGGATGCAACATACCACGATATGCGGGAGATATGTGTTGCAAACAACGAGAAACTTCAAGTATTATGTTCCGGCGACGTAAATATTGTGACGAAAACTGATCAATGTGAATATGAGATACCAGTGAAAGATGTTATGTGTGCTCCAGGATTGACAGGAAATTTATTGTCAGTAAGCCAATTGATCGAGTATAGAGTTCAATTTACGTCAGAAGGCTGTAACGTGTTCAACAGAAATAATGAAATGGTGGCTATGGCTGTGCTCAGTAACGGAGTGTACAAGGTGAGACTTGCTGACAGTGAAGTGACAAGTTTAGCAGTGTCAGGAGATGTCTGGCACAGAAGACTAGGCCATGTCAATAGCACTTATTTAAATAAAATGTCAATTGCTGTGGAAGGAATGGATCTCCAAGAAAAAGTTGACATAAATAAGTCATCTTGTCCTGTATGCTGTGAGGGCAAACAGTGTCGTCTGCCATTCCCAAGTGGTTCTAGATGCAATGAGTTGCTAGGTTTGGTACACACTGACATTTGTGGACCAATGGAGCATGAATCGTTGGGAGGCTCGAGGTATTATATCTTGTTCATTGACGACTTCAGCCGAATGATAGCAGTGTACTTCTTAAAGCATAAAAGTGAAGCGCTCAGATGTTTTGCAGAATATAAAGCCAAAGTGGAGAAGCAAACGAAAAAAATCTTGAGAAGCGATAATGGGTGTGAGTACTGCAATAAAGAATTTGACTCACTTCTCAAGAATGAAGGTATTATACACCAAAGAAGTAATCCGTACACACCCGAGCAGAATGGTGTATCGGAACGGAATAATCGTACTGTGGTGGAAAAAGCAGATAGATAGATAAAAAACAAAAAATTATAAACAATCTGCACATTTGTACTTTATACCTATGATCTGAAAATTGTGGTAACTCCTTTTTAGATTGGAGATAACATTTTAAAAACTCTGTTGTTGTCGTTCGTTTCTGAAGTTTAATTGATATTTGTAAAATCCATGGAATTCTTTATAATCAGTGCGGGTACGATTTTAATTTGTAAGAATGGAAAAATCGTTTCTGGAGCATCAATGAAATACCATGACCTCTGAGGTAAGTTAAGTACTATTCCTGCAGATTCTAGAAAATCTATTTCCAACAATGTTCTAGTATTATTTTCATCTGGCATTGCAGAAAATGTAATGGGTACACAACGATTACCAAATTTATTTCAATCGTTATAACTTTGAGCTTCATCTGTTTTGTGGACCCAGCAGCCAAATTAATTATAGCTTATTTGTCCGTGAAAGTGTAGCCTTCTTTTAATTAATAATTAATATAATGTAGAACCAGCGATACTTGTACGAGCCGCGGAGTCTAAATAAGCGTACCCATTTGAATTTTTAATCGTTACTTCAATTATAGGTATTTTTACTCCGTCCGTTTATTAATAATATAATAAAATTGCACTGGCTTTGGTGGCGTTTTCTTACTTTTGCAGTTCAAGCAATTGCTCCTGTACTCTCCCGGGGTGCCACAACCATAACACTTAACACCTGGCTTCTCCATATTCTTTGCTTTTTCATTATATTGTTTTTTCCTGCACTCATCTTCTGTGTGACCCCTCTTGTTACAATAATTGCACCTTTTGGTTATTAATTTTTCTCCCTCTTCATCTTTCTTTAAACTTTGAAAATGACGTCCTTTTGTCAGTAGATCCCGAAAAGTTTTAATTTCTGACCTTGGAATATGTTTTTTCAAATAAATGTTTAGCAAACCAAATAAATCAATTTGATCATCTTCTTTGTGCCGTTGTGTTGGTAATTGTGATAAAAGTGCACGTTTTGTACAAAGAAATGTGTCAATTGATTCCTTGAGACCTTGGCGTGTAGAAAATAATTAATAGACCACCTTTGATCATAACAATAATTTAAAAGTTCATAGTAAAATAACGAGTACGGATGCGCATTAAAATCCCCTAGTATGTAAACAGATTCTATGCCATACTCATCAACAATAGCACTCACCACACTTAGACAGTCCGTAAACACTGGCAAGTTGTCCTGCGAGTCCGTAGGCACACACACTACTATTATGGGTCGATCACTCGTTATTATTTTTATTGCACAAACTCGAGAATTATTACTCGGTAACACTATCACGTTATTGAACACACTCCTCCTCCACAGCAGGGCCACCCCTCCATAGGGCCTCCCCCGCAGCATTCCCTCTGATGTGTCGATCGCTGATGTTCCCGTGTACCCGAAGTCCGCCTCAATACTGCCAAGATATGAGATCTCGCTCGGTAGCAACCATGTTTCCTGAAGAGCTATGATGTCTGAGTGACGACATAAATCCCTGATACACTCTAAGGATCGTTTAATATTTTTACAATTAAATGTTGTCATTGCGTATACGCCGTTATCCATTATTTACATTTACAAGGCCGGAATTCATATTTGTTTCATTTATAATATGGCGATTTTAATAATGTACAAAGCGCCTAAAAATAATTCCTTTAGGCCAGAGTTTATCATCTAAAAATAATGACAAGTTGTCCTCAGGTATCATGAACTTGTACGCTAAATGGTTGTTATGTCTTTTAATTGATATTTTTTTTAGCGATATATTCACTTGAGCTTTCTTGAGAACATAATCTATGATATCCGATTCAACCGTATCTTTATGTACATTGCTTATAAAAATAGGTATAAACCTTTCCGCCGCCTTGAAATTAACACCGTCACTGGCTTGACCCGTCATTCCTGCAAAACGTTGTTTACATTTTGTTTTACGTCTCGTAACGGTTTGCCACGCACCATCCGTGGGCTCGATATTATCAACTGGAAAAACCGTCTTGATCAGTTGTCCAGAGCTCATTTGTTGAGTTACGCTTGTCTCCGCTGAAGCCTCCGCATTCACCGTCGCCCCTGTCGTCATGGTATGAGTCATAATACCGGTCTCGGCCGACATAATCGACGAATGCATGTTTTCGCGAACCACACTACTCTCACTGATACTTCGATAAAGTGGGTCTTTATTGTTTGACTCGCAATTGGAGTTAATTGAATTGTGCGAGTCATTTAATGACGAGTTAATGCTCTGCGATGGATCTCTAGGGCCACCATTTCTAGCCCATGCACCACGTCGATTGTTTATATTGTGACACGGCGTGGTAGCTATCGACGTGTGTTTCAATCTATTAACGTCTTGCTTTAAATCTTCTAAGTGGTTTAGAGTAGCGTAGTTATTTTTAATAGTCTCAATCTCCGCTGACATTCTTGTTAAATCCTTCAATAATTTCGTGCAGTCAAGATGATCAAATGTAATAGGAGGTAGTTTTTCCAGTTGTCTTGCAGCAAATACTGGTAAGATCTCAGGTTCTGTAGATTTAAACAAGGAAATGATGTCATCCATATCTCGAGATTCTTTTCCCTTTTTTTTTCGCTGTATTTGTCGGCGATCTGCCGGTAGTGCACTAAACAATAATGATTTCGAGTTACTAATTTCTTCACTCGTAAATGCCGACACACAAATTTTAACTAACGACACTTCATCCATTATCGATATTTTATTTTGGATATACGATAATAACTCATCTAAAACAATGTTGCACACATTACATTTCACAACGTCCGTCATATTTGTAATAACGAAATAAAACGTCGCCGCGATAGCTCCGTAACGAAATCACACAACACACCGCAATGCGCGCACGCGTGAGACTTGACAAGGTTGATAGTTCTTAATTTAGGTTGTTTTAATAATTAAGTTATTTAAACAAATTAAACACTATTTACCTATCTTTAAAACATTTTTATTTCATTATACTAGGTATTTATTTTTAAGTGACTCCAATGTCTTCATTAGAATTTCGGTTTCTTATTTTAAATTAATCATTGCTTGGTTGTGCATCTTTGCCATATTCTTAACTCTATGTTTGTGTTCTATTTGAAGCCGCTCATTTTCCAGAGCCCGAAAGCTATGCATATATTGATACGAGGCTTCTCCAAAACTAAAACTACTTCTTGCTTTCTGCAACAAATAAGAGAATATTAATTTAAGCTCTTTCCATGCAAAACTTAAAAAAAATATAATTCATTTTATACAAATCCTTCCTGGAAGAACAGTCTATTTATTAGTCAGATCAAAATCCATTGTGTAGTTTAGAAAAACTAATTGCACATGCTACAGACCTGAATAGCAACTTTCTTTTATTCTATTTAGAGATAGAGATAATTTAAATATAATACCAGTGTCTTCCTTGTAGGTTTCTTTGGAGTTGTTTGGGGATTCTTGTTGTTCAGTTCGACATGATTTTCTTTAACCTTTGGATTATAATCCTACAAAATAATGAATTTGTTAAGTTATGTTGTCACTGTTGTGCACACCTTTGTCTGGCTTTTTTAGTATTCAAGTTATGTCAAAACTGATTTATTACCTTGTCATTGTTGGCTTTATTTTCTTTCGGGATATCAATTGTTTCCAAAATGATTTTATTTGTAATATCCTGAAATATATAAATAACATCTATTAATTTAAGTATCATGTTGAGTGATTCGCACTCAGGTGTTAAGGTGTATTATTTATTTATTTATTTACAGCCCAATGGCCAAACTTAGACTAAAAACAATAAAATACAATTACATACAATTGTCCATTATAAGTGGGAATGGGCTCACTTCTAGCTGGACAGAGTTTCGGTACTACAAGTGCAATATGGATGTTCTGAGGTATTAGAATATCTCTGACTACCCTGTAGGGGAACAAATTACTGTTGTGAGCATATGCTTATGCTTGAGAGGTTCAACCTTGAACATTACCATACATCATATTTATAATTAACATTCCTACCTCGACACCATCACAATCAAATTCATTGAAATCTACTTCAAACAGGTAACATCGCTGCCATGTCCATTGTGTCTGTTTTTAATGTTTCACGGCGATAAGATGACAACTCTTTTTTTGTATTCAATTTAGTGCACTTCCACTGATTCATCAATTGTTTTTTCTCTCTTGTCCTTATATTTGCTAGATTAAATCTGAAAAATTACATGTTTTGATTAAACAATGTGGTCATTTTTTTGAGATGCAGTTACTTATTAAAATGTTTACTTCTCTGTTATATCGCTCCAAGCCTTCATTTTCTCTCTATTAGTATTCGTGCTTAAATCTTTGTTCTCAATTATTGATATATAGGGTCGTAGAATATTTCTAAAAAGTTGCTGTAACAAACGCAATAAACAAAAGCAATGAATAACCGTTCATGTTTCTGTTTTATTCAACAATAATACTCGATAATAATAATAATACATACGGATAGTTAACCTCAATTGTATTGAAGCACTTAGGAAGGTTGATTAGCACAGGTTTTTCACAAATATTTTCTAATATTACTTAGTATTGATTTAAATATTCAATTTAAATCACTTCTGATTATAATTCAAAAAGCATTGCTAAATTTATTTGAAAAAAGAATTAAAACTCCTTTATTTAAAAGGTAAATGTCATTATGGTCTAACTTCATGCATATTCTATTTCTTTTTACTTGTAGATTGTCTTATTTCCATCTCGCTCGCGCACGCTATTATCACACTGACAACTTTGTGTCTCAGGTGCGCGCGCATCGTAAAATTTCACTCTCATCAATAACGCGCCTAAAGAAGTATAACTTCAAACATTAGTGACAATCATTGAAGCAACTTTTACAAAAGGTCACTTCACAAACAGAACATTTTGTTACATCTTGGGAAGCTTTCCGTAGTTTTCCGTCGATAGTTTTTCCTTGTCGACCGTATTTCTTATAGCATTCAGAACAACGAGCTTTCTTTTTCACTCCATTTATCGTATTCCAGGTAATGTTTAGCGCTGACCGATCTAGGTGTAGTAGTCACTGATGTGTGATTGGATCTTTCGAGCATACCTGTGATGACTCGTTCACGAAACGCTGTGATTGTTAGTGTACGAGCCAAGGCTGTACATTTTGCTCACTCAGGGTTCCTTAGTTTTATAATCCTGATTATTTCCTATGTACGTGCCAAGGCTCGTACATTCCGATCATCTACAAGCGTGATAATTTCCTATGTAAGTACGTGCCCTGGCTGTACAGTTTGATCACTTATAAGCATGACGATTTCCTAAATCGTCGGAGTCACGCCCACGCGAAAGTATAGCCCGACGCAGGCACTCTCTTCGACTGTTCCAGCAGTCATTCGTTTCATTACAATGAACTAAATCATAGGAGTTTCACCCCGGGAGCATAGCTAGACGTCGGCACTCTCTCTGTTTGTTAGATTGCACTCATTATATAGCAATTAACATAATTATTATTTCGCTCATATTCTATTGTATTACGCGAGTGATAAATATAGAGTAAGTTAAAAATATTCTATTATTTCGAACCCCTGATGACCAAGGAACCGTACAGTTATTATTATTACTATTATTACATTATTTTTATTATTTCAATAGATAGAGCATTTAATTACCTACAGATCAATATATAGTTCATAATATTTAAACCATCAGAAGACATAGAAATAAGACAAGGAAACTTGGAAAACGCTCAAAAAATTTCAAACTTAAAAAGTCCGTTGGAAGCGACGCGTCCCTACTATGACGGCCAAACGCGGACCAAGGTCACGCGTCGTCACAAAGTAATAAACAAATATACCAACTATTTAAAAAGAACAATTCTCAAATATTAGAAGACGATTAGAAGATTATTAGAAGACCAATAGTGTAAGCCCAATTATATTTTGCTTTTATATAAATATTTCTCCTATAACTTAATTTATAAACTATAGATTCATTTAATTTAATTTTAATTCTATCTAAATTTAACAAAAACAATACAAAAACACATTTTTCAAATATCAGAATATTACTAGAAGACCAATAGGGTAAGCCCTGTTTTGCTTTTTATATAAATATTTCCTCACTTACTTAATACACACACTATAGATTCATTTAATTCAATTTTATTTTAACAAAACAATAAAAAAACACATTTTTCAAATATTAGAATATTACTAGAAGACCAATAGTGTAAGCCCTATTTTGTTATATATCAATATTTTCTATACTTAATTTATACACCACAGATTTATTAAATTTAATATAATTTAATTTAATTCATTTTAATTCAATCTAACAACACACAACACAATGAATACCCCAGTAAGGAAATCACTCGGGGAAGTTTTATTCCCCAAACCCTCCCTTACGGCCTCTCCTAAGGCCTCAAGGCTAATTAACACAAATATAACACCAAAAACAGAGGCCCAGAAATGGGTCAACACAGCAAGGGAGGCCCTTGCAAAGTCAAGAAACTTGAGGACTGACCTTAAGTTAGAAATAGAAAAGTCCCTAGATAACTTAAATAAAATAATAGAATCACTCTTACCTACAATCACACCGGGTACTACACCCAACACAAACACAACACCAACTATCACAACACCCGACACAATACTCGACCAACCTAACACCCTGGAGGAGCGCCTATTAAAAAGACTAGACGCACACAGTAAACTTATACAAGAGTCCGATAAGACCATGCGAGGTCTCATTATAAAATTAGAGAACAGCGAGATGAAAGGGCCGGACGGGCACAAACCCGTAGGCTCTGGAAACTCATATGCGAAAATAGCCGCTACCCCCAAGGCTCCTGAGGGACCTTCGCTGGTTATATCGGGCGAAGGATTTAATAATATACAGGAATTATTATTAACACACTTAAAAAACACCATAGACTTTAGACGCGGCGGCTATGCGCCCCAACGCATAGTCCCGCTTTCAAATAAAAAACTTAAAATTGTCTTCGCTAATGAACAAAATAAAGCGCACTCTCTCGCGGCAATAAAAACATCTAATATAATCAAAGCACACGAGGAGCGGAGGTACAACCCTCTCATAGCGGTCAAGGGCATCTCTAAAGAGATCCCCGAAACGGAAATAATACAAACACTTAAAGATCAAAATCCCACTCTCCGCACACAAGAATTTAACACCAAATTAATACAGAAAAACAGAAACGAAAAACTATATAATATAGTTATTGACACCACACCCACTGCGTGGAGAGCTTTCGTGGACTTGGGCCGCGTCAATGTGGCGTACCAACGGGTGCACGTGGAGGACTTTGGGCGCTTCATGCAATACAGGAAGTGCCAAGGCTTCGGACACTCTCAATTGAGGTGTCCCGCCACGGCCCCCACATGCGCAAAATGCGCTAGCTCACAGCACATAACATCAGAGTGCAGCGCCCCGAGCACTGAAACCCCCCGTTGTGTTAACTGTCACGAACACAACGCCCGTTTCAACGGAAGCTCCCCAATTAACCACCGCGCCGACAGTGACAAGTGACCCAAAGTGAGTGCTATGCGCGCCCGCGTTCAAGCCAAAGTTAACTACATATAAATATGTCATTACACAAACTTACAGCTACACAAGCGAACCTAGATAGGTCTCGCAATAGTTTCCACGAGTTTAAAATTAATTTTATCAACAATAACACCGATATTGCATTCATACAAGAACCATACACTAGTAACGATTTAGCTAAACATATCCCAGGCCTACGTTTATTTCAGTCCAACACGGACGGAAGAACGAAGGCCTGCATTGACACCAAGGCAAGCATCAACGCATTTGCGCTGTCACAATACTGCACAAATAATTTAATAATCATCGTAATACCTACACCTACAATAAAACTTTACGTCGCCTCAATATACATTGAGCCCGACAACGACGCACACGACACTATGCATGCGCTTGAACACTTCCTACTTAACCACAAAAACACACATACTTTGGTTTGCGGGGACTTTAAAATTAATTTGAAACACTTCGCCGACAGCCTGGCATAAGTTCCTGGAACTCGAGAGGGTCTCAATTTCTTACCAGAGAGTCCACTGTGAGAACTTCTCACCATTCATACAATGCAGAAACTGCCTAGGTTTTGGGCACACCAAAAACCGCTGCCCAGCCACCGTCCCCACCTGCGCCAAATGCGCAAAAACACACACAACGGGCGAATGCAGCAAAGCGACCTCAGAGAAGCCTTGCTGCATTAACTGCAGTGAGCAAAATCACCAGTATAAGACAACGACCGACGTTAGCCATCGCGCTGACAGCGAGGACTGCCCCAAAGTGAAACCCATGCGTGCCCGCGTCGAGGCTAAAATCAATTACAGTTAAACATGCATACACACTTTAATATCTTACAGGCGAACCTCGATAGGTCTCGCAATGCATTCCATGAGCTCAAATTACACTTTGATAACAATCATACAGACATTGCAATCATCTCTGAGCCATATCTAGGTAACAACACACACTCACCACATATACCAGGCCTTTGCACATTCCAAACCAATCGGGGAGGAATTACGAAAGCCTGTATAGTTACACGATCAAACATCAATGCCATGCTACTCACACAACACTCTACCGGCAACCTGGCCATCATCTCCATACCCACTCGTAGCTCCACACTATACGTGGCTTCTGTTTACATAGAGCCAGAAACAGACAACAATGACACACTCAATACATTAGAAAACTTCATAATTCAACATCCTCACGCGTCTATCGCAGTCTGCGGTGACTTCAACGCATGGCATTCACTTTGGGGTGGAGGTCGCTACCCGCGTAGCAATAGACGGGGCCATGATCTGGTCGACCTTATGAGTTCCGCGGACTTACACCTGTGCAATGTAGGTAATACACCTACCTTCGAAACTATCACACACGGCCGCCCTCGCTCTTCCATTATCGATCTAAGCTTTAGTACCACACCTCTCTTTAACAAAATAACACACTAGGAAGTCAGGCCTAACCTATTCCCATCCACTCAACTCATCACATTCAAAATTAAACTGCAAAATCCGTCAACCGCGACACCCAACCAAAGCACATTTTTATACCGCACTAAAAATGCAAACTGGCACACATTCAAGGAAAATCTGCTTTCCAAAATTGCCAATAGTCAAATCCTGAACACAAACTTCCTCAACATTTCACCCACCGAACTTGACTCGATCATGGAACGCACGACGCGTATTATTAATGACGCCTGTACAGAGTCATTTCCCATCAAAACCGACAAACAAAAAAGTAAAGCCCCCTTCTGGAATGACCACCTAGAGCACCTCAAAACTAAATTTATCCAATTACATCGGACTCTGCATCGCACATAACGATCAAACAACACACCCTCAACCGATCTAATCGAACAGTATAGGGATACAAAAGAGAATTATGCGTCCGAACATTTCACACAGTACCCCATAAATGAATTTTGAACTTTGGCTAATCTGAAAGATGGTTGAGCTATTTTATCTTTATTTCTAGTACTAAAATTATGTCTTTCATTTATTTTACTAAAAAGATGTAGATTCTTTCTTACATACATAATATTTTCATAAATGAATTGGCAAGGTACTGTCATAATATTAATCTTTTTAAATAGTTGATAATTTGGTAGAATCTATTCCAAAATTCCTTCAGCATGATTTTATTGCTCGTCAACAGGCTGAATTTTTTCAAACTACGAAAAAGAATCTCGAAGTTGGACAAGTACTTGTTGTTGCTGACTTCTCAGAAAATTACTCATTTTTACTTCAAAACAGTGTCCAAGGAGCTTATTGGAATAATAGTCAAGCGACAATCCATCCATTTGCTTGCTATTATAGATCCATTGATGAAAATGTCGACAATATAGTACCTCTAAATTTGATAATCATTTCAGACAACTTGACGCATAATACAACAGCAGTTTATAGTTTCCAGGAAGTACTGACATCGTTTCTGAAAAATAAAATCCCAGACATTTCTAAAATAATTTATTTTTCGGATGGTGCAGCATCTCAATATAAAAATCGGTACAATTTGCTGAACTTGCTGCATCATGAGGAAGATTTTCAAATACCAGCGGAATGGCATTATTTTGCAACTTCACATGGAAAAGGTCCAAGTGATGGTTTAGGCGGAACATTAAAACGGAAGGTTGACAGAGCCAACCTCCAATCTAAAGCTGACGACCAAATTCAAACACCTGATGAGCTATTCCAATGGGCAAAAGAAAATGTTCACGGAATCAATTGTGACTTTGTTTCAAATGAGCAGATTCAGCGTACTCAAAAAAAACTTAACCAGAGATTTAAAAATGCTCTGCCAGTACAAGGAATCCGAAATTGTCATGCCGCTATTCCCATTTCAAGTGATGTGATGAGAGTAAAAACCTCATCCTCATCTGAGGAAGGAAAGGATTTCCGGTTAAAAAATACAGATATCTACGAGTTCGTTGAAGAACCATATATTAAAAGCAGGTAAAAATCTGAAATTTCTGTGTTAGTACTTTATCTATTTTAAGTTTGGGTTTAAAGATTTAAGTCATATTATCATTTTTCAGGTTAAGAAAAAGAAAAGGAGCAACAACAGTAACTGAAGAATTGAAGAAAAAAAATTTTTCGTAACAGAATGTCAAGTAAACTTACACGTAAAAAGCCCTATTAAATAAATTAATAACCAATAATAAACAAATATCATTAATGTTTTTTTTCTCATCATTATGCCACTAAATGAAATTTCAACTGTTCAAAATATCAAAATTACGCGATTTGCCAAACTGATTAAAAAAAAAATTAAGAAAAATTTTTTTTTAACAAATTTCAAAAATTCATATTTTTGAAAAAACAAAAAACACAGTTCCAAAAATTTCAGGATCTTTTAAGATTGGTACAAGGTAGTACACAAAAAAATTTGAGCCAAAAATTTATTGTCGACGGTCAATTTTGACAATTTTCAAAAATTCAAAATTTAACAAATTGGAGATTTTTCAAAAAAATTTTTTTGAATTTTTTTTTTTTAATAGCCCCAAGTATCCCCTTTGAAGTTTACCATAAGCGATTTTTTTAATTGCAATAGTTTTCGAGATTTTTGAAACATAAATTTAAAAAATATGGAAAATAGTGAAATTTTGGATTTTGCATAACTTTTGAAAAAAAATTTTTAATTTTTTTCCTTTGGCAGAACTTCGTTATAGGATAAAAGAAAACTTCTGACCAAAATTTATCCAAATCGAAAGGGGTCGAGTCCAACTATTGGTCGATTTGACGTGGAATGACCCCTATATAAAATACGACAAGCTCATTGTAAAGAAGCCGAAAGAAAATAGAGAGAAGAGGAAAAGAGAAACTTCCGACTCACCAAAGGCACCACTAGAAAAGAAAACTAACAAGAAAGCAATATTGAACAATCCATCCACACTACCCAAAACACATACCAGAGATATCTTAAGACCCAACATACTAAACTATGTAGAAAGAGCAAGCTCTGATCCACAAATAAATCTCGCAAAAAACTGAATATGCCCCAGGACCACCGGAACCATCATACACCAACAATGAATTATTTACTCAAACAATCAAAAAAATATCTTCCACTACGGCTGGTCCCCGCGGAAGACTTAGACCATCACCCTCTAACAAGAACAAAACCAAAAGGAATGAGAACAAATTATACAGAGTACAATGGAAATTGTTAGAGGAGGCCTTTGCCAAGAGGCACACTGAACTCAGAGATATTTTATAACTTAAAGATAAGAGCAGTGGCGTAGCGTGCCTTGTCGGGGCCCCGTATAAAAAATTTTTTGGAGGCCCTTATATGGAGGTAAAGATTTTTCACAAAAGAAAAAAAATATTGTGAGAAGTAATATTTATTTATCACATAATTTACCCATTTTACAAATAAAAATCGAATTTTAAATATTCACTCTCCTTGCCTTTTTATCGGCAAACTGATTTATTAAATCATTTATGGCTGATGATGATTTTAGTTTTTCTAAAGTTTCTGCCTCTATGGACAATAGTGAGATGTTTGACAGCCGTTCTTGTCCCATCGAAGTTCTTAAGTAATTTTTTATTAGTTTTAATTTTGAAAAACTTCTTTCTGCCGTTGCGGTTGTAACTGGAAGGGTCAAGAATAAAAAGCATGCTGTGATTACCTCGGGAAAACTGGATGCAAGACTATTGAATTTTACTAGCAATAATTCAATGAGTTCTTTAATGGAATAATTTTTTTAATTTCAGAATTTAAGCATGTTTTTAGAGCCTTTAATTGGTCACAAAGATTAAGTGAGATGTCTTTACTGTATTTAGCAGACAGTTTTCCGGAAGCGTTTTATATCTTCGCTTGAAGAAGATAGGAGTTTCTCCGGTTGTAATATTTCGAATATACTACTCAGGTTGCATAGGCTCTGAAATCTTTCTTTAGTTTGAGAAATTAATGTATCTAAACAGCAATAGTATACATTGACTTTGAAATAGGATTCCGGGTCGGAAATTCTCTCATCTTGTGATAACTCATCAAAAAAACGCTTCGTTATCTTTCGCCTACTGTTTTTAAAAACAGTTGTTACCCCCCACTTTTTTGCTAAATCTTTGGATTCATTTAGCAAACTATTAAATGAATTCTGATTTCTTAATTGGCACAGTCTATTTAAAAGATTACTTAATAAAATACTAGATTTCTGTAAGTCATTATTTTCATGCTGTAGAGCTTTAGAAACAGGATTAATAATTTCAAATAGTGAAGAAAAAAATGTAACGAGCACTAAGAAATCAAAACTCTCTAAAATATTAATTATACTTTTACAATCCTTCACGTTCATCTTTTTTATTTGAAATAAAATTTAGTTGGTACAAAGTTTTCATGATTAGTAAAAAATTTTTCTTTACTGCTAATAAAGCGTCGTTCCTAGAAGACCATCTGGTAGGACATACCTTTTTAAGGGTAATCAAATATTTTTCAGATGAATCGTCACTTAGCATAGCCCAGCGTTTTATACTATTGCCAAAAAAAGTATATATTTTTTCTAAATTATCGAAAAAAGTCGATACTTCACGAACATGTCTCGCAGCATCGTTCAAAACCAAGTTTAAAGCGTGCGCAGCACAATGAACATAATCGGCATTTGGAGCATGCTCTTTTATTAGGGTTTGTAATCCTCCATACACACCCGACATAACATTTGCTCCATCGTATCCCTGTCCTCTACATTTAGTCAAATCAATTCCATATTCTTTAGTCAAATTTAAAATGACAGTTTTCAGACCTGCAGCACTGCAATCGGTTACTGCTATGAATCCTAAAAAGGACTCACAGATTTTTATTTCTTTAGGCACATTATCATCATTTTCTGTAACCGAGATATATCGAAAAACTACAGATAGTTGGTCAATTTTTCACAAGTCTTGTGTTGTATCCAGAATTATTGTCAGAAATGGAGCTTTTTTAATTTCTGAGATAATACTGTTCCTAACGTTAGTACCAAGCAAACTAATAATTTCGTTTTGAATCGTAGGGCTTAAATAATTTATTTCACCTTTCGGTTTTAGAAAAAGTTCTTTTAAAGTTGCATCATAGTTAGATAGCAGACGTGAAATTGCCATAAAATTGCCAGAATCAGAATCATGCCCCCTCAAAGGTAGATTACAAGATACTAAAGTAATTATAACATTAATTATACGATGCAGTACATCTCTCCAGAATGTAATTTTACTATCGATTTCATTTTTCAATAGAGTATCGATGGTATTTCCTTGCAACCAATTATTATAAGAGAGTGAGGCACTAATATGCTGCTGTGACTTTTCATGGTCAAGAATAGTTTGTGTGAAATTGCTTCTAACCGAAACACCGGTAACCCAAGCAGAGGAGTACGATTTGTTTTGACGATCTGCTAATAACCAACAGAAGTGACAGTACGGTTTGTTTAAAACGTTAGAATAACATAACCATGGTCTTATAATTTTTATGCCTGCCTGATTGAAATATGAATAATAATAAGCTGAAAAAGGTCGGTTATTTTCTGAAACTTTTGGAAATGGTCCTTGTGGTTTAAATGGACCCAATTTAAAAATTATTTTTCGTTCGCATTCAGTTAAATTGTCACCAAAATTTCCTCTATCTGATGAAATTATATTACAATCTGCATTATCTGCAGATATATCAGAATCGTTGACTTTGGGTTCCTCGATTTCTGGATGGACATCCGATAAAGTATGTGCTTGGCTTTCTTCTATTTCCGGATGGATATGTGACGAAGAACATGCTTCAGAAGAATCTAAAAATAAACGAGTAATTGTTAAAAATTAAATACGAATGTTTGATACTAAACTAAAAAGAGTTATATATAAATAAATAACGTTACTAAGGGTCACAGTTAGAGAGTGTTCAGTTCAGACGCACACAGATTCTACGCGGATTGTGCTCGTACCTATTAGTAGATACAAAATCACCTGCAGCCCGTCCGTGCATTACTATACACCTGCGTGCTATTTAAACGCAGCGCGTAGTGTAGTGGCCATACAAAACGAGAACCCGAAAGCGAGTCTGCACATCTGAAGTTCTCAACACGCAATTAACGATACGATACGGACTGATAAACAAACAACAAAACAAATCGATCCTATAGATAAGTTAGAATTTTGTTTTTTTTAATCAAGGCACGGAACCCTAAAAACAGTATAATTGTGAAAATCGAGAGGGGAGACAACTTTTTGTGACGGACAGATGGACAGACCGAAATTAAAAGATTTCCTTGTTTATCACTACGGGCCCCTAATAAATGGGTTGGGTAGTAGTGTAGTACTTACCTTTCCAATCTAAATCACTCACAGTATCTTGTCTCTGAAAAAATGAAGAAATTTTGGGCACTTTTTTTATAACCTCGTCCCTTTTCTGTTTAATTTTTCTATTCTCAGCGCCGCTGGGATAATCTCTTTTCTTTCACTCATTTCTTTTACAAATCGTTACTAATACTGCTAAACCAGAAGAACAATATTGTTTGTACTGAATTACAATGTAATGCACATTTATATAAAGCGCGTAAATAAACAGTGCACTGCACTCCGTGGTTTAACATCCAATGCAAAGTACAACAACGTACACGTACATCGCGATATCGATGAAGGATTCCCGGGGATTCTCCGCTGAGTTGAAGATGAAGTAAGTAAAACGGGGAAGTCCCGCAGCCCGCCATAACGAAGTAGTGTTGCCAACTTTTGAACGCACGCTTAAGGCGGGAAAAAAGGAATTGCTTTATAGAATTTTGTCATTTGTAAAATAAAATAAATTCGAAAGTTTTTATTCTTTTTCCTTACACACTTTGGGGGCCCCCGTGGCCCGGGGGCCCCGTATAATTGATACGGCAAATACGGCGGTAGCTACGCCCCTGGATAAGAGTCAACCACAAAGTCAGAGAAACAGTTCAGGATAAGAGGCTTATTATACTCGTATTATATTATATTATGACGATTTCACACTTCCCTTCCACATGGAAAGAGGCGGTAGTGAAAATCATTCCCAAACCCGGAAAAACAAAACTCGAAGAACTGAGTTCCTACCGACCTATCGGCCTTATACCCGTCTTCGGTAAAACATTAAAAAACTTTTTACTAAAAGACTCACATTCAATGCACATAGCTTAAAACTACTGAACCCAAATCAATTTGGCTTCAACGGAGCAGACAAGCACCGTGCAAGCCATACAGCAAGCCATCAGCACGGTCACTTCAGCCAAGTCCAAGGGTCAGCTAGCAATAGCGGTCTCCCTTGATATCAAAGCAGCATTCGACAATGCGTGGTGGCCCACAGTCTATGACGGGCTCCGCCGCATAGGATGTCCCCTCAACATTTTTAAAATTATACAAAGTTACCTCCATGATAAGAAAGTCTCTTTGCGACTCGGCTACACCACCGTTTCGAAACACACTGAGAAAGGATGCGTCCAAGGTTCAGCCTGCGGGCTTATCCTCTGGAACATAATTCTCAACAGCCTCCTCAACACACCCATTCCAGAAGGCTGCTCTCTTCAGGCATACGCAGACGACGTCCTGCTTATAAGCACAGCTAAGGACGTCAAAACACTCGAACACATCACAAACTCGGCATTGGAAACTATCCGACTTTGGGGACACAGCGTCAAGCTCCGCTTTGGTCCAGACAAATTAACAACTCCATTAAGCATTTGGGCTTAATCATAGACAGCAAGCTTAATTTTAATAAACACGTTAATTACATCTTAGGGAGGACAATAAAAATATTCCACAAAATCTCACTCTTCCCCAGACCATAAAAATCATTAGGGGGTTTCGCACCATCTCAACCTGCGCGGCCACGGCTTTAGCCCAAATCACCCCGCTAGACCTCAGGGTCCTAGAGACCGCTGAGCTGGAACAAACCCGAATCAATAGAACTAGCGATAGGATTCCCTCTGACATCCCGATAGAAACACCTATATCGCCCCAGGAGCTCCTTCACCCTGCGCATAGGATAGCAATCAGTACACGTGTTGCAGACACTAACACTAATAGTAACTTCACACACACACACATATACACGGACGGCAGCAAACAAAACGACGGCTCTGTCGGCGCGGCATTTGTTGTCTTCCCTCCCTCCACCTATACACCCAAACTTACAAAATTATTTAAACTACACACCACTAGCTCAGTCTTTCAGGCTGAGCTGTTTGCAATTCTTAAAGCTGTAGAACACATCTATAAAAATAAAATATCGCACTCGCTCATTCATACCGACTCACAATCATCGCTAGCTGCACTTAAACAGCCATCTAATACACACCCACTTAAACACTTAAACACTAAAAAACACACATTTAAACTCAGAGATCCTATTTCAATGGGTGAAAGGACACTCCGGGATCCCTGGCAACGAAGCCGCGGTCGCAGCCGCCTCTAAAGCTGCGAACATGCACTGCTCCCCATCCCACGTTGCATGCCCCCTGTCCCATATTAAATCATCAATTAAAAGCGCGACCAAAGTCATAAGCAATAACAGATCGAATCGTTTCAAAATCACTGACAATGACACTTGCCCATGCGACAACCACACAACGCAGACACTAAAACACTTGCTAGAAGAGTGCCCTAGATTTATAAATCAAAGACACAACCATACACAAAAATTCACAAAACACATGTCAAAATTAAACCCCTTCTCCTTAAGAGAATTGATTCCGCACCCCTCAGAACTAGATTCTCTTGTTCAACTAATGACTTATATAGTAAATTGCCTCAAACAATTCAACAGATAATTCAACATTTGAAAATTACTATTATTCTCACATACTCATAGAGTTGTATTTATCATCTTTTACTGTTGTGCACTGTATAATGTTAATTTTAAGTAGTATTATAATATTACCTTTATAAATGTGAAAAGTCACAATTACATGTTATCAAAATAATTTTTAATTCTAGTTTAGCCCTATTACAGTAATAGAAGTAATAGAAACCTTGTTAACTAAATCACTAACATATGTTAAATTCTACAATATTTCATTTATTAATGTTAAAAGTTAGAATTATATTGTTAATAAATTAACTGTTTAACCGTATCTTAGCCCTATTACAGTAACAGAAGTAATAGAAACCTTTTTGCACTATATAATGTTAATTTCAGTTACAATCCCTATTCTTTAAATGTTAAAACTATATGTTAATCACTTTGTTGTATCTTAGCCCTATTACAGTAACAGAAGTAATAGAAACCTTTAAAAATTTTGTACTGTATAATTGTATATTATTCTGTACTGAGACTCTTCGTCACATTGGACGCCAATAACTTGTTAAAAACTTACGCTGTATAATTACTCAACAAACAACAATACTTGTCTTCATACCAATTTTAATATTAATTCGACCATGTGACACATTGTAAAGATACAAGGAACAAGAAGGTATCAAATAGCCACTTCTTCCTTGCATCTCCACCCTTTTGTGAATCATAATTTTGCTAAGCTCTTAAAAGCTAAATCTTCTCTAAAAAACCAATTGCGAACAAAAAAAAAAAACCTTTTTATCCGAGTCCGCTTCCAAACGCCACCCGAAACGGTCTAAATCCACGTCGCTCCGCGCTAAAAAAAGTTTGTTAAAATCAAATCAGTGGGATTTCGTACGTTTTCAATATAGTGTTACATATCAGAAAATTACGATCTATCTAACAGTGTTAAATTCAGTTTCAAAAGTTTTAGTTTTATATTTAATTTTCATAAAAAACCATAAAATTTTCGGTTTTTCGGTTTTTAAAAATACTTAAAGTTCTCAAAAGAGTGGAACGAGGCGGACATTTCGACCCAAAATTGGTCGATAAGGGTTCACAACCAAGGAATATATGGACAAAACTGTGGAAAAAGGTCAATAACTTTTTATTTAAATCTGTGACATAGTGTTATTATAGCGTAAATAGATAGTCCTAATTGAGGGCTATCGTTTGATACTAAATTTATAATTTTGTTCCCAAGAACAAATTTTTTTTAAGCCAAAAACTATAAAAATAAGGGTTTTCCCCGCCAGCCAGTGGCCCCATAAGATACAATAAAGTTAACGAAGCTATAAGATCCGCTAGACGAAGATCTATCGACTGACATATCACATAAGAAAATCTGATTTGAAATATCCCCTCGAATACAAGAAATACCGTTTATGGGTGTGAATCAGCCCCAAACCCAAATGCACAACACCTAACTATATATACCACAGACAAGCTAATAATTACAAAGCAACTGACACCAAGTTTGTAAGAATGGGAACCACAGCCTGGAAGTTACGGTCAGAAACAGCTTGGAAACGAGGATATCCACAGGATCCAGACCACCAAAAATTTAAAGTTTACTACCATCGCATAGCCCGTCAAAAACACTTTTAGACAACACATAAATTATTCCTAAGAATTTTCCATCCACTGAGCTGGACACCAGATTGTCTGGTGACCAGCTGGAACAGCTCCAGCACCAAAATCACCGGATAGTCCTCTCCGAGGGCAATTAGAAAACATCAAACACCTCTACCCTACGAGCAACAGCTGCTGAGCAATCCTGCTCTTAAACTCAAGGTAGAGTGGATTACCAGCCCCATATTTATCAAATTTTAATATTTTTAAATTTTTATCCTAAACCCGTCGAGCTTGGGCGTATCTAAACCAACTCGGCGAGGCGAACTCAATAGTGCCCATAGTTTCCCTCATATACCCCCCCATTTTCTATTAAATATGTTTTTTTTCCCCCCCTAGCACCAAATCTCCCCCCTACCCCTACCGCCTCGAGTTGGGTATCAAACGACTCAGCTCGAAGAGGTGAATACACCTGTCAGCATTTCAGCCCCCCCTCACCCTCCACCAGCAAAATGTTACCCCGAACCCCACCCAAACCAACAAGCAAAGCTTCTACTCCCTCTACGTCCTCAACACCAGCTAGACGGACCTTAGTAGAGATGTTGAGCCCGGCCTTCACCCGCGAAATACGCCCAGCAGAGTCGGCTCACATGGAGATGGCTAAAGAATATAGGCAGACAGGCCTACAAGCTCTCTCTGCCTCTCGCAACCTTAAGGGCGAACTAAAAGCCGCTATTACCGAGGCAATCGAAGGTCTTTTCGGAGTCGTCGGCCTAATTGACCCTCCATCCACCATCCGCACCACCCCTCCCGTTCCCACACCACTTACACCATAGGCTGACAAATCTACAACACCCACAACTACTGCAACTAAATCTACAACACTAGCAATTTGTACCACACAAACACAACTTGTACACAAAATTGAGGCCCACTCTCGGCTACTCGAGGAGTCGAACAGGGTCCTGCAGGAACACATCAGGGCTTTAAAGGCATGTCCGAAACCCGCGCCGACGGAAATACAGCCAGTAGTGGCGGACCCGCATAAGATTCATCAATCCTACGCTAAGGCCGCCGCCACGCCCAAACCCCCTGCAGGCCCTTCCGTTGTAGTGTCCGGAGAGGGTCTCAACACAGCCGAGCAGTTACTCACACAAATAAGTAGATCAGTCAATTTCAGAGTGGGCGGGTACGCCCTATAAAGGTTACCCCGCTATCTAAAAACAAGATAAAACTCGTTTTCGAAAGAGAAGAGCATAAACTACACACACTAACACAACTACAAAAAACACAATTATAAAAACCCAAGAAGGAAAACGAATCGACCCAATGATCATACTCAAAGGCGTTAATAAATCAACACCCGAAGCCGAACTAATAAAGACGATCAAAGATCAAAACCCGACACTCACCGGCCACACATTCAGCACCAAATTTATATCTAAAAGCAGGAACACAACACTTTATAACGTAGTACTAAACACCACACCCTCTGCCTGGAAGGCGTTTGCCGACCTAGGCAGAGTTAACATAGGGATGCAGCGGGTCCACAGCGACAACTTTTCACCGTTTAGGCAGTGCCAAAACTGCCTAAACTTCGGACACACCAAGAGCCGCTGCCCCAATACCACACCCACATGCGCCAAATGCTCCGCTCACCACCCCACAGCGGAGTGCAAGGCAAAATTATTCTTTTTAAAAACGCTGCAGCGCGACCTCGCGTTTTGACTGGCGCAGCCGGTAGGATTTTCACATCCCACGAGTATATAACTTAATTGAAAATACTCAAATAGATTTTCATAGTTCTTGAAATACCGTGGACTGTCTAATAGCAGAGTGAAAATCCGCGAATCAAATAAATAAGTCAAATAGAGAGCATTAAAATAATATCCGGTGCAGTGTGTGATTAGTGACTCAGGAAGAATGGAATTGGGCTGGCGGTGAGTAAACCTTTTCACTTCCCGCTAAAAATTTCATTTTATTCCACATATTATATATTATTACATTATCTGATTTTGTTTCGTACCAAATCTACGAATAAAATTGTACTCAGAGTGTAATTAGATTAGGAACTGTAGATTTAAAATTATATTGCACAAGAATAGGCAATATATTATAGATTAAATATTAGGTCCTTACTCCTTACATATGAAATTGGCGTATTTCGTACTGGCCGCTTTAATCACGATGTTCTCCTCTTTGGTAAGGAATTCCAAATTCAAATTTGTACAGCTATTTACTCATGTATTTGTGCTTCGATGACCGTCATTCATTTGTTTTTTTCTGTTTCCGTCACTCATTTTACAAAATGGAAAACTTAAAGTATCGCATTATTTACGAGTACGAGTTCCGCCGTGGCACTAGTGCTGCGGAAACGATTCGAAGGGTGAATGATGTGTATGGCGGTCAAGTTGCAAAAGAAAACACAGTTCGTTTTTGGTTCCAACGTTTTCGTTCTGGAAATTTCGACCTGCAGAACAAGCCCCGTAGACGGCCTGAGACCCAAGTTGATAATGAAGTATTGAAGGCTTTTGTGGAAGCAGATCCATCGCAAACCACGTCTGAGTTAGCTGCAGGCTGCGGTGTTAGTGATAAAACTGTTTTAATTCACTTGAAGCAAATTGGCAAGATTAAAAAGCTTGAAAGATGGGTACCTCACGAATTGACTGAAGCAAACCGGCAAACGCGCGTCGACTGCTGCGTTACATTACTGAACCGGCACAATAATGAAGGTATTTTAAACCGAATCATTACCTGTGATGAAAAATGGATTCTTTACAATAATCGGAAGCGCTCAGCGCAGTGGTTGGATCCTGGCCAGCCAGCCAAATCCTGCCCCAAGCTTAAATTAACCCCAAAAAAGTTACTTGTAAGAGTTTGGTGGACTAGTGCCGGTATTGTTCATTGCAGTTTTTTCAAATCTGGCCAGACTATTACGGCTGATGTCTATTGTCAGCAATTGCAAACCATGATGGAAAAGCTAGCGGCTACACAAACTAGGCTGGTCAATCGCTCCACGCCACTGCTACTTTACGACAACGCTAGACCACACACTGCACAACAGACGGCTACCAAATTAGAAGAGCTTCAATTGGAATGTTTAAGACATCCTCCGTACTCCCCGGACCTTGCTCCAACAGATTACCATTTTTTTAGAAATTTGGACAACTTCTTGCAAGGGAAAAAATTTAACTCTGATAGGGCAGTCCAAATAGCCTTCACAGATTTTACTGATTCCCGTCCGACTGGATTTTTTACCAAAGGGATCAATGAACTACCTATGAGATGGCAAAAGTGCATAGAAAACAATGGTTCTTACTTTGATTAATTAAATATATTATATTTAAAAATATTCGACTTTTTGTTCCTCCCATACAAAACGCCAATTTCATATGTAAGGACCTAATATATAGATAGATAAAAAATTATTATTAATTAGTACGGATTTACTGCAAATTCAAAATTATATAAGGAATTTAAAGAAGTGTTAGTGATTATATTGTATTCTTATATATAAAAATTAAAGACTAAAAATGTCAATGGAAACATTTAGATTTGTACTAAGGTAGGTTTTGTCCTTGATTCCCAAATATGATGGGACAGAAAATTTACTAAATTTATTTATTGCAAAAAGTGAATATGTGATAAAAGAATTTAGAATCGAAGGTAATACCGCCCAAAATTTATACTTATTTCATGCAATAACTAGTCGCTTAGTGGGTAAAGCGGCAACGCTATTAAGTGAAAATCAAAATATTACATCATGGGATCATTTTAAAGATATATTGACTCAACATTTCGGCGACCCGCGTTCAGAAGAATGTATAGCAATAGAATTAGAATCATTAAAAATTAAATCTGGAGAATCATATATAGAGTTCTGTCAAAGAATACAAAGTGTTAAAAGTTCCCTAACCTCAAAGGTTACACATATTAATTCCGGAACTATACGCAAAATTTCTTATAGACACTGGTAGTAGTCGTTCGTTTATCAGTCCTTCTAAAGTAAATGAATTTCTTAATGAATATAAAAGCTATGAACCATTTACAGTGGTTAGCACTCATGCTCGAAGTACACATAACGAAGTAGTATACATCCCTTTGCCGTATACTTTTAATAGCCCTTTAATGCATAAATTTTATGTATATGATGTAGATGCTAGATATCATGGTTTAATTGGCTCAGATTTATTAAAGGAATTAGAAGCTAGCATTGATATGAAAAATCAAATACTGTAGGTATACAACTGGTTCTGCCATACCTATATTATATAGTCCTCCATACGAAGCTATAATTGAACCCAGAACAGAATCAAAAATTAAAACCCCTACTAACCTACAAAATGGAGATGACATAGTAGAACAGGACAATTTCAGTAATGGCGTTCGTATGTCAAATGCTATCGTTACATGTGAAAACTTCTTTGCAACCACCGTAATACTAAATACATCCGAGAAACCATTTAAAATTACTTTGAAAGAACCTATTAAAGTCTCAGTTTTAAAAAATAATGAAATTTGTAAAAGTAATTTTATAAATGAAACTTTAACAAATGATAATGTTTTAAAATAAAATTTGTCCAAGCTTCGTTTAGATCATATGAATAGTGAGGAACGTAACATAATCTCTAAACAATGTTACGAGTTTCGTGATAATATATTTTATTCTGATAAAATTCCTTTATCATTCACCAACCAGATTAAACACAAAATTAGAACAGTTAACGAAGACCCCATTTATATTAGACCATATAGACATACTACTTCTCAAAACCAAGAGATAGAAAAACAGATAAATAAACTCTTAGAAGATAACGTCATAAAAAAATCATTTTTCCCTTATACTGCAACGGTTTGGTACCAAAAATAAAACATTTCCGGTCTTATTTATATGGTATAAAGAAATCAAATACTGAACTAACACGTTGGAAATTTCAAAAATGGAAAGAAAAATTCAAACGCAGACGCATCATCTAGAAAAAGAGTTAACACGCGACGTAGTAAGGATAAGGCTCGTTATCATAAAAGCTCGAGTATCGGGTCGAATTCATAGAAACGTTGTTCCAGTGATAAACTCTTAAACGAAAAAACTAAGTTACATACTAAAGATTTGAAACGCCCTTCACAGGTTGTTACTCCTGCTGGTACATCTGACCCCAAGCCAGGCCCTTCAACTGCAAAAGATTTATAGAAACCCAGGCCGCCTACCCATTAAAGAAGGTCAAGCAGTAGTAGCTTACGACAGATGGACCGTGATAAAGATTTTAGATTTTAACGCTATCAACAACGAATTAAAACTAAATATAAATAACTTCTTAACGCTTAAAACCGAAGTCCAAAATTGTTTCGACACTAGCCTATTCAATTTGCACTTCCAAGAAGTACAGTTACAAACTAGTTTCATAATGAATATAACAGTGGAAAAATATAAACAATTAGTTCCGACTTCAAAAACTAAACGTGGTTTATTGAATCCTATTGGAACATTCATTAAAGGAATAACTGGCAATCTTGATAATGAAGATGCTATTAGATATGAAGATTTAATTAATAAATTAAAAACTAGACAGGACGCTATTAGTAATAAAATAACCATAGTTGCCGAAATGATGAGTACTGTAACAAAAATTACCCATAACTTTCAAACTATTTACTCAAGACTAAATGAAATTGAAACAGCTCTCGCTTTTGCTAGGATAAAAATATTACATCAATCTATTATTGATACTAAGGAATTACTGTCAATTTTAAAAGAAATAGAATATATGTATAATTTAGTATTTCCAGTGAATATTGAAAATATTGTAAAAATTGAACTGAATATTGAGATGGAAGC